CAGGACAAAATGTTTCATCCAAGTCCTTCACCCCCAATCAAAATAAAATGGTAGCTCCCTTAATCCAGGACCAATTGAGAGGAGACAGTTGAATTAAATATTTCGACGTGACTGTTAAGATTAAAGTTTAAAATTTTACATGCACATGTATAAAAGCTAGAATTGCCATGCGATAATCAAGAACACAATCATGTTCGGGAATACGACGATGGAAGTTTTTAACGACCTTGACCGGCTACGTGAATACTGATCAGTCCATTCAGCTTTATAGTACGCGTGTTCTATTTTCGCAGGTGTGAGGTCGAAGGTTTGAATTGACCAATGAAAACGATCGTTCCTTAACGAGTTAATCTAATAAAGTTTGTTTGACTGATTATGTTGCACGACCTTTCGCTAAGCTTGACCGCAGTTCAGTGTAAGTATTCAATATAAATCAAAACACAAAGGTAATTCCTGATTAGTTTTTCGAATTATTTTATTTAGGCGTTGAGACCCTTTGGTGACCTCACAGTTTAAATGTCTATAATAAATACGTCGTGAGTTTTGGGCGTTACAGACAAACGTTCACCTAATTTGACCCAGTCAATGGGATATTTATGCGCGCCAATCAATGGTCTCGGCTACACTGTTATGCACATGATTCTATTTACAAACTGATCCACGCCTAGATAGATTGAATTTTGATTGTTGCTATTTTTAGACACTATATATATATTTTGATAAGTCTTATTCGGTAGGTCACATTCGGTGAAAAAGAGACGGGATTGTAGTTACGACAATTGGAACATATCCGTTGTCATCTGCGAAACGGATATTCCATAACGGTCAACCAATTTGTGATGGCGTCCGTAAAATTTAACAAGTGATGATTTCAACTTCACCACTTGGAACTCTTGGTTTCATAGCTTCCTTGTAAGCAGCAACCCTCTAACAAGGAAATCATGATAGGAAATACAAGCCCTCGAATATCGTAACAACTGGTAGATTTAAAATCTGTATGCAGGCGCTGCTGGAATGTTGCTACATAGAAATGGAAAGTTCACAATTGAGAAGCTGAAATCATCACTTTTATCCTAAAGTTCAATTTCAACCGACCCTCATTGTCAATTTCAAGATACAAGTCAAGATATGAGGCAAACTTAACTGTATCTGTTGTGTCCTTTATCTCAAGTTCGATGGGATGGATGCGTTCAACATAGGCACCAAATTTTGAATTATTTAGTGAGAGAACATCATCTATATAGCGGAAAGTGAAGTTTAAGGATACTGCTAACTTCTTTTCTTTCTTCCTAAGAAATAACATGTATGAAGTCAGCCATATATGAATAAAGGAACAACTCAGCAAGAAGAGGAGCACAGTTGGTTCCTATGGCAATCCCGATTGTTTGTTGAAAAAGACGTCCTTCAAACGTAAAGAATATGTAAGAAATCAAGCATCTTGATAATGTCAGTTTCAGAAAATATTTGGTTTGAATAAGAGTGATTTTTTACAAAGTACGATTTATCCCTCTCTAAGACAAGATAATTATAACTACGTTGGCCATTCATTTTGATAAAACAAAGCAGGACCAATTCTTTCAATTTGTCTTTTAGTTGGAATGGGGAATACTTGTGTAAAGTGAAGAAAAGTCAAATGTTTTAATACTATTGCAAGACGAAAGAGTCTTAAATTGTATGTACTCTAAAAGATCTTTGGAATTTTCTAGTATCCACATCTGATCCCTCCACCTCTAGAGTAGGTAGTTTCTATAGTTTTGCATTATATCTCAGTAACTAAAGCAGTTAGAGAAAAACCAGCCTATTGTTAATAGGTCATAATCTACCTTGAAATTTTCAGAACAATTTGACAACCGGAAATGTCAGGTTTTAAATGGTTTCTCAGTTTTTTTTCCTTGAAAACTAATTTGAATAGAGAGATGCTAAAGTAGATTACACGATAAACATGAAAATAAATATCAATGTATACCTTATTGCCCTGAAATTACTACTGTTTTACCCTTTTTAGCTAACATGGCCCACAGGGCCAATTGGATACAAAACGCATCATCCTTAGGGTATCTATAAAAAAATATTGAAAATCCCACATTCCAACCGACATGGACGCCACAGCTGAAATAAAACAAAGGATTAAATGAAACTTTTTGTCTTTTACTTTGTATACCGATGTAGAGAACATCCAAATGGACACACATGTTCAGGATGTCAAGATCTGCCTACTGCTTATTGTATAGGAATTGTTGGTCTTAAAAAATTTGTTTGTACCAATTTTTGCAATTTGGCTATCACAAATGTATTTTGAAATTTTTAATGGATGAAGAGAAAGTATTCGGCAAAAATTAGTCGCAAATCGTATGTCGACTCCATCCGAATCATCCTTTTCTCGGTTTTTGTATGAATTGTTTGCTACTACCTTTAAAACTTTAATAGATAACAATAAAATTTTATTGCAATATAATCAGCAGGATACGATCTACAAAAAATTAAATATGACCAAACTCATCCGGCAACTCCTGATACACTTTTTTGCAATTGAATGGCGATTTTCACCATTTTTGTTGTTTTGTGCAATCTATAGTAGATAGACATGGACAAAATCATAGCTGAAATTATTAGTTGACAATTGTCTTTTACTAATCACGATTTCTTCAATTTGTTGAAACCAGAAAGTAGTCCCACTTTCTTCGTTTATTTATTTAATCGGCTGCGTCCTTTTGCTAGATTATAATATATCAACACCAACACGAATAGTGCTATTATTGCTTTAATTGATTCGACGTTTTTGACATCAAGAAGATGTTTTGATGGGGGATAAATTAGGATTTTGCAAACATTGACTTAAATGCATGTAAAATATTGACATGAAAGAGAGAGAACATTTTAGATTTTTTCCCGTCGTTAAACCGGAAATTTGAATAATATTTGAGAAAACGAAATCACATGTTAAGAACTTTTTTACTACGGTACTGTTTTGTTTTTTATTAAACAGATATTTATTCTGCGATTAATAACATGATTTAAGAATCAGCATTCTGGTCTGGTATGTATGGTGATGTCGCGATAAAATTATATTCTTATAATTGAATGCTTGCAATTCTGAAGATATTGTCCACCTTAAAAAATGTTATGCAACTTGCATGAATCTTTATTATTTAATTATCTATCTTAAGCAAGCAGTTATTTTATCATTATCGTTTGTATCAATTTAAGATTTAATTCATTTTCAGATATTTTTCGACTAGTTGACAAAATGTGGCTTCAGAAATATCGTTCGTGTTTTCTATTAAACTGTCGCTGACATTTTTTCGTGAGGTAAGATATTGCCTTCTGACTATGAACATTTTAGTAAAATCTAACATTATTGTTATGTGAAATATAAGCCGGTGAGACAAAATATCATAAATGAAATCCGCAACAAAACCCTAAAAGACTTCAGTTTCATTTTAATGAAAATCATAAAAAAAAAATTAAAACAACAAGTTATAATTTTTTTGCGTTCGAAGCGCTTTTCTGGATTTAAATCCACCAGGACAACTCAAAGCCAAATAATTCAAAGCCAAGCATTTATAGGAACCCAAACAGTTGATGAGATATTGATAAAAGTAGATAAGTGCCTACAAAATTTTACTCTAAATTGCCCGATGTTAAGAAAAGGGGTTGAATAATATACCGATTTAAAAGACTACCAAAAATCTGCTTTCAAGGCTACATTTCTTAATTGAATGTTAACAACAAGATCTACCAATATCGAATACTCTGACTTGGGTGAGACGCATTTATATTTTTAACAAGTTTCAGAGTTATAAGATTACCGTTCATATTATATCAGTCGGTTAAATCGCAAAAATGTTTCTCGAGTAAGTGCTGATTTTCTCAAATATATCCAAGCAATCATTAAATAAGGTTAGAAACAAAGATGATATTGTGGGTTTCATATCTAATGATTTATTAGAAATGAAATTGATTGGATTTTATTATTTCTATCGATGACAGTAGCCGATATTTCGGAGCGGAGCAGACTATTTTGAATATCTATGTGACCCTTACATCAAGGGTAAAACAGAGATGACATGGTGTGTTCCATATCAAATTCTTTATTTGATTTGATCTTTGAATTACTATTTATGACAAAAGCCCAAGATATAGATATAAGTATTAACTTTTTTTAATTAATATTCTGCAACTTATCACATCTGGGTCTGTGTTGTAAAATATTTTGAAGTAATGCAAATAATCAGTATTGAATTTCAAACAAATGCATAGTGAAATCAACTGAGATATACGCCCCTTTATAAAAAAAAATATGAGGTCTAGGTCAAGAAAATAAATCAAAAGTTTAAAAGTAAACATCAACACGTTGGTCATACATTTTGGTACGAATGATATCGTAAAATCAAATGTCCAGGTATTATAAAAGAAACAACGAAAGTTTTCAAAATTAAGATCTCCTGGTCGAATCATGATTTTTTTTTAAACATTTAAGTTTAAAATTGGTTCAGTATAAAACTCAATTTATTTACAGACTTTGAAGTGTCGTAATAAAACTGGGATTTTTGTTTCATAACTTTCATGACATGTTTATTCCTGATTTATTTATCATGATTACAACAGGGGTATTTGGTAAACAAACTACATGGCCGTATTACAAAATGCACGGCAGTTCATACTAAATGATAAAACAATAGCTTTTAACTTTAATCGAAGCTCTATTCTTTGTTTAAAAATGTTAGGGACCTGACATCCTTTTGATAGATTTTATGACTACAGAAAATTTCTCAGGAAAACTGTGGGCTGTGAAAGAAAAAAATAGGATTGTAGCGTAAAATGTGTGGAATAGATTGAAAGAAGTTATACATTAAACAATTTCAATAATACATCATATTTATCAAGCCTTGATTTTCTTTTACCATTCTATCATTGAATAGAAAATAAGTTCATTATTTTTCAATGTATCGCTATTGCATTAATGACTTCTCATTTGTTAATTTTATTTTGAATCGATAGAAGAAATGTCAAAGAGGCAGACAATGACAGAGAACATACCTATCAAAAGTAAAAAAATGAAGACACCTGAAGACTCATATGACGAAAAGTCAGATTATTATGAAAACGAAGGTATTCATACTACACATTATTTATCTTATTGTAATTATTTAATTTGAATTTGACCACGAATGAAAGTTCTGTTCATCATATGATTTTGTTTGAACAATTCGTATATGTAACCAAAGAAAGATATGAAAATTATGGTTTCATTACAGCTGTAGTTTCATAATTACATCCCATTAAATAGCCACAATAGATGGTCTTCTTTTTACTGATTGTTTATATTCAGAGCATAATAATAAAGCGCTTCGGCTGTTAATGAAATGTTTATGTGTCAATAATCTGAATCACAATAAAGGACATGTCGTCTCGTTTATTTAAAAACATTTGTGTTTTTTTTTCTAAAAAAAAGTTCATTGGAAGATACCAAGACCTTGTTGATAAATATGCCGTATCAACTTCACAAATAATACATGACGGTCTTGAAGTATAGATTTTAGGTACTGACGTTATTTATCGTCTTAATTACGTGTTATAATGATCCTTTTTTTGTTGTTGTCCTTGTACATTTTTAACCTTCACTGTTAAGTCCATTTTTTGTTAATATTCTTTTGGCGTGGCTCGGTACTTATACATCCCGCCATTGTGTTATTGTGCTATGGTCAATTTGTATTCTTGTCTTTCATTTTTGCTTATGTACTTTCTCTATAGTGTCTATATGCCATTTTGTTTTTCTTTGTTGAAATTGTTATTTGTTTTAATAGTGATTAAGATTACATTACAATGTTGACTGCTGTACTCCAATTTTTGTTATTTTTACTTATTATGTCTGTTTGTTTGTTTACACATTCTTGTCAATATAATGGAATTCTAAGCGACTGTCATTCAAGTGAGAGGTTTCGCTTGCTATAAAACCAGGTTTAATCCACCATTTTCTACATAAGATAATGCCTGTATCAAATCAGGAATATGACAGTTGTTTTCCATTCGTTTGAAGTGTTTGAGCTTTTTATTTTGCTATTTTATAAAGGACTTCCTGTTTTGAATTTTCCTTGGAGTTCGGTATTTTTGTTATTTTAATTTTTTATTCGACGACGAAAAATGTATATACATGGAGACGCTTAAAACCAGTTACATGTCCCACATTCTTTGTGAAAAAAGGTTAAAAATATTGTTTGTGTACAGAAGATTGCCAGATGATACAGGCTTAATTTTTTTTAAGAAAAAAAAAACTGTGTCTGTCTGTCAAGAACAAGTTGTGCAGGCGTCAAAAGTTGATAATATCCGTTTTGTCATGCTTATTTGTATCGCTGTAAAAAACTGGAATAAAAAAAACAAGTAATTATACAATATAAAGTTGTTAGAGTAATGTAAGTCTTCTGCTTATTTTTAAGCGCAATAAATTTCATTGCCGTAGCACATTTTACATTAAGATGGGAGGCTTCTTATGAAAGGGGATCGATACAATTGCAGGGGAGATAGTTGTTAACGCAATAATGCAAATTGAATGCCTTATTGTTACCAGTTATTTTTATGATGACATCGTATAACAGAATCTAATAACATAGCTTAAGATTTCAAAATATATAACCATGAAAGTTTACAAAAGAAATAAATGGTGGTCAAATTAAACATAAGGAACATCTTGGAATTTTTCAAAGTTGTTGTTTTCATTTGCACTGTACTACGAATTTTAGACTCCTTGAAACTTTCCTGAACGTGAGAACATGAATTTACCTTAAGGATGTACTTAGGTGAAATTAAAAAACAATTAGAATTTAAAATTGATACTATAAGTCAGAAGAACATTAGTTAAGGAACAAAATAAGCTAAAATATTGATAGGTTATGGAACTACTAGATATTTGATTTAAAAAAAATGGCGGGAAAAGGCTGACTCAGACTTTTACCTTATATTTAGCATTGGCATTAATAGGGTCTCAAATCGTAAGAAAAAAAATCTAGAATCTGCTTAAATTTTAGTAATGACCATTTCATGAGCTATTGAAGTCTTCTATGAAAAGAAAAGTGGGTGATTCGGGGCAAAATATTTTACCCTGTATTGTAGGAAAAAAAACAAGAAGTCCAAACATCTGAATGAGGTGACAATTGGACAAACATATTTCAAGGATCCAGTTATTCATGTTTCACATACTTTAACTGAACTTATTTCAAAATTCACAACTACACAGGTAAATTTTGCTCATATGAATTCACATGCATCTCACACCCCAAACGAGCTTATACATGAAACTCAAGTGAAAATTTTCACATGAACCTCACGTAAATTTCATGTAAACTTTACCAAAAATAATAGTATTTTTCATGATTTTAATTAAATTTAAAATTTTAGATGTTATTTGAACTTTCTTTTGAAAATTCACGTGAATTTCGCATGAAAAAAATTCATATGATTTCACGTGAAATTCATGTGAGTTTAACTTGAGATTCACATGAAACTCGCGTGAAATTAATTCACGTGAGTTTCACGTATAAGCTCGTTTGAGGTTAAATTCACGTGGGTTTCACGTATAAGCTTGTTTGAGGTGAAATTCACATGAGTTTCACGTATAAGCTCGTTTGGGGTGATATTCACGCGTGTCCGTGTCAGTTTGTTTTCAGAAATACAATTAGACCATGTCTCATATGTTTGACGATTTGTTTTTGTACTCATATGAAGCAGAATTCATTCAAAACCTTCTAAAAGACAAAAAGAAAAAGCACCTTGCGAAATTCTTTAATTTTACTTTCAGATATATTGATGATGTTCTATCACTGAATAACCCATAACCCATATTTCAGCTAGTACTTGCATCTTATATATCCCAGTGAACTTGAAATTAATGATACTACTGATACTAGAAGGACTGCTTCATACCTTGATCTTTTTCTCAATATTGACACATATGTACGACTTCATACTAAAATCTATGACAAACGGGACGATTTCAATTTCCCAATTATTAATTTCCAATTTCTCAACAGTAACATACCCTCTGCCCCATCGTATGGCGTTTACATATCTCAATTGATACGTTATGCTCGTGCATGTTCACACTTTACGGACTTCATATACAGGAGTGTGCTCAACGCAGAAACTGTTCCAACATAGTTATGAGGAGGAAAGATTAAAAATTACACCCGTAAATTTTATGGACACCATCACGAATTGGTTGATCTATACGATGTGGCTGTGTTTAAACTAACTAACGACATTTTTACCACGTCTTAGATTGTGGTTTACCATCTACGTCGTCTGGTCTTCTAAGTACCAGTGATCTATTCCCGAATATGACTGTTTTTTTTTAGTGTCAATTCGCATTGCTATTAGACGTGTCTCGGTATTTGTACATCCAACATTCATGTATTTAGTTATGATGTTTCATTTGTAATTCTGGTTGGATGTTGTTTTATGTCTAATCGTTTGTGGTTTTAAGGTAGATGGGGTGTCTAAATTGTAATCCATAGAATTTTTTAATAATTTGCCAAAATGTAGTTTATATCATGCTTTTTAAAAAAAATAATAAAAAGAATAAGTCACGGGGCTTATTTTCACGCTACAGGTTGTGCAAAATTGACAGATTTTGTATAGATTATGCATGGAAAACCCAATTTTCTGCAATAAAACGAAAACTACAGCATAGAATTTTGAGATAAAATATGAGAAGATAGCTCTAATATTATGCTTTCAGGTAAGAAAAAGAAAAAAATGGGGTCACGGGACCCGTTTTCTTGCTACATAATAAAATAAGTAAATTCCTAACACATTCTATTGTAAAAGTAACTTTATCTGAATTATCTGCCCTTACATTTGAGTTGCCTCCCCTTATGTGGCAAAGTTGGGAAAAAATTATTCAAACAAAAGTATTCCGTTTTTTGTAAAATACAACCATAAATATAATAAAACGAATTAATAAATTGAAATGAAAATTCTTACACGTGAATTACCTATTACTCTCAAAATTTGCACATTTTATTAAAAATCTAGACCGATTGTTTTCTTGTATTTCAAAATCCAAGATGGAGGAAGACACCCTATCTACCTTAATTCTATTTTTATTTTCTATATGTATGTAAAAGTAAAGTTATTAATCACCTAGTTCATTTATATGATTTTTAGAGTAAAGCAACACAATTCTATATTAATATTCTTGTAATGGTTAGAGAATAACACCATTACAAATTTAATCCCAATTTTATATTCTATTTTACGAAATTTACCTGTGACGTCACTTTTTGAGGCGTTGATACATTCGTGTGACGCATAGTTCATTATTCTATTGTGATTTATTTGTGTTCTGTCGTTGTTATTCTGTGGTTTACATGTTAAAATGTACCATTATATTATTTATTCATGTATTTCTCTGTCCAGAGTGTTCTTGCGTTTATTTGTACTGTATGTAATTTTAGTGGTATTTTTAACATTGCCATATAAGTGGGAGGTTTGGCTAGCCATAAAACCAGGTTCAACCCACCATTGTTTCTTAAAATGTCCTGTACCAAGTGAGGAATATGGCAGTTGTTATCACATAGACCGTTTCTATGTATGTTGGCGTTTGTTTTTGTAGCAGTTCGGTGTTTCTGTTGTTCCGTTTTGTTTCCTCTATACTTCATGTGTTTCCCTCAGTTTTGGTTTGTGACCCGGATTTGTTTCAGTTAAATCGATTTATGACTATTGAACAGCGGTATACTACTATTGCCTTTATTTAAGGAATACACCCCTGTTAATTAAGTTCGTACATTGTGAACATGTATGAACGTAACTTATTAAAAGAGATATGTAAAACTGTATTCGACGTAAAGTGCTATATATTTAACTTAACTTATATATATATATATATATATATATATATATATATATATACATATGATACATATAAATATAATATATATCAACCCTCCCCCGAACTTGGGACAGTTGCGTAACAGCACAACATAAGAGCAAACTATAAAATTCAGCTGAAAAAGGCTTAACTCCTCAGATCGATACGAAGCAGAAAAATATCAAACAATATACACAGACCGAACGTAGCAGGGTATTTATCCATCCCTCATCCCTTACAACAAAAAGGATACTAAGTACAGATCTGAGGGTACTCGCAGTTACTGACAGCTAGTTCAAAGCCAATAACAACTTATTAAAGACAAATCATGTATCTTAAACTAAAATATCAATCAGTACACATCCAACATCCAATGAATTTAGTGTAAATACGTCATTAACAGTCAGAGAAAAACATGACCTTGTGCAATGCCAAAATAAAGGTATCGACAGATTGTAGTACCGTTAAAGTGCATATGTGTATAACAAAACTATTTAGTATGATTTTAATTTATGTGTATAACAAAACTATTTAGTATGATTTTAATTTACTGATAACAAAATCAATATTTATACCAATAAAAATAATATTCAAAGATCTAATTACAATATTGAATTGGTAAAGTTTATTTAAAGGATTGATAAGTTTACCCGGATCGTATATAAATTTCCGGTCTCGGTAAACAAGATCACTGTAAAATTTAGGATGTGCTATTCCGTCTGAAATAAGTTTTTTACAGGTACAGCCAAACTTACAAACCAAATCTTTGTCTTTATGGAAGAATTTAGTAAAGGTGCTAAGTAATTTGTGATAACGAAATCCTTGACTTAATAATTTACCAGTAATACATAGATTAAGCTCATTGAAATCCAAAACGTCACTACAGACTAGGACATAACAAACGAGCTGGGATATATAAACACCATAAGATGGTACAAGAGGAACATCACCGTCAAAAAAAGGAAAATTAACAATAGGGAAAGAAAAATCATCCTTTTTGTCGTAAATTTTTGCGTAGTTTCTGGTGTAAAACTGAAATGTCTAAATCTAGGGAAGGACACTTATTGCTGTTAATATTTGATTTATCTAAAGTAAGTTGCTGTGGGTAAATTTCAGCAGTAGATTTAGAGAATTTACACACCAAAACTGGTTAATTCCACTATTTTCATATGTTTTATAACAAAAATTAATGAGCAGTTCTTTGATAGTAATTGAAGAACTCGTTAAAAGCACTGAAATTGTAGTAGTAGAACATTTTCTAGAAAAAAGAAAAAATAACAAAAATACCAAACTAAAAAGAAAATTATAATCGGAAAGTCCCCTGTCAAATGGCAAAATCAAAAGCTCAAACACATCAAACGAATGGAAAACAATTGTCATATTCCTGACTTGGTACAGGCATTTCCTTATGTAGAAAATGGTGGATTAAACCTGGTTTTATAGGTAGTTAAACCTCTCACTTGTATGAGAGTCGCATAAATTTCCATTATACTAGATGTTTATTCTTTTTATTTTTGTTTATTAATATTCTATGGATAACTTCATATTAGTCCTGATTGTTTGTTTCGATGTCACATGTGATTCCTCTGCACTAACGGTATTGTCATTGATCAATGTAACTGATGATTCAGTTGTTTATACGGATGTTTGTTTCAATTTAGAATCTAGAATTTGGTCAGAATATCTTCTCTTTTGCATTCCTGCATTATATTCTAGCCTTTATCATACAGATCCAGTTTATTTGACAATTGACGCTGGTATCTTTTTATTTTCCCCTTAATAATCACTAACGGCAACAAATTGTCCATTTGTGAAATAACTCTCATGTGTGTTACGACGATTGCAAATTTATTTCTGTTTCGATTCTACTACAACTCTTGAGTCTTCAGTTGCCTTCTCATGAATAACAGCGACGGAGATGAATTATTAGTTGAATAATTGAGCTACGGTATTCTTATACGAATTTTGCTATCTTCTTTGCAATTTCTCGATTATTTTCTGCTAGCTCGCATAGCTTACTTTAATGATTGTACAAAACGTTAGACTTATCGATTACAAGAAGGATGATACGGTGTTGTTTTCATGTGTTATACACAGTTAATTTCCATACAATTCTTGAATTCTTGTGAAGTAAACTGTGGACCATTGTCGTTGACAACACTTGTTGGTGGTCCATTTCTACTGTTGCCTTTACCTTTCTTTATCTTGCAGACATACCTCGTTGGCATGTATTGCTGTTGTTTTAGTTTCAAGCCATTTTGTCATCTTATCAACCACGGTTAAGGCCATCGATCCTAGGAATGGTCCCGTATAATCTACATACACCCTCTGCCGTGGTTAACATTCTAATTTTCATGGCATTAATGGAGCTTCTGGTGGCATATTTCGGTTTTCTTGACTTCGGTTTTTATGATTCCTTACGAAATTTCCTTTAGCCATTGTCTTTCAAAATGTATCGGTCATCCCTTTTCGACTGCGTACGGCTTTAAATCTTCTTCAGTGTATGTTTTCAATAATGACTCATTTCTTGGACAATACGGGATTTTGAAAGAGCTTAACAATATCATTCCTGGCTATCACTGAGACAGCATACCATTGTGCAACTACATTCACCAGTTTACAAATTCTTCATTGCATGCTACACAGATTGCTTTGATTTTGTGGTTGACATTATTAACTTGTAGTGTTCTATTTACCATTCCACAATTTCTTTCAAATCAAGTTTCCTCGCCAGTCTGATGCAAATATTTACTCTTGTGTTTTGTTAATTTTGTTTTGAATTGTATGCCTTAATTATGTGTTCCTTCCTAATGTAAATAGATATAGGAAGATGTGGTATGAGTACCAATGAGACAACTCTCCATCCAAGTTACAATTTATAAAAGTAAACCATTATAGGTCAAGGTACGGCCTTCAACACGGAGCATTGGCTCACACCGAACAGCAAGCTATAAAGGGCCCCAAAAAATTATTAATGTAAAACCATTCAAACGGAAAAACCAACGGTTTAATCTATATAAAAACGAGAAACGAGAAACACGTATGAACTACATAAACAGACGACAACAACTGTCATCAGATTCCTGACTAGGGACAGGTGCAAACATTTGCAGCGGGATTAAACGTTATAATGGTACCAAACCTTCTCCCTTTTCTGAAACAATAGTATAACATCACAACATAGAAAAACACACTATAAAATATCAATTGGAAAGCTTAACTCAATCGAAAAACGTAAATTAACACACAATGAACGAATAAATTTGACCTGTGACACCTGAATGCAAATACACAGTTAGTTAAAAATTACAAGGGATAAATAATTAAAGTCAAAAGTAAATAAACAGGTTTAAACAAAGTTTAAGTATGATATCACTGTGAAATGTCAAACAATTTTTAGAAAATCATCACTTTTGAGGAACCTGCTTCATATTATACACAGGTAAATGAAAATAATTTTGTTGTTAAGTATACTTCTTCTTCTGTGTGTATATAATCTTCCGTTTAGGAATACCAAAAAAATTTCTTTAATATCAATAACTATGGCATACTGCCTCTTTAAATTTTCAGTCTTGTGGTAATTGATTTTTCCTTTATCATATTTATATACGTCCCTGGCATTCAAATGTTTGGATAGCAGGATTCCAGATGGTTGTTAATCCAAATAAGCGCTTCACATGAAATGTATAGAGTGTTATTTTTACTACAAGTCCCCGAGGGTGTAATTACTAGAATTAACGCTAGTTATAACCCTAGGTTTATCCCACCATTTTCTTCGAAAAATGACAGTTTATTCACCTTTTCTGTTGATTGGTAGCGTTAATTTTGATAGTTTTTATTAATTTGCTTTGGAGTTCGGTATTTTTTTTATACATTGTGTACTTTATTTCAGTACTGACATGATTAGTTACCTATTTTTCTAAAATTTCCAATTAATGAATAAATAAATTACTAAAAAAATGATTAGTTACCTATTATTCTAAAATCATTTTTGGTTATGAAGCTTCTACATAGGAAAAATTGCAAGATATGTTTTCATATGTTTAACATATGTTTTTCATATGTTTGAAAACATATGGAAACATATGTTTAGGCCCGACATGAAAACATATGTTTTTGAACATACGAAAAACATATGTTTTGAAAACATATGAAAAACATATGTTGCAATTTTTCCTGTGTAATGTTTCTACTATTTATACATCCCTGCATTCAAATGTTTGGGTTTAACCGTATCTGATGGGGGCTTTTCGAGAAAAAGCGTCGGATGCAAAAATTTATAGGGTGTCAATATAACTAGCACTGGATCGATACTGCTGCCGATGCAATGTAGTCCTCGAGGGTATCATCAACTCAGTAGTCAGTGCATCAGTACTGACATGATTGATAACCTCTATTTCTGAAATTCTCCTATAATAAATTAAGTAATTACTAAAAAAAAACTAAGGTTCCAACTCAGTTGACCTTGGATGAATTCGTCTATTCTGTTTCGGTTCCTTTTGGTTGCTCAGCTCCTAACGTTTCTTAGTTTTTATACATCCCTTCTATTGAAATGTTTGGTTTTGTGCAAATCCAGGTGACATCGCATCCCTTAAGTAAAAAATATTTGAAATGCAAACCAAAAGACAAAATACTGTTTTCATAGTTGTTTACTGTTGAATGGACGTTAATGCACATATTTACGTTATTTTGTATGCATTAAGAGATTCAAGATTATGCTGTAATAAAAAACGGAATTTATATATTATTATAGAAACAGATTCGGATGACGATATCGCTATTGTTGGTGTGGGCTGCAAGTTTCCAGGAGCAGATAATATTGAGGAGTTTTGGAAAGTTTTATACAATGGAGAAAATCATGTTAACGAAATTCCAATAGATCGATGGAATGTGGAGGCATTTCATTCTGAAGACTTGGACAGTTCTGGAAAAACATATGCCAAGCATGCTGGACTGGTTAAAAAGTAACTTTTTCTAAATTGTAATATTAATTTTATGTTTGAATTGGTTTTATCAGTACGCATTTAACAAATTTAGTCTTAATACGTCATAGACTGTCTAAAAAAAGCACGACTTTGTGCAATTCAAAAATATAAGTATTGATAATATGTAGAACCATGAGTTTTAATAACAATAGCAATACATGTTTAGTTCAGTTTTAATTCATTGAAAAGAAAATCAATGTTAGTACCGACAAAGAAAAAAATTCAAAGATATTACTACAATTTTAACAGATAACCCTCAAGAATAAGCTTATTCAAAGGATATTTTCTTAACGATACTGAAATTTATATCCAAAATAAATGATTTAGAATCAATACATGCACCTTTATTTAAATTCGAATTTCAGATTTATCACTATCTTTGCATAAAGCCATTTAATTTATTATTGTTCACTTAAGATGAATAAATGGGGTGTTGGGATATTTATCAAGGTAGTTAGCTAAGTATTCAACTAAAAGTACATAAACACTACATCAAACTCTAAACTGTACCGTAACTAGATAAATATAACTGCGACGGTCAAAGAACTAGCATCAATGCAAAGTTCCTTGAATGACAAAATACATTAACATATAACCATAAGATAGTATGACTTTTCGAGGTTCTTAGCGTTAAACAGACGGCGTTAGATTATTTCAAGATCGTTTTTCGTTTTGTGTTGGAGTATATTTTTTATGAATTCTGCTTCATATGAGTACAAAAACAAGTCGGCGTACCGACACTGTTATCCACCATTATTTTAAGATACTTGTTATAATGATCATTTTACATCCACATTTTATTGGTATAATATGTAACTTTTTAATGGAAAGTTTTGTTAAATTTTTAAACGTTAAACCTGAAATTTTTCGGTTTTTTTTTTTTTATTTTTGTAGAATTAAATTTTACATTAATGTTCCTAAATTGTATAAGCAAATATCCGATGTACAAATTATTTTTTTTCTGCATTGTTGCAAAAAATGCTGTAGCGGCTTAAATCAGCTTTTTACATTTTTTTTTCTGACATGAAATTATATATTAATTAAGTAACGTTTGAGTATTAACGATTTATCGTTCTAATAGTTTCATATGTTTACTCTGTATAAATAGCTACATTGGATCTATATAATTCACGTTTATATTCTAAACGAAAGTAGGCTTTATTGACCTTACTTTTTGTCTTTTTTCAGCTTTACTCAATGGGACAATAAATGTTTTGGTATAAACGATACTGAAGCCAAAGAAATAGATCCTCAGCAGCGTTATGTCCTGGAATGTGTACACATGGCTCTCGAAGATGGTGGTATTACAAGAAAAAGCATAAAAGGGTCTGATACTGGTGTTTTCATAGGTAACTTTCAATAATTGATTTATGTAACTATTTCACATTTCACAGAAAAAAATGGTTTTATGACAAATACTACTTTAATAATATCGCTTTGTACATATTTAGTAAATGACTATTTAAATCCCCTATCCTATTCAAAAATTTCTAGCAATGCATAGTTAACCATGAGTCAAAGAAATGCAGATAAGACCATGACCGAAACAAAAATGATGAATTAAAATTACAATGAAATTACAAAAAACAGCGCACTAAGAGTCACATGTATATCAATAAACTCATCATAGATACCAGAATAAATATTTTGTATGCCAGACGCACGTTATGTTTATAAAAGATCCATCAGTGACGCTCGACTCGAAAAAGTTAAAAATGCCAAATAAACTACGAAGCTGAAGAGCGTTGAGGAACCAATTTCCGAAAGTTTTTTCCAAATGCAGTTCAGGTCATTTATTCCTGGGGTAGAAAATCCTTAGTTTTTCGAAAAATTCTAAAAATTGTGAACAGTTAATTTATAAGTATGACCATATCAATGATAATTCATGTCAGTTCCTTGGTTCAAAATTTACGATATCTTTATTTTTATTTTTGTACTAGCATATTTTACCAACATTTTGTAAAGAAGTACCATCTAAAACTTTTTAGACTGGATACCTACACTTCATAAAAACGTCACAAAGAACATTATATAGCAGGATCGTTAAGTTTTTCTACTAAACATCTTTCTTCATTCTTTACACTGGATATCCACACTTCATGGGATGATAAAAATATTTCTACTAAATATCATGATAATATGGTGTCACATTCAAGAACATAACGCTGCTGAGGATCCATTTCTTTGGCTTCAGTGTCGTTTATAACATTGCCATATAAGCGGGAGGTTTGGCTAGCCATAAAACCAGGTTCAACCCACCATTGTTTCTAACAATGTCCTGTACCAAGTCAGGAATATGGCAGTTGTTATTAAATAATCCGTTTATATGTATGTTGGCGTTTGTTTTTGTGCAGTTCAGTGTTTCTGTTGTTCCGTTGTTTTTCTCTTTTTTTATAGTTGATGTGTTTCCCTCTGTTTTGGTTTGTGACCCGGATTTGTTTTTGTTTAATCTACTCATAATCTTCAATCACAATCATTACAATTTGTAGTAATTTCAAAACTTGTGATTTGTTTACACTCTATACTACTATTCCCCTTACTCAAAAGAAAGATTCACTACTTCTTCTCATTAAACTGCCATTTTTCGACAATGATGGAAAAAGTAGTCGATATCCATCATAAAAAACTTTTGTCAAGAGCTGTACTGTTTCCAACAACAATTACACACCCGATGACATCTTTAAAATGCTCGACTTTTTGATAGACTGCATATTTGATGAATTTTCTGCATAAGGAAATGCCTGTACCAAGTCAGGAATAGACAGTTGTTTTCCAGTCGTTTGATGTTTTTGTTTGAGCTTTTGATTTTGCCATTTGAGTATTTTCCTTTGAGTTTGGTATTATTGTTATTTTACTTTTTAATCCTATTTATTTACATCAGTGTTTACCTTAATTATTTATAAATCCAGATAATAGCTCTTATGATACTTTCTCCTTCCGCTTGGATATGTAAACTCTCGGAAATTGACTGTGTTCATTAAATATAAATTGAATCTACCTCTTAGATTAAGGCTTTGTATCAGTCTTTTTTATCGACAGAAGTGAAAGAATTTTTTGTCTATTTTTAGGAGTGATGAATGATGATTATAAAGGAATAGGTGCTGATGATTTCAAATCGATGTCCAATTATACACTAACTGGTGCTTCAATGAGTCTGATTGCTGCTCGGGTATCATATGTATACGATTTATCAGGACAATCAATGTGTATCGATACAGCCTGTTCATCATCGTTAGTAGCAATAGATGTTGGAATTCAATATTTAAAATCAGGTAGGTGTTAAATCATTCTGACATTTTAACTTAATTAACAAGCACCTATACTATAAATATCAAACATATAATATCAATTATATCTACTCATGATATGTGTTTCTGAAAACCACTCATCAAGTACACTATGAGTCAAAAACTTAATGAAGTAAAAATTCTTTCGAATGTTCAATTCATAACCACAAATACTCTCAAACAAATTAATCTAAATAGCCAAAGATATGCTTTGCATTACGAGATTGCAACCTGAGTTACTTTCAGTGAGCATTTATAAAGGATATGTCAAAAGGTAATACTGAAATCATTTATTGGTATTTTATGACTTTTTAATGAAATAGGGGTATCATCGAAAGTTTGTAAGTTTCAGTTCACTTTGAAATACGTTAAATATTAAGTTTATGTAATGAAAACAGTCATGTATTTAGTATGTATTTATTATATTGTTTTAAGCAGACTCTGTGCATTTGAATGGTATCCAACTGTACTCCTAATCGCCAACATGCTTTTCTTTCAATGTAATTAAAATCATCTTTGGATAACAGTTTTTGTAGCCTAAAATATCTTACAAGTATTTTTTTATTAAAAAATTGTCACTTTTTTCTCCTAACTATATCGGAATCCATCTTCTTGACAATGAAAAAGATTACATCTTGAGATATGCTCGTGTTTTCTTTGTCGTCGGGGCCTCGGTGCCCGATTGGTCTAAGTAGTTCAACTACTGTAATAACTAGCCAGTCAACACTAAGGTTGTGAGTTCGAATCCCGCTCTTGCAGGTGCACTCGACTCCAATCTTAATTTACTAGGATTGTAAGTTTTCGTACCGAAGGTCAGTGGTTTTCTCAGGAACTCCGGCTTCCTCCACCAATAAAAACTGACCGCTACGAAATAGCACAATAGTGTTGAAAGTGGCGTTTAACACCAATCAATCAATCAATCTTTGTCGTCATTAAATAAACATAATCCGTTTTAACCCATTTTTTTTACAGTACGTTTGTGCCAAGAGATATATTATGCTGTCCTTATGTCTATAATATAGTAAAATATTTTATCTATTGGTATTGCTAATATGCACAGTATATAGTTATTCAATAAGGGGGGATATCAAATATTAGTATTTAAAAAACAGACAACAATATGGTCAAGATAAAAGTGAAGAAAAGACAAACAACATATATAGAACAGTAAACCGAATAATACAGATGTAGCAACACGAACAAACAAACATCGTGGGTTAATACAATGGCTTTGGAAAAGTAATAAGTGAGTTTAATATATTGAAACAGTTGCTGTCTAGTTTAGTGTATTATTAATGGTTAATGGTAATGAACTAGTGTTGCGTATATAACCCTCTTTGTTAATTTATTTAATAAGATTTCAGTGTAATTTCAAGTTACCTATTTTATTCTAACACATAGGAAGCACGTCTATGGCCATATGCGGGGGAGTAAATAGTATACTGTCACCAGACCTGTTTATTGCTCTAAGTCAGGCAAAGATGTTATCACCAACGGGACAATGCAAAGCCTTTTCAGAAAATGCGGATGGTTATGCAAGGGGAGAAGGTTGTGGAATCGTGATACTAAAGAAATTGAAGCAGGTATTTATAAAATTTATATCTGATTGCTTTCTCAAACCTTAACACTATCCTTAAACCCAAGTGTGTCAACAACATTGTTAAAACTTTAAAATTGAACCCTACTAAGTCACATATATGGTCCATATAAACTTACTGTTCCTTTGAATAAACTCATTCTTAAAGGTTGTCAAAATATTAACGGTGCCAATTTTATTGCCACGGCATTGATTTTTAAGTTGTTTATTGGTACAAACATTGATAGTTTAATACATTGCTAATCATGTATTTTCATCCAGTTATTAACACTTATGGTCCTACATCTTGTCGAGATAGTTTAGTTTTAGTATTACACATCGTAATTCTTTTCTCAGTCTGCTTATTAGGTTTTTCGATGTTGCCATTATTTTTAAACAAACCTTTCTTAAATTCTTTGTTGATAAATTCAGAAATTATGACGAAACTACGGTTCCATTCACTTCTGGCAAAGTTGAACTTCGACGAATTTCGGCTAAATTTCAGGTCCATGTTGATCATATTGCTCGTCACGTGTTAAGATAGCACTCCACAGCTAGGTGTGTAGTTTCGCATTTTGGCCCCTGTGGATTTTTCAAATATGAGAGCTAGTGTGCAATAAAATTCATTTTTGGATAGCTGAAGATTAATATAGCCTTCATATTGGCTTTATAGGAACATCAAGATTGTGTTATGTATGTATTATGAGCTGTTTCCTGTATGACAGTCCGTATTTTCATATCCATATCAGACATTTTGTAGTTCAATTTTAATTTTATTTTCTAACTGTGGAGTGCTACCTAAAGTCTTTTACACCCTGGCTTTTACTTAGTAAATGCTTAGGTTTTAGCGTTTCTGATGCAGGTTAATCCTGAAAAGGGATTCGGACAGACGAAATTGTTATTTTCTTTAACACTAAATTCTTCGGTAATGTACTGATATATATGTTAGTCTTGGAAAACACAATTGATTTATAAGTTAAAAAATTAGGTTAAAAAAAACCATTAAAGATATTTATAATAGATTACTGTAACTGCGAGTACTCATATATTGGTACTTAGTGTCTTTTGTCGTTTTGTTATTTGTTTTGTGCTTATTACCTATCCGATGAGTCAAGCTCTATCCAACCAATTTATACAGTTTGTTCTTTTAGCCTGTGTTCTGTTACATCATTGTCCCATGTTCATTGAAGATTTGACACTCGCAAACATGGTATTGTTCTCATTTGGACTAATGGTTACAAGGAAGTAATTATTTACATAGGCGACAATGGTAGCCTTTTTTGGTCCTGTGTTTTCCTTATCAAAGATCTATTGAAAAAAATGTCGAAATCTGAATTATCAACACCTTTGGGTGTAATTAAAACTGCAAAACACATATGGTGCCGCAGCTTTTTTGATAGAAAAATGGCATTTTTTTAGGGTACTCAACGGTTCCGGAATTTTCGAAATAGTATAAATGAAGAACACCCCTTGATAAATTTGGCACAGAAAATGTTTCTCGTCACAGAGAGTTTTCTCTAAATTTCTCGCTATTTCTACCCCAATGGCCAACACTCATTTCTCACTATTTCAATTTTGATTTCTAATTACTAGGGTAGCAAAAAATAAATTTACTTCTACCTATTATCTTTGATGTGAAATCTAGGTGGCGCCAATCATCTTTATTTACTTCCTTTTAACCTATACTGACATGTATTGAAATAAAATCGGACAATCTTTACATTAGTCGATTACTATATTCCCCTGCTGCTTAAGTTCAAATTTTTGGATTAAAGATACAATTGTTCACCATTTAAATTGACTTTCTTTACAGGTACCCCCCTTTGCAGAAAACGTTACTTTTTACAAACTTGGGGCCATTGACCAGCTTATTTTGACTGTTTGGCTATATTTAAAACGAGGTGTTTGATTAATAAGGTTCGATATAGGCCTATTAAAGACTTTAGGCTGATGATTTGATAAATGTGTCCAACTTATATGTCTTTATCACGAATATATGAACACCGTTGCATAAGAGTCAAAATATTTTATGAAATAGACTATAAAAATGTTAAAACTAAGAATTTATCATTGCTGTTATGTGTTTTATATGAATCGTGTGCAGAACATTCAATTTGACGATACTAAGGAGAAACATGTATAGCCCTTGATTTTTTACCTAATTTTAATATTTTAGGGGCATTTTGGCACATTTTTCTATTAAAAATACAAAAATGTCGCTAACGTCAGCAAAAATAACCCCCCCCTTTTTTTTAGATATGCATAAATACATGCAGTGTTATCGAGGATGAGGAGAAATGATTAAAGACAGAGTCCTTGACGGAATTCTCGTTCTTACAGTAGGTTAATGAACCCTACCCCTTAGGCAGAAGAATAAAAAAACAGTAAAAATTTGATATAGACTATAGTTTCATGGCGATCAGAAAATTTCTTCTGATACAGTTTATCACTTATTACCTTATTAATTTGCCTTTCCAATTTCTAAAATATCTCGAAAAATAAAGTGATGCGCCAGAAATCGTTATTTCGCTTTAGGTTACAAGGAAGTAATTATTTACATAGGCGACAATGGTAGCCTTTTTTGGTCCTGTGTTTTCCCTATCAAAGATCCATTGAAAAAAATGTCGAAATCTGAATTATCAACACCTTTGGGTGTAATTGAAACTGCAAAACACATATGATGCCGCAGCTTTTTTGATAGAAAAATGGCATTTTTTTAGGGTACTCAACGGTTCCGGAATTTTCGAAATAGTATGAATGAAGAACACCCCTTGCTAAATTTGGCACAGAAAATGTTTCTCGTCACAGAGAGTTTTCTCTAAATTTCTCGCTATTTCTACACCAATGGCCAACACTCATTTCTCACTATTTCAATTTTGATTTCTAATTACTAGGGCAGCAGAAAATAGATTTACTTCTACCTATTATCTTTGATGTGAAATCTAGGTGGCGCCAATCATCTTTATTTACTTCCTTTTAACCTATAATCACATTCCTTTATACTTGTACGTTGATCAGTATGAATTCAATAGTGTGTGTGTGGGGATGTTTTATTTTTCTATTTTTCAGCTTCATTAATAATACTTAACATTTAGTAAAACAAATATATATATATATATAAATGTCTGACAAATACAAACTGTACAATCTCAGACGCATTACAACAGTACAAATGTCATTATGATGTCCCAATTGTGCATTCGTTAGATGGATATTATTATTGTGAACATTTTTTGTCAGACAATAGTGGCCACATGCATTGTTCTTCATAATTTATTGTTATGATTTGAAATTTCCCATATACACTTTTTATAACAAATACTAGTATATGTTGGTGAAAGGGCAAAGTTAATGTAGACCGTTAATGTAAATGCACATCAAGTGATTACTTAGATTACGTAAAAGTCGCTAATAAATCAAAGTTTGCAAGGGTTTCCAAATACTGATTAAAAACAAGCATTTATTGAAATATGAGTACACATATTAGTTTCTTAATTTGTTATTGTGACATCACTTTAAGCTGAATATAACTCTGATTCACAAGTTTACGAAACCTTGAATCTACCCCCTATTCAAGTACGTAACTCTACTGCAGAACATGCACGTTTTTGTGGATATTTATTTCCTTTTTATTATTCAAAACACTAAAGGTTTTTTTTACAATCTCATATGATTTTGCAAAATCGTCTTTTTTCGTATTTTTATGCGTAATGTATTTCTCATTTCATATTATAATTCACAAAATGTCTTATATGTTTAATTTTTCCTTGAATGTTACATAAAGATTCAAAAGCTTTTCCGATTTAGTATTGAATAATCCACTTTCACAAGTATCCAAATGTCCTCTTATCGGTTTGACTCATTTGTTTTTAGAAAATTTGGTGTTTGTTTACTCTCATCCGTCCTCATTTGTGAAGCTTTTACAAACGCACTTATTAGACTTGCCATACAGTTATGTCTGTGCTTCTTTTATTAGACTTTTGAATAATTCCCTTTTTTGGTCATGATAATTTATAGGCAAAGACAGATGGGAATAAAATATGGGGTGTTATTGCAACTGCCTGCAATCAAGATGGACAAAATGTAAGACCAATATCAGCTCCATCACAGACACAGCAAGAAAAACTACTAAAAAGCATTTACGAACGTAACAAAGTCAACCCTCATGATATTCAAGTAATAGAGGCTCATGGTAAGTGATAATATTCAAATTATCCATAAAAACTGCTACCACCATCTGGCGTGACTGTGTATTTATACATCTGTAGAACTGGTTATAACGAGCCTGGTGACTTCTTCGGCCTTTTTTTAAAAACATAAATAAATATTTATTTCAATAACAGGCTTAATTTCCAACATTTAAGGATACTTTTATAAAAATCTAGGATTCTTTAAAGGCTTTCTTCTGGATTATTCCCACTGTTTGTTTGAAACACAAGCCAGTTTGACCCTAACTTACATAAAAAGCGCTGAGGTATAATATTCCATTCTCCTTCACAATCACTTGCTAGTCTTTTTTTTTCCACATAGCTTTTAAAGCAATGAAATATCTTCTTATATCTATCATATCTAATTCACCCATTTCATATGGAACAATGATCGATGTAATTTTTTTTTACTTTATCTGGTTTAATATCCCAAATGAATTTAAAAAAACATTTTCTATATCTTTCAAATATTTCTCAAGAACTATACAAGCAGTTTCTTTAAAAGTGAAAATAGGTGCAATGAATGTTTTAATTATCAACTATAATTTCCAAAAATAATGATTTCTTTTGTGCCCAGAACAAAATAACTTATTCATCTTTTCAATTTTATTTTCCAAATATAGTTTTTCACATTCACATTCTTTACAATGCCCAGCATGTATGCCAAGAGTTCTAACTGAACCATCGCTCCAGTTGATTCCCTCCTCTTGATCCTGATTAAAACAGTTCTAGTAAATAAAGTTTTTAATGCTATATATTAGTAATCAAAGTTTTAAACAATGTGTTACTGAAACCGCTTTTCATAATTCAATTTCCAAAGTTACGCTCTAGACCAATATTTCAAAACCTAAACCATATACTGTGAAAGTACTTTTATTTGTGGTGTACCAATTTCCGTGGTTTTGGTGGATGGCTGTATCGACAAATATAAGTATCCAATGCAATATAACAACTTTTGTCCCAATCAAGACATGGAAAGTTTACCTGTTAGTTTGACTACGTGGATACGGACATATGACATGTGTATAATCTATAGAAAACATCGAATATCAGCAAACGCACTATGAACTATATGCAGTGGCGTAGCACCAGTGTAGCATGTACAACTTCAGACAGGATTTTAATCTCTAAAAAAAAAGAAGTTGTACGACTTTTAACCTTTTAATTCTCATGAAAAAATAGTTTTGAAAGATGATTGATTGATTGATTGATTGGTTTTTAACGCCACTTTCAACACTATTGTGCTATTTCGTGGCGGTCAGTTTTTATTGGTGGAGGAAACCGGAGTGCCCGGAGAGAACCACCGACCTTCGGTAGGAACACTGACAATCCTAGTCAATTAAGATTGGAGTCAAGTGCACCTGCCCCCAGCAGGATTCGAACTCACAACCTCAGTGTTGACTGGCTAGTGATATAGTAGTTCGACTACTTAGACCACTCGGCCACCGAGGCCCCTTTTGAAAGATGAAAGTCAGACTTCAGGTGGTGATATATATATATATATATGATGAAGTGTTAATTTTATTTCCTCATAATTCTCTCACGAAAAAAAATTAATTTCATATTGGCCTTACTTTTTTATTTCACAAGTATTATTTCATAAGTATTAATTCAAAGTACATTTGTAGCATTCCTTATGCAACAATTTTTTAATGACATGTTTATAGTCCAATTAACGCCTTCGATGATCCTTAATCTGCTGATCATTCGATCTCGGGTAAATTAGTGTCACCACTTCTGATTACACATGTGCAGCAATTAAAATGTTGACTTTGCAATTTCCTTCAACCGAGACAATTTGTATCTAGAGATGAATCAGCTTATATCTGAAAGCAATTATTTTATTAAAAATTTGATGAATGTTGTGAAAAATGAAAGACGAATTCGAACAAGTAAGTGAAAATGAACAGCATATGATTATTTTCAAGAATCTTCGTTTCTGATGGTTTCTAATTCTTCACCCGCATTTTTTTTCAGAAAACTAAAATCCACTTATTTAAAAACCCATGAACATGTAACTTTTGCCCAATCAACGGAAATTGATACCCACGAATAAAATTACTTACACAGTATATCTATTAAAAAGTAATTAAAGAAACTTTCAATTACAAATTTTAACCTATAAACGGTTGCTTTAGAAATTAAAAGTTTAACATTTTATAAACAGAGCTGTGTCCTAGTATCTATTTATTGATAAAAATGCATACAATGTGTGATTTTTTTGTGCGATTCCGTTTTGTGCTATTGTGTTTGTGTGTGTTATTTCATTATTTCATTGTATTTATTGATGTATTTCGGAAGGTTCAATTTATTTAAGTATGATCAGTCACGGCCATTGCTTTTCTTCTTTCTCTAGTAATGTAACTCGGCTGATGTCTTTTTCAATGTAGGCTGTATTTAGTAAGACAGTGTGAGGACCAAATATCGTGTAGGAAACATCCGGTCACTACGGGACGTAAAATATAATGCCTTGTATGGCGAGGGTGTCGCGTTAAAAACATGAAATAACTCTTTTACGGGTCCGATCGTGACCTGTTGAAATGCAAAATCACTGCCTATAATATCATTTAAACCTAAAGTACTTTTTTACATATAAACTATTATGCCACTCCGGATTTTGACCTTGAACCATTGACTCCCAAGCCATATTGCGGTCTTCGATTTCGCGCTGAATTCTTAGCTCCTAAACTTCAGATCGTTTCTTTTTTCACTTATAAAAGGTCAACAAAATAGGTGGAAAGGAGGCATCAAAACTAATCATTCGTAGAGAAAATGACAATAGGTCTATTCAATAAACTCATCATAGATACCAGGATTGAAATTTTGTATTTGCGCCAGACGCGCGTTGCGTCTACAAAAGACTCATCAGTGACGCTAGAATAAAAAAAAAGTTAAAAAGGCCAAATAAAGTACGAAGTTGAAGAGCATTGATGACCAAACATTCCTAAATATTTTGCCAAATACAGCTAAGGTAATCTATTCCTGAGGTAGAAAAGCCTTAGTATTTCAAAAATTCAAAGTTTTGTAAACAATTTATTTTTTGCAAATCTTAGTTTTTCGTAATTGTTTCAGACCTGAATTTTCATATCAATTATTCAACGTTGGATGCCGAAATTTGTACTTTCAACATTCTTGATAAAAATTATTCTAAAAAAAAAACAGTTTTGGACGAAGCAAAAAGAAAAGAATACACAAATTACCATTTTGCAGTAATGGTTAGTAATATAATTAACCCTCCCCGTCATATGTTGATTCTGTGTGATTTCAGGCACAGGAACACCCAAAGGAGACCCAATAGAGGCAAACAGCCTAGGAACGGTTTTAGGAAGAATGTTTTATTCAGAAACAAAGAAAGTTGACGAACCAGTTTATATTGGTTCAGTGAAAACTAACATTGGACATTTGGAATCAGCAGCAGGGGTAGCAGGTCTAATTAAAATGTTGTTGATGATGAAGAATAGAATAATTGTTACCTCCTTACATTTTATGAAAGCAAATCCGTTGGCCAATTTTGACAGGTTTAATTTTTGCGTACCTACATCAAATTTGGAATGGAAATGTCATCCCTATCAGAGACGAATGGGATGCATTAATTCTTTTGGGTTTGGAGGCACCAATGCACATGCAATTGTAAGAGAATATCGAGGAAACAAAGAAGCTGAGTGTGAGACGGAGAAAATTTGCTTGGTATTTCATTCTGCAATGACCCCAGACGGATTATACAAAGCCATTGAAGCGTTTATTGAGCAGCTCAATCGTACCGGTGATTCTCTACACAGTATTTCCTATACTTCTCTTTGCCGACGAGATCATTTCAAATGCAGATCAGCTTTTTATGGAAAGTCTGTCATTGAAATACAGATGAAATGCCAAGAAAGGATTAAACAAAAATATAAGCCTCCAATTTTCAAAAGTCATCAAAATATAGTAGCAGTTTTTTGTGGTGTGGGAACTGAATGGCAAGGTATGTGTAGGGAATTGATGATGCAAGAGGAAGTTGTTTATCAAACGATTGATAACATTGATGAACTTCTGAAAAATTATACAGTAGAATTTTCATTGTTTAATATACTTTATAACTGTCGCGATATATGTAGTCCATTACAAAAACATATTGCTATATTTGCTTGCCAAGTTGCACTCTGGAATCTATGGATTCATTGGGGTATTAGAATTAATGCAGTTATAGGTCAGTCAGTTGGGGAAGTTGCTGCGGCCTTTGCATCAGGGGCATTATCACTTGAGGAAGCAGTGAAAATCATATATTATCGGTCCTTATGCCTTTCCAACGTTACTGCTGGTAAAATGTTTGTTGTAGGAAATTGTAATATCGATTTGATAAAAGAGGTATGCAGTATTTTCCCTGGAAAAACTAGTATAGCAGTTCAACATAGTCCCGTTTCATGCACTCTATCATGTGATAATGACATCATAGATATCCTGAAAGAGGCTTTACAGAACAAATGTACAAATATCCTATTTCATGATCTAAATGTTCCATGTGGCTATCACAGTCACCACACACTGAAGGCAGGAACTATTTTAGAAAATACACTGATGAATGTAACAGCTTCTCCACCGTCAATACCTCTAATGTCTACTGTGACAGGGCAGTGGATAAATCCGACTGAATTAGGACAATCTTCATATTGGCGAAAAAATGTTTGTAATACTGTTTTGTTAAATGATGCTGTAAAAGGTGTAGGCAAAACAGGAGTTTTCAATATTTTTCTAGAAATAGGTCCTTCTCAAGTATTATCTTCACATATATCAAACTGCTACAGTAAAGATGATGCTGTATGTTTTCCATCAGTAAAGAGGGGTAAAGAAAACGAGACTATTATGTCGACAGTGGCAAGGTTGTTCGAGGAAGGTGTTGATTTGAATTGGAATAAAATACACAAAGGACAAAGGATCATGAGTAATATACCAACATATGTTTTCATGAAAAAAGACGGATTGTTCCAATCAGAATCTACGCAACTGAAGCATCATGGTTTAGAATGTACTCAAAGTTCTCACTTATTTGTAAGCCGAACGGGAAAAAACAAATTTAAATTGACAATCACTCCAGAATGTACGCCATTTGTGTATACACATATTGTATCTGATGAAAAACTTGTACCAGGTACTTTATATGCTGAGGCGGCAGCTGAAATAGGACACCAACTGACCAAATATAAAGTAGAAGACATGACCTTTTCAGTAGAATATGTGAGACCTGTCCGTGTTATAGAACACCAAATGTCCAGTTTAGCAGTTTACATAGCAGATGATTCTGATGAACATAACATTTATGGTATTATTAGAAATAATAAAGACATAGTTGCACGATTTTCATCCTGCGCTTCCACTAGGTTGTTTACCAGAGTAGAAATTGATATACAAAATATTCGACATTATTGCACGGATTATAATTCCAAGGAAGAAATATATCATGATTTGTTAAAGTCCGGATTCGAATATGGCAGCGAGCTACAGATGATCGAGGAAGTGTATACAAACAAAGATCAGTGCTTGGTGAAACTTTGTGTGTCAGATGAAATTTGGAGAGATGTCAAAAGTACACATTTGCATCCATCTATACTAGATGCTTTATTCCAGAGTGTAATAGTTTTAAAGACAAAGGAACAAAAAGGAGAATTTCTTCCTACAGGAATAGGCGAACTTTTGATTAGGAAACGACCAGAGAAAAACATGTATGGATTTGTACAAAGAACCTACGTCTCAGCCATTGAAAACTCCTTTAATCTTTTATTGATGGGCGAAGATGCAAAAGTAATTGCAAAAATCAAGAACTTCAAAATTCAAAATGTAGATTTGAAGACATCATTCAAAACCACAACTGAATGTCAATTAATTTGGCGGGAAATAGAATATTTACCCTTGCAGAAGCTTTTGACAATAAATAAGGAACCGGAAAGTTTTTCATTGGTATTCTGCTTAAATGATAAGCTGGTTGAGAGCCTAATGCCAGTACATTTAAACGAAAAGATTCTGTTGAAAGATATCTATAATGTATCATGTTTAGAGACAGTAGTTCAATCTGCCTTGTGTCACAAAGAAGGTATAGGAAATGTGTTTTTCATACCTGGTATACGATATAATGACCAAATGAGCGAAACTGATATATACGAAATTGTTCACCAATCTTGTAGGGGACTTCTCGTAATATTGCAGTGCATAGCTAAGTCAAAGATTCAATTCAACGGTTCTAACTGAAAGCTGTCAATTCCTAGATGGTCTTAATGGGGATGCATGCAATATACTTGGATCTGAATTATGGGGTCAAGTAAGATCCATCTTAAGGGAGGAAACAGATATAAAAATTCATCTGATAGATGTTCAGCCTTCTCTATCGGAAGCGAAAGAATTTATTAAATGTCTACTTGTAGATGCAAAAGATATGTGGTCTAAAAAGGCGGAACTTGTATACAGGAAAGGTCGCCTCTTCACCAGTATTATAAAGCAAAATGAACCCGAAACTTGGCATTATAGAAATTCGTTCTTTGATAATAGCTGTACAGTTCAGTTAAAGTCGCGAAATCCGAATAGCTTGTCAGACATGTTCTATGCATTATACAGTAAGGATAGGATTAAAAATAGCCAACAAAATGCAAATGGGAGAAATCCGTATGTAATGATCCATGCAATTGAGTTTTGTCAGCATTCACGACAGGTGCATCCTTTAGTTTTAAGAAATGAGACGAATAGACTATTCATATGGCCCGAAACAGAAGCAAATGGTTTTGATGTGGTATCGTTTGAGGCTGTTGGCTATTTATGCGAAAACGGAGATGTTTGCAAATGTCTGGATTATAGTAAAAACCATGTAAAATGCATTGTATGTTTTCCGTTTACAGTAAAAACAGACCTGTTCGTGCCACTATGTTGTGTGTACCAGACTGCTGATTTACCTGATTATAAACCTGGTGTTCTTTCCGTATCTGTTTTGCTTTGGGAAATAAAAACTCATATTCAAGCTAACCAAGAAATCAATATACTTTGTCAATCTAAACAAAGTTTCGTTGGAAGATTGTTACAGCTTCTATTGCAAAGATCTATAAAAAATGTTCGAGTAGACGTTACCGAATTACCTCATATTAATAATCACGCCGCTGTATTAATACCATTGATAAGTCTCGATGTACCGACAATAGAATGTATCTTACAATCAGACACGTTAAATCACATTCTTGTTTTTGAATCTTTTCTACATCAAGATTTAAAAGACCATTTAAAAACGGGAAAATTCAAGGTGCAAATCTTAAAAGTAGAAAATATTTTTATGAAGAGCAAAATACAAGAAACAGCACCTGATGTCTTTCTTTGGCTCTCAAAGGATTTGCATAAGGCATTCACGGATACCGTGTTTGATAATGACAGTGTTTTTCCTTTGCCAACTAGAACAATACTAGTTGACAGAAAAAACATAGTTAAAGTTAAAGCACCAGTAGGAACACCTTTCAGAAAAGATTGCTCTTACATTATCGTAGGGGGTCTGTCTGGTCTAGGCTGGGTTCTCCTGAAATTGCTGGCCAAACAAGGGGCCGGACAGGTAATAAGTTTGTCAAGACGTCAAATCACACAAGAAAAGCAAAATCAATTGAATGAGTTGAATGAAGCAACCGGGTGTAAATTTAAAACATTTGCTGTCGATATCACAAGACTTGATGACCTGCGATCTGTATTCTGTGAAATAAAAACGGCACACTTCCAGATTAAAGGTATTTTTCAAGGCGCAGGAGTAATTGATGATAAACTGTTTTTCGAAATGAACGAAGAAAAACTAAATGTTCTTCAGCCAAAAGTTCTTGGTACTTGGAATCTTCACTTATTGTCGGCACATATTCCTTTGGATTACTTTGTTGTTCAGTCCTCAATAACAGCTGTTTTTGGAAATCCGGGGCAAAGCAATTATGGAGCTGGAAATTCGTTTATGGACTGCTTAGTGCATTTTCGAAGACAGAAAGGTATGTGCGGACAAACGATAAATTGGGGTCCTTTAAATGTTGGAATGGCAAATGAAATTCCCGAACTAGAGAACATCCTTAAAGAAGCAGGATATCTTTTACTCTCTGAGGCGGAAATAGAACGGATCACTCTAAAAATCCTTGACTCTCCATTGATTCAGTTACTCACAGGAAAATTTGACTGGAATACAATTGGAAGCAATTTATCAAATACAACTGTTGGAAATCAATTAACTATGCAAAAGTTTCATTTAGCATTGACAGAAACAAGTAGAAAAATTGTACCTGGGTGTCTATCATTGGAAAACTTTTCTACTGCGGACATCCAAAACAGATATACCGAACATGTCTTCAAAGTAACAAATGAAATTTGTGGAATCGAAATGGAAAAACTTAGTCTGGAAACACAGATACAAGACCTTGGCATTGATTCTTTACAGGCAATGAGATTTGCACGAAGCATTAACCAGATAAACGGGAACACGACTATAACTGCTGTACACCTCTTGTCACATAATCTATCAATTGGTGATATTGTTGCTAAATTGAAAGAAACAACTATCATTCCGCTAAAAGAAAAAAATGATCATGATATAACGGAAAGCAGAATCACGCTCATGGAAAAGTCTTTATACGAACAGTTTGAGCAAAATAATCTTGATCCTTCGTTGGTCATATACGTAGATTTGGAAGTGTCGCTGAATCTTGCTGATTCGAACAAATGGCAAGATCTTTTTAGAAATGTGGTGAATACGCATCCGGCTTTGCGAACACTATTTGTTAAAAAAGAAGGCCTTGTTCAAAAGAAGATAGTTGACATCAATAAAATAACTCTTCCATTTCAAATTGTCCCCATGACAGAAATTAATCACGTTGAACATCTCCCTCCAAATCAACATTTATTTTTCTTTAACCCATCGAAAGACCTTCCATGCCGACTACTTTTTGCAATCGAAAATGATGTTTGCGTTGTTCGTTTTCTGTTCAATCATATCTGTCTTGACTTTACGTCTGCTGAAATGATACTGGAAGAATTCTTCAGAAGTAAATATTCGATGGTACAAGATCATTTGTCGAGTACTGATGTCGCCATTCTCGTGGAAAAGAAACTTCAAGAAGATCGTGAAAAACTTCGAGAATTCTGGAAATGGTATACTCCAAATGATACTCTGCCTAGTATGAATTTTAACAAACCGAGCCTGGAATTGAATCCACTGTGTTTTGATTTTGCTAAAGTCAGTGTTGAAGCGGATACGGTGAATAACTTGAAAATGTTTCTCAAAAGTCATAACATCAGATTATTTGACTTTATGACAAGCTTGTTTCAGATTCTGTTGCATGCATTTCTCAAACAAAATGTTATCTCCATTTTTACGGATATGGATATGCGAATCCATTTTCCACAGTTTGATAGGACTGTTGGAAAGTTTACCAAGTCAGTTCCCTTGTTTATAAAGATTGACGAGAATTTTAAATTTATTGAATTTGTCAAACGTAACAAAGAACTACATGAAAGAGTTATTGAACACAGCCTTTTGTCTATGGGAGAAATTCTAGAATTGAGCGGACAATCCAAGTTGAATCAAACGGATGTTTTTGCCCATTCTATCATCATGGAAGATAAATCCCAATGGAATATTTTACGGAGAAGCGAAGAGTATACTATAACCGTTAAGAGAATAGTGACTGGCGATTACAATCATGAAAGTGGACTCCTCGTGTGGTATGATATTGAAGGAAAAGGAAATTTAGTCGAGTTTGAATTGTTTTATAATACAATTGCTTTAGACAAGCATCGATCATTGATTTTACTTAAAGCTTTGACAAAATTTATCACTGCTGCAATAAAAAATCCAAATATGAAGATCAAGGAATTCTGTGATTTAATGAAAGATGACCGTCATATTAGTTTACCAATTGAGGAAGGTATCAGTCGCACTGATAAAGAAAGCGGGAAAAGAAAGAAAGCTTTTTGGACCAAATAGTCTCAGTTTTATACAAGTTTTAAGGTTTGTTTAGCTATTTGTTTGTTGATAGGTTTACTTTTTAGTCAACTATATTTCAGAAGCAGCTGTTTTAATAAAAACATCTGACTGAAAAAAGTATGGAATAAACGTCAATGAGAAACTAACAAAACAAGGCATAAAACATGATGACACACTAAGAAAAAAAGTCCTTTTTGAAACGACAAAATGAATCGTTTTCATGGAATGTCATAGTTGAAAGGTTGAAGATTATGTTAAATCTCAACAAAGTTACCATACGATCGTTTCGTCGACATAACAGTTATTGGTGGCGCTCTCGCTTAGAGAAAATGTCTATCCTCATGAAATACCAGTTGAGACCTATTGACTTTAAGAGAAAAAAGTATTTTGTTACTAATTACAATAATTTTTTACTGATTTTGATTTAATAAATTTGTGGGTTCATTCACTCAATAATGCTACTTAGTAAGTGCTAATTACCAGAGAACGTTAAATTACTACTAACAGAACCAATAATGTCTTATTAATTTCATCGAAACTAACATGGCCGATATAGTCTGCACATTTGATAAGAGGATATCAATATGACCTATGTGAATAATTTCAGGACAAGACCTAGTGATAAGCTGCGTACAAAAATAAATAAAAAGTAATGTAAAAAGTAAAATCACAAAAATACTGAACTCCGAGGAAAATTCAATCGGAAAGCCCCTAATCACATGGCAAAATCAAATGATGAAACACATCAAACGAATGGACAACAACTGTCATATTCCTGACTTGGTACAGGCATTTTCAAATGTAGAAAATGGTGGATTGAACCTGGTTTTATAGCGCTAAACCTCTCACTTGTACGACAGTCTCATCAAATTCCGTTATATTTACAACGATGACAAATAATAAAGTATAATGTAAAGTTAGATATATTGATGACGACAGGTTTTGAAGAAAAAAAAAACAATAGCAATTTATGCATATACTTAATCCATGACAATGTGCTTGTTTTATCCAATTATGTTAACGGGTTCGCAAAATCCTAATAAATTGAACACAACTTCTGTATAAATCCTAATATGTGCATACTAAACCCTTTTGTTTACACAATTATAAAATAAGAAGATGTGGTATGACTGTCAATGAGACAACTGTAGGTATAAAGAATTTTATTACTACAGGAGTTTCAATATTTTAAACACCAAAACCATATTAATAAAGCATAAAACAGTTTTACTTTTTTTACTTTTTTCATTGCAGGAAATTTTCATAAGCTGTAGAAAGCTGTAGTTAACAGATACAGGAAAAAAAACGACCTTTTCAAATTAATTATATCGTTTTTGTTCTGAAATGAAACTAAACTGAATACTAAGAACTGGTTAAATATTTTAGAAAAGTTTTATTATAGTATATTTGATGGGAATTGTTGAATATGTTGTGGTTGAAATGTGTATGCGTTCACAAATATTATTGATGTTACTGCATATTTGTGGACTACTCTATAATAACCTCTGATATATCTATAATGCATTTTACAAACCTTTATTGTGTGCTCATTGATTTTTACCAAGGGTTCTTATCCATGTATTTAATGAAAATTAATCTCTATTTGTATTTATACTTGATAGTGATATATATTTGTTTAAACTATGTAGAATTTTGTCCCACAATTACGCGTCTGGTGTACAAAATTGCAACTTGATATATTTGATGAGTTTTTATATGCCCGTTTACGAGACGTATTATGGTAAACAGTTATCCATCCGTCCGTCCGTCGTCAACATGTCGGAAAATAATTCAAAAACGCTTTCACCAATTTTCATAAAACTTTGGTGAATTGTTTATATTTATTGACGTGAGCTACCTTTCGATTTTTAGATTTCTATAAACTTTCGATTTCACGTCTCCCAGTTATGGGATTTTATTCATAAAAAAATGCGGGATTTTCCAGTTTTCTGACTACAAAATGTATAACTCAAAAATTCTTTGAACAATGTTCATGAAACTTTTGTGAATTGTCTATATATATTGACATAAGTTCCCTTTCGAATTTAAAACAATTCTTATTTTATGTTTTGAAGTATTGAGACTTTATTCATAAAAAAGGGGGGACTTTCCAGTATTTCGGACAATAACTCAAGAATGCTTTTAGCAGTTATCATGAAACTTTGGTAACTTTGTTACATCTTTTGAACAAACTCCCTTTTGTTTTTTTTTTCTGATTTCTGAACTTGTCGAAAACTGTCCACTTGGTGACGGGCGTATCATGCGCTCATGGCGCAGTTCTTTATCATACATGATTAAGCAGTTGTACACTAAATAATTGTTAGTTTTTGTCTTATCACTTCTGTGAAATTCTGTCATGTATAATTTTTTTCCTGTGGTTTTCTGTACGTTTATTATGATAAATCACCAGTTAAAGCTTTTAATTTCGCATTTATAAGTACATGTATTAAAGTTTTATTATTTGTAGTAATTCATTGTGAAAATCAACTTAACAATGTTAGAGTAGATCTGATTCATTACTTCCTCTCTGATCGTGGCTGGAACCTGCACTTACTTCTACATCAATCCCGCCCAGCATAGCGCAGACGCCTTGTCCCCTCCTCCAACTATAGATGTTAATAATCAGCTTTCGAAAATACGATGTACAAGGTATATTACACATAGGCAGACATATATCTTTATATATATATACCAGGCATGGGGCGAATTACATTACAATGTAATGCATTATATTACAATTACTTTGACAAAACCATGCATTAAATTACAATTACATGCATTTATCAAAGTAATGCATTAAATTACAATAACTTTTGCAAAGTAATGCATTGAATTACACATTACATTTGTAAATTTTATTATCAAGTGAAAAGAAAAATCAAACATTTTGAAAAGCAACATGAAGTCACAAAAGATTCTGCAGTAACTGTTCCATGTTTTGAATTTAAGTATACATGTAAATGTCTATTCAATACGACTATTACATTTTAACATCATAAGGGTTTCGAAGGTTTTATCCTTCATGCACATTCTATGTTTCAAGGTATACATCTCTGTGTTTTCTCCAAAAAGAAATTACAGGGATGAAGTTTAATACTTATTTTAACTAAATGTTAATTTTAACTTTACTTTTATAAATATACATTTGTTTTTTTTAATTTCAATCAAAATCTTTACTGAGAATTTCTTTCCTAATTATATAATAAACACAGAGCTTAATGCATTAATGTATGACCAAGTGTCAAAATGGTGAAATATTCATTGTAAAACAAACTAATTATTGTCTTATGACAATGTTCAATTATCTTTTATTTAATCATGACAAGGTATTGATTAATCTTTTGGCAACAATAGAATACAGTAAAGCTTTTCAAATATCAATCTTTTTATGCAGGAAAATGTATGAAATAAAATGAAATAAAAAAAAAGAACTCAATCTAAGTATATGTAAGAGAATCATAATCCCTTTCTCCATGAATAAGTACGAGCGTTAGCGAGTACTTATCATGAAGTCAGGGATTATCATTCTCTTACAAACTTAGAATATTGTAAAGTGCTCAAGGCTCAAATGATCTATTCAAGAATTAGTTTCATTGTCAGTACAATGTTTATAATTGATGCATGACTTCCTTTTTCGGCATGTCATTTATGGATAAGTTTTAGTGATGTGAGGATTTCCTTATCATTTGGGAAATATTTTTATAAAAAATGCGTTATAGATATTAGGTGACACAACAGTAGAAAGAAAAGGTAGGAATTGTATGTTTCCTGATTGTGAGTATGAATGTAAATCATGTAATATTTTAGTGAGGAATTATCCTTTTTTATTTACAGTTTAAATCAATTAATACATTTGAGTTACAACTAAATTTTATTTCACAGCCAATAATTTAGTCCGGCTTTTACATCAAATACTGTTTCATTATGTCAGGGAAATGTTCAAAAATAATGCCCTTAAAAGTTATTAATACTGTTTCATTATGTCAGGGAAATTTTCCAAAATAATGCCTTTAAAAGTTTTTAATATGTTCAAAATTAAATTCCTGTTTTTTTTTTATCGGAATACATGTATTGGAAATAACTATTCTTCCCGACCGCTGATCGAGTAATCAAAGTTTTGGAAAGCTAAAGATTTAGGTTATCTTTTATCTGAAAGATTTTTTAATTTTTTTTTTTTTGCATTGCTTTGGTATTGTTTAATTTTATAGTAATTTGAAGTTATTAATATTTTCATAATAAATTCACGGAACCAATTTTACTGCACCAGTAAACTTCAACTTATTTTGAGATTTTTGTTTGTTTCACAATTCAACTTTTAGTCAGTTTCAATTACTGTGTGATAAATCCTTTCAATCTGATAAATGTGCTTCGGGGCAGTTGTAACTCATTTATAGAGACTCTTTGTTTTGAACTGTTACAGTAAATAGACCTAAATAATAGGATAATCCCTTACTAAGAACATGATTTACATTCATTCTTCACAATTAAGAGGCATCCAATTCTACAATTTCATTGGTCGAGAGTACTTTGCTATATTCTAATATACAGTGTTGTGTTATTCATTTAGAATTGTAATTTGGTCATTCTAGTATTTATACCAATTCTTTTCAAGTTCTACCTGGGGCAAGGCTTAATCTCCAAATTCCCTCTAGTGATTTATGAAAAATAAATAGAAAATAGAAAATCAATATTCAAATGATTAGTTCTTAGTTGATAAAGAAATCATAAATTCTGCTTTAGTTAAATCTCCAACAAGCTGTTAAAGATATAAAGTATGTGAAAAAAGTAATACACTGTAATGCATGAAATTACACAACTTTTTGCTAAAGTAATGCATTAGATTACAATTACATGTAATTCAAAAATTGCTGCATTACACATTACATGCAATTACTTGGAAAAATGTAATGCATTACAATTACAAATTTGCATTACCTCATGCCTGATATATACTTCGTCTCTGTAAAAATAAAATTATAAAACAGCATTGAACATCAGTTATAGAATGTAATGAATATCGTGTAATATTAAAAAAACATAATTGTGGCTATCATTTTTAGAAAGTCGAATATCATGCTTCACAGTGTAAAAAAATATTAATACAAAAACCTTTTAATTAAATACAGAAATAAAATCCGTGATGTATAGTTATTGGCACTATGTTATAGGTGTTATTATTATTTTTATGAATTATGATTATTGGCATTATCTTGTATAATTAGTTAATATTATTATTAATATATGATTATTGGCATTATACACCTTATCGCTATTCCCGGCTGACCCGGCCGCTTGAACTTTTGACGTCAACAACAATCACTTTTCCATTGTGGCGTCAGATATTTTGTATTATGACGTCAAAATTTTACGGGAACCTGTGTGATATCCAGTAATGGCGGACAAATAGCGATAAGGTGTATTTTAATATCATCACGATTAGTATGTAACTGGTGCATATTTAATATATACACATGAATCTTAATGTTAATTTAATAATGGTCACGATGTATATTCTATAAGCTGTATTTCATTTGGATAAAGAAATTTTTATCATTCACCATGAGTTCGAGCTAACTGCAGCTTACAGCTTAGAACAGGCAATGATGATAAGCACCAATATCGTATATAGGTTCATGTTTTATGTACCATTTTTGGCCTGTTGTGTGCAGTGTATAACTTTAAATTGAAAGGGTTGGGAACTACTTATTTGGCAAGCTCTTCATTTCAATTTTAAAACTGTTGATTTTGAACATATATCAAAACATTATATCGAATTCCACCAGTATGGTAATCATTATCTCCATATTTTCCTACTTATCAGATTTAGCATCCCATTCTGATCGCACATTCATGATACATGTATATGAATTCAAAAACCAAATACCATATGCATTTATTAATAAGAAATATAATTTTAAAAAGAGTGCAAAATAACCAAGATTAAAAAGATTCTGTTGGCGACCGGGTGTAGGGCAAACATATTGTGTTTGGCAAACCATCCCTATTCCATGGTTATAGGTAATTTGTAATATTTCTACTTTATGCAACAATGTGGGATTAAATCTGCACAACTGGGATTATTTTCAAGGAAAAAAATATTTTATAAAATTTGTTTACATTTTTTATGGAAGGTGGGGAAAGGGATAAGTTTTTACGAATTGTCAGTTGATGGATGAACTGTAACTCTATGTGGTTAGCAGCTGTAATTTATTGAAGCACGACTTTCTGGACTTTGGTTGGTTCAGCTCATTAGTGGACTGCCCCCTAGGAAGATGAATCAAGAGGAAAAAGCATCACTGTAAAGTAAAGAGAGCGTGTAGTGCCGAGTATTGTGTATTTTATATGTTCTCTAGCAATAAATATTACATAAGAACATGCGAGTATGAACTCTGTAGTCTGAGTTTTGGTGTTTGATTTGATTTATAGCGTTATCTGCATGTAAGGGCTCATTTATTCTTGTTCGACTCTCGAAAGATGATTCATCTTTATTGGTAATTTTTTTATTGATAAGATTAGAAACCGTGATAAATTATGTATTCCATACGAAGCCCGTAATAAGGGGTTCGCCTTCGAAGTTCAAATGAGCCCTGGAAAAGTAGAATAACAAGACCAACGCCTAGCTAAATTGTATTGTATTGGAAAGATATGACGTGACATGCACTTTTGGTATAGATACATTAAAATAGTCAATTAATTTCCGGTCTTAATTTGTTCTTACTACTTAAATCATATATATTAAAACTTTGTTTAAACGATGCCAATCGTTTACTGCTCTGGATAAAAGTCCGCATTCTTAAGCTGTTTATGAGGTTGCTGTATGAAATAAAGCAACAGATTTAAAGAGTTCAGTGATTTTCTTTCTTTTTTTTACTCCTCTCTTAATATAAAAGAGCTTATTTTATCTAAAAAAAATGAAAACAGTTTTAACCCAGCCATATGATCATGCTCTCACCCATACCAGGAACTTTGTCAATGAATTTCTTTAGTCATGTTTGTATGTGTAGTCCCTTATAGTATCTGATGTTGATGACAGAGCTTTAATTATCTTTGTTAAATTTGTTCATAACTTTTTTCGACTCTCAGCGAGGATGACCTTGAATTGTTTGCTATAGAAACATGTCTTCTGTTGAAGACTGTGTGTTGATTCCTATATAAAAGTAAGGAGATGCTATATGATTACCAATGAGACAACTATCTTTTTTTTTTAATCTGGCACTATCGTTTTACTTCACTTTTAGCTTTCACTAAAAAAATCAATTTTTGGAGACTATATATTAAAAAGAAGACATAGTATGATTGCTGATGAGACAAAATCTCCACCAGAGTCCAAAGGACGTTGAAAGTTAGCAACTAAATAGGTCACCGTACGGCTTTCAACAAATGGCACGTACATAACAATAATTGAAAAACAACAACAACAAATGACAACAACCGAATTACATGCCTCTTGACTTCGGACAGGCACATACAATACGGGTAGGGTTAACCATATTTGCAGCCGCGCCAACACTCCCAATAATCTGGGACAGTGGTGTAACAGAGAAAACTATAATAATCAGTTGGAAAGGGCTAAACTCATCAGATCAATACAAGGCACAAAAACAGCAAAACAAAAACATAAAAGACACAAAGTACAGATCTGAGAGTACTCGAGATACTGAAAGCAGCTAAGTCAAAACCAATAACAACTATTGAGAAAATCATGTTTCATAAAAATCATGTATGGTGGCTACATCAATATTGGCGAACTTGAAATATAGGATACCATAGATACCGCTAGGTCCGCCGCATATCTCACTTACATCTAGAAGTTGGCAATGATGGCCAGTTGACAACTAATCTTTCCGGCAAAATAAATGATTTCAGTTTTCCCATTGTGGCCGTTCCATTTCTGAGTACTAACATTCCAGCAGCAACTGAATATGGATTATATATCTTCAAGTTGATAAGATATTCAAGGGCATGCATTTCCTATCATTATTCCCTTAATAGACGGTCACTGCTTACGAGGAAGGTCATCTTGATTTGGTTGACCGTTATGGATGACAAGAGATATGTTCCACTTGTCGTTACCACACCCATCATCTTTACCTTAACTTACAAAAACGACTTATCAACGTGCTTTTATTTGCCTTACATGTAGCAACACGACGGATACAAGAAGTAGAGCAGAAACTGCCCAACATTCCAGGGCACCTTAGAGAACCGCAAGCCGTTTTTGTTGTGTTCAAGTTGCTATATTTGTACCCTTCTGTGTACTATTTTTATTATTTTCCATGAGGCATTCTCGTTTTGGCCACGGCGTTTTTCTGTTGTTGGTTTTTATTTTTGCTTTTTTTTTTGTATGATGCAAATTTATAATGAAAAGACTCAGTAAAGGCTAAAGAATAGTTTGACCCGTTCTTTCCTTAAAAATAATTGACCAAAGAAACTTTTTTTTCATATTTACCCCTATTCAAATGAGTGAATAATCCCATACTGTATAGTTACCTGAAAAGGCACCGTTATGACAAAAAAAGAAAACAATTAAAAAGAGATATCCAACGGCCTGATTTATTATACATCAACAGTGAACGCAAAGGCAAACAGCAACCTACGACAACCACTTGGTAACGGATAGGTTTGGGACAGAAACATAAATAATGTGGCGTGGTTTAACATGTGAGTGACGGCTCCACCGGTCTACTAATTTTGAAGAATGGCTTAACAAAACATGTTAAGAACAAAGTGTAAAAGTCAGCTGGAAAGGGCTTTACACATCAGAATGGTACATAGCGCACAAAAAATAACAAAATAATAAAAGACTCTAACAATTAATCTAAGAGTACTCACAGATACTTAAAGTTAGTTCAAAGTTCAATTTTAAATAAACCCTGCTCTTTTACACAAAATCTCAATCTGCACACCTCCAACGGATTTAGCCTAAAGACGTCAGTAACAGTCTGAGAATACTGAACAACATGACCATGCGTAATACCAACATATAATAGCTATCGGCAATATGAAGAATCGTAAGTGTTAATATCTGGATAAGCAGCACTTGTTTTGTTATGTATCGAAATATTGAAAATAAAATTAGTGTTAGTAACGTAAAGGCAACTAGTAAACATAATCTTACTATACATATGAATCTCAACAGGACAGCATACTGCAATTTTCGCCAAAAACACGCGTGGTGTTTATATCATTTTAAATCATTCAGTTATAATCATCATTTCGTAATTTTTACGGACGCCATCACGAGTTGGTTGACCGTTATGGAATATCCGTTTCACGGCTAGTATAGCGGATCTGTTCTTATTGTTGTAACTACAATCCCGTCCCCTTTTCACGAATGTGAACTACCGAATCAGACTTATTACCAGGTTTGTCCTAACATGAGCAACACGACGGGTGCCACATGTGGAGCAGGATCTGCTTACCCTTCCAGAGCACCTGAGATAACCCTCAATTTTTGACGCGGTTCGTGTTGCTTAGTCTTTAGTTTTCTATGTTGTGTATTGTGTGCTATTGTTTGTCTGTTGTCTTTATTCTTTTTTATTTATCACTCAAAGTGTAGACAAGTGAAATATCAGTCACAACGTTGATATTGATATAATTTTCACTTCAAAGAATGTACGCGGGTACGAGGTCAGATCAAACTTCTTAATAAACTGATGTAGAAATTGTGCTTTTTTACATTGGAATATCGGTGGGTGAACTTCTTATAAGATCCCGGTCACGCACTTCTTCCATTAAACTGCAGTTCTCTAATTGAGTATTAGCGCACTATTGCCCATACAACAAATGTGCAAGAAAATACTTTACACTCGGTGCAAGATGAAAAAAAGTCTGATGTTGCGATTACGGGATGCTGTGCACAGCTCAGTTCCCCGTGCTTGAAACCATCTATTGAGATAATATCCACCAAAGGTTGTTGAAGGCTGACCAAGGAATGTCTGTATGTTGATATTCTTCTGGCATGTGAGACCAGGAATCATGTTTGTGTTTCCTCTAGCTACTGATGATTTAGTATGCATCTCTAGCGTTGTAATTGATACGGGGCCATGTACTATTCTGTAGATCATCATATAATCTTTTTGCAGTGGCTATTTTGCCGAGAAAATAGCGATAATATAGAGTTTTGCTATTATTCCGGTCTTAATTAAGATTTTCAGTATATAAATTAAGAATAGAAAAATATAGAAACAAACACTTTGATAAGAAAATCTCTTAACAATATGTCTTCTTTAAAACATTTATACAATGTGTATATATGTCTCTGACTATAGAATAGACTGTCCATGCACAAAGCGTGCATATTAAAATTAATATTTAAAAATAAAAAATCTCTAAAAAGTATGTCTTTCAGTTTAAAACATATTTACAAAGAATAAATATAAAAATTTATATTTAAAAAAACATATTTATACACATTAATAAATCGACATTCTAATTAAAACTTTAAATAAAAATATCCTATTAGTTTTGAAATTAAAAGTAACATTCAACAACCTCAAAATGTTCTACAAGTGTTACAAAACCAGTGACTTGCTTTTGGTGCATTTTTAAGTCTTGCACAAGAAAGAAGATGTTGTCACTGCTAACATGATGAACTGCACATGACACTTGTTTCTTTTGCGTTAGCATCACTTTTGCAAAAATTGCAGATATATACATTAAAATCAACTTTCATAGAAAAAATACTGACTCAATAGATTGCCATTCATCGTCTGTTACAAGAAAGACCCATGATTTTCTAAGAAGGTTGGTGGATAGGGTTCTTAAAATAGTGTATTTATTATTTGTTAATTTTGTGAATTTTATAGTCCTCAAATCACGTTTCCAAAGTTGTAAATAGTTGTCGTTTTCAAAGTGTTCCAAAACCTGTTGTTGTAAGAGGCAAGGATGTACATGTTAGTTATACGTCCTTGTAAGAGGTCAGTGTTTTTTTGTTGTTTTTTTTACTAAGTATGATTTTTGTCTCTCCATAAAACAAGATATTTGTATCTGTGTTATTCTTTTTCTTATAAAACAAAATAAAACTAATTTTCATTTTTTCTGTAAGTTTAAAAAAGGGGAATACTTGGGTTTCAATACATCATTTCCTTAATGAAAGCAACGTATGCATTGCCGCATATATGGCATAGATAAAGAACAGGTGCTTAGCAACATTTGATTCTCTAAAGATCGATATACTTGTGATCATTTTTGTTTTGATATTTGCAAATCGTGTTGTCGGGTTCACGACAGTGAATTTAGCTTCAATTTTTTTTCGCGGGTATTTTTACAGAAACGAAACCGAAAGTAGAAATACATTTTTTGGAAGTAATGGAACTTTCAAACTTTCAGTATAAGTTATTATCAGCAGTTAAAGGTCAGCTATTCAGATTGTAGAAAATCCACGGGGAAATCATTTTCATGATCTCTGAATATTTTAGGTAAGTTATTTACTATATTTGTTTTACCAAGGATTTGTATAGTTTCTATACAAATCCTTTGTTTTACTAGAGCATTTGCAGTTCATAACCAAAAATAAAGACTGTTAAAGTGAAAAATAAGTAAAAAGTACAAGAAAAATTAGGAAATATCAGCAACCAACTAGTAAGAAAAACGTTTGCCACCATTACACTACATTTTAAATCCGGAAGAAGTATTAAGGTTCATGTGGACCCTTCGTCTAAAATGGCTGCATTTTCACCTCAAAATTTACTCTGAGTACAGACAAACCTGTGCATCTGGAAAAGTTTTAAGGCATAGCATGCCCTAGATAAATAAAATTCAAATATATTTTATGTTTATGAAAATTAAAAACTTAACCAGATTTTGCAGTGCACTTTTTTTCATTCCACCAGAAGGTGCCAAAATAAACAAAGTTGGGAAAGAGGTTTGAGAACTTCCCCACAGGTAATAATTGAAGTGAACTGTTTTGATTGACATGGACAATAGATGGACAATAGATACCTGACAATAATTGGTGATTTAAACTGTGTACCTGAGTGGACCATATCAAGAGAAACTCAACTGTTTGTTAATTTTATCATCTTCTGCAGGGACGAAAAAAAGTGCACTGCTAAATCCAGTTAAGTTTTAAATTTTCTAAAACATACAATGCATTAGAAGTTTATTTATCTAGGGCATGCTATGCCTTAAAACTTTTCCAGATGCGCAGGTATGTCTGTCCTCAGAGTAAATTTTGAGGTGAAAATGCAGCCATTTCAGCCAAAGGGTCCACATGAACCTTAAGCATCTATCTCCCATAATAGAATTCCTGTTAATTTCTCTTAGGGAGAAATTGATCAGGAATGAAAGGGGTTGATCTGTTGAAAAGTTCATCATTAGAGTGATAAAGGAGTAGGTTCGATATGGCCATAATTTTGGGATTTTATTGATCAATATTAAAATGAGCTATAGCGAACAAATACAATGCATAGATAGGAATTAGATATGACTTTAAATGTAGCAAATTTACGTCCTAAGTGTGTTATATTCATGACATCAAAAATACCACTTATTTTTATTTTCCACGAAAATTTTAAGAAAACAGGTAAATTTTCATTGATTTTTGGGATAGGAAACATAGAGACCATGTGTTGAAAAAAAAGATCTTATAACGCAATGTTTTTTATGACATTTTATATAAGTGACTTGAATATCAAGTTTGTCAATACCTGCACTCTGCATTTCCAGGTCTTAGTTTGGTCAAATTGAGACTGTTTTGTAAATCTAGCAAAAAACTAATTCAGATGTAATAATCAACCTTTGATAAAAGACCTTTATCATTTAACTTTTCTGTCTTTTTATCAACTTAATCCTTTTTTCATTTTGAAACATTGAACTTAATAATAAAATTTCAAACCCTTCATACCCAGAAGTAAAATAATCAGAATTTTACACTTTTGGTTTCACTTTTGAGGCAAAAGTAGTTTTGAACAGTATCAAGTGTCAAAATATAAAGTGATTTTAATATTTCTGGTTTTGTTTGGTTCAATTGTTTTTATCATCTTGAAGACTTAAGAGAAACAGCATTCAATCTATCAAAAGCTTTTAAAAATGAAGCTTCAGACATTGTAAAAAAAAAGCTCAATAAAACCTGTTGCAGCTGTTGGTGATAAAGCTAGTATTTAACTTGCCTTTTCCTTTTATCTACAGAAATCGTCTCTGAAACTACCATGACTGCAGGGCATATTAAAAACAAATTTGGCCAAAATCATCATTTTGGTATCTAGTTTAAATAATTTTTCTGATGATCCTGTGTGTCAAAAGGGCATGGTCAACATGGCTAAAGATAGAACAAGGGACAAAATGCATTATTTGTCTTTTATTTTTAAACCTAGATATATAGAAAGTCTGACAGGGGCAGAGATGTTCAGAATGTCAAGGTCTTTGTAATATCCATTTTGTCAAAAATTGTCAGACACTCTTTAAACTTTTAATAGCAAAAATAATTACCAAGACAGGATCTTCAATTATGTAAACATGGTCAATATTATCAGTGTGATTTTTAATGTCTTGGACAAACCAACAAAAATGCAACCAGCAAAAATGATCAGCAAGACAAGATGAACAAATAGGTGAACTATTCAGAAATTTTCTGTTAACTTCTTCCAGTTGTCATTGCCCTTTAATGACAATTTTTATCACTTTTTGTCTCGTCTTGACAGAGTCAAAAAGCGAGACATAGGTATGCTGTTTCCGGTGTGGGCAGCGGCAGCAGCGGCATCAACAATGTATTAGTTTATGATTAGGTCTAGTTTACGGTGAACCACTAGTGGTAGGTCAGTGATATTTGGTATGCAGTTGTATTAGCATTGGCACATCTCATCACCATGGAGATTATGTGGCCCTGCCCTGCCCCCTCAGTCATGGTCTATTGACTTCTAAACTTTGCTTAGTTTACATGTATTAGTTTGTGATTAGGTCAGTTTATGGGGAACCACTAGTGGTAGGTCAATGATATTTGGTATGCAGTTGTATAAGCATTGGCATATCTCATTTCCATGGAGATTATTTGGCCCCGCCCCCTCTGTCATGGTCTATTGGCTTTGAAACTTTTGCTTAGTTTTCATGTATTAGTTTGTGATAAGGTCAGTTAAGAGGGACTGTTAGTGGTAGGCCAATGTTAATTGGTATGCAGTTGTATAAGCATTAGCACATCTCTTTTATAGCTTACTGTACGGTATGGGCTTTGCTCATTGTTGAAGGCCGTACAGTGACCTATAGTTGTTAATTTCTGTGTCATTTGGTCTCTTGTGGAGAGTTGTCTCATTGGCAATCATACCACATCTTTTTTTTTATATTTACATGTTTAAGTATTGCTATTTTAATTTCAACATTTGCATTATCAAAAAAACAAATAGACAAGACATTTCTCTGTGTTAACAGTGTTGTTCATGGCAAAATCTATTTTGATAGAGATAAACTGTACACAGAAAAAATGGTGAGTGACACTAAGAATTTTGTAAAACCTGAAATCCACAAAAATTATTATGTCCATTTGATTCAAACTTTAAGACTATTCCTGATAGTTGTTGACCATAAATTCAAATTTTACCTTTTTTGTGTTCAAGTTATAATCTTTGAAACTAAAATAGTAATCAGGATTTTGAAATAGGGGGTCCAAGGGCCCAAGACTTTTGGAGTGGAACAGGTAAAAAGACTGGATTAACCCTAAATGTTGCTCCCCTTAAATCAGCCTCTGGTAGTTTGATCTACAAGAAAAGATATACAAATTTGTGGTCAATATAGAGAAATGGGCAATATACTCCTTACAAGAGTTATTACCCTTTAATGGACTTTTTTTCACATTTTTGCCAGTTTTTTTGTTTTGTTTATTTGTTTCTATCTATTTTTTAACATTGTTGTACCATAGTTTTGAATTTTTCACAGTTTAAACTGTAAATAGCAAAAATTATCATCAAGATAGATCTAAAGAAAAATCAAAATGATGACTCCTTACACACACACATTTTTTTTTTTGGGGGGGGGGACGGGGGTGGCAATTTTTTTCCCTCAAGATCTAAGAAATTAAATAGAAAATTTCTTCAAATACTATTTGTTTTGGAGGGAGGGGGTCAATTTTTTTCCCTCAAGATTTAAGAAATTATCAGTTTTCCAAAAAAAAAATTGAGGGTCACAATTCATTTTGCAAATTCTTTGTATATATAGTCTGAAAACTGATTTACTAAGTATTGTGCAACAGCACAGTGTATTGCACAACAGCAAGAAATCTTCAATTGAATATAAATTCAAATCATATAACCAATTTCAAGTTCTTTGACTACATTTATTGTGTGTCAGAAACCAGTATAATGTGTCAAATATTTAATTACAATTCAAATTCAGACCTGTATCAAGCTTGAATATTGTGTCCATTTTTGCACCAGCTGTTCAGGATTGGACATCTGCAGTCATATCCAGCTTAGTTTGGTGAAGCAGTTTATTTTTTATTTTCATGAAAACTACAGGAGAGCTTTTGTGTTCATTTAGACATTTTAAATATATTTTTTGTATATAACCTAAGAACTGTTTAGTCCAAATTTTATAGCTTTTACCATCACTTGTAGTTCGTCCTCTGACATCATCCTTTAACTTTTAAAAATTATTGGAATTACAGTATTGTGATGTTTTCCCCACCTAAAAAATTGAATCAATTTGATCTATAGTAATATCAAAGTCAATTATATCTCCTTCCAAAAGTTATTTCTCTTTGCCTATTTATACATTCTTTGATTCACTTGAATGTATTCCGTAGATTAGTTTAATGGGTGAACTGCACTTGCCAGTTTCAAATTAACAATTATATGAATCCGTCAAAGAAAAAAAATAATAGAAAAAATCACATTAAAGTAACTCAATTTGATGCTTTATGTTATGTGCAGATATATGCCCTTGAAATCAATGTAAGCAATATGTCTATACATCTATAAGAGGACATTGGATAGAGCGATAATGGCAATATATTGTTCATTGGCAAATTTGACAAAGGAGTAGGCCCAGTAAGACCCCTTTTTGGCCCCAAAATATAGCAGTTTTACAAAATTGTTAAAATATAAATGATTAGCTATTTATTGTAAAGAAGAATACTTTTGTTACATAAATATGAGCTGTTTTTGACAATACAATGCATGCACATGTTTAGGGTACTAGCATAGATAATTAAGTCATGCTAAATTACTGAAATCTTCGAAATTATAGCATTTTGGTTAATTTTTAGACGGTTTCCGTCTGAAATGGAAGTGGCCGCATTTGTGTTCATTCTTAATATTTAAATGTAAGTTGTATTTAATGATAATACATAACATATATAAAGGTTGAGAATGAACACGGCTGCCGCCAATTTCATTTTTGACAAAAACCATCTGAAAAGTGACATATTATGGCATATTTGATAGATTTTTCATATTTAAGCTTGAATTTGAGTGTCTTTAATGACTAAATTAGTTCAAATCTTTCACATAAACTAATTGAATCGACTGAAGTAGACACTTAAGTGTTTAAAAAGTGTCCAAAATCTTTCATCAGATGAACCTGAAATTTGAGGCCAAAATCGGCCCTTACCGGACCTACTCCTTTGAAAGTTCTTTGATACAATGATCTGTATTCTACAGTGACTTATTAAGCATATCCTACAATACATTCAATTGTAAGAAAATTATAACATAATAAAAATACTTTTCCTAGTAATGTGTAAATAATGATTTATCAAATTTATAGAAATGTAAATGAAAGTAGATATGGGATATGTGCATGAAGGAAATGTACAACAACCTAATGTACAACAACCTAGTGACACAAATATGAAATATGATTAGTTTTAATAAATTATCTTTAACATATATATGAATGAACTGTTTATCTGATAAAGTTCATGTTATCTTATCATATTCTAATAAATTAAAAAGTTAAATACCTACCAGTACATTTGTAATTTTATACCACTTAAATATGCAGTTAGAATTGATTAGTACATTGTATTGTATCAATTTAAAATGCCAGTTTTCTGTGATATGGTATGATATTTTTAGCTCACCTTGCCCAAAGGGCCAAGTGAGCTTTTCTCATCACTTGATGTCCGTCGTCCGTCGTCGTCGTTAACTTTTTACATTTTGAACATCTTCTAGAGAACCACTGAATGGAATTAAACCAAACATGGCATGAATGTTCCTTATGAGGTGCTGACCAAGTGTTGTTACTTTGTAGCCGATCCATCATCCAAGATGGCCGCCAGCGGGGGACTTCGTTTAACATAGGACCCTATGGACAATTCATACAAATGTCTTCTTTTAGAGAACCACTGAATGGAATTAAACCAAATATGGCATGAATGTTCCTTATGAGGTGCAGACCAAGTGTTGTTAACTTTGAAGCCAATCTATCATCCAAGATGGCCGTCAGAGGGGGACTTAGTTTAACAAAGGACCCTATGGACAATACATACAGATGTCTTCTTTTAGAGAACCACTGAATGGAATGAAACTAAACATGGGATACATGAGGTGCTGATGAAGACCTTAATACATGTATCTTTATAGATTGAGATCTACTGTAAACTGCAAAAATATCAAGAAAAGAAGATCTACACATAAGTCAACATGAGCAATATTGTCTATTGACATCTTGTTGGAGTTATTGTCCTTATAAAGTCATTTTCAAGCTTGATAATATGTGAATAGGTCAGGAAAACTATCAGAAATATATGATAAGGTCAATAAAGTTCCCTTAATTTCTTCTTCTGTCATATTTCTTGGTGTTCCCGGCTGTGTTTTATTAACCAATAATTTTTCCCTTTTGACACTTTGGTATTCCACTCTAAGTCTTACATTATACACCACATGAATTACCTATGCAATATATGAAAAGATATACATTTTTTAAAAACTAAATTATATGAAAAGGGTGGGGTAACAGAACCCCAGCGGCACCCCTACCAATTAAGTATTAAGCCCCTCTCCCCAAGAGTAGAAGCTTTTGAGAGTATGAAACAAGAATTTTTCTGTTCCTAACTTCTATGGTTATTAATTGCATATATAATTTTATCTTGATCATGTTAATGCTATTCTTCAAACATGCATATGGAATACATGAATCTGATGTTCATAAGTGTTTCTTGTTTGTTGATGTGGTTCATAAGTGTTTCTCGTTTCTCGTTTTTTATATAGATTATACCGTTGGTTTTCCCATTTGAATGGTTTAACACTAGTCATTTTTGGGGCCCTTTTATAGCTTGCTGTTCAGTGTGACAGTACTTTGACCTATAATGGTTTACTTTTACAAATTGTGACATGGATGGAGAGTTGTCTCATTGGCACTCATACCACATCTTCTTATATCTATATGTTTGTTGGTTTTATTAATTTTTTTTTTTGGGGGGGGAGGGGGGGGGGGTTGTGTTTGTAAATAACAGATTACTTTTGTTTTATTTGACACCTAGGGAATAATCTTTAATAAATCATATGAAGGTTTGGTAGAAAATGAAAGTAGGAGAAGACAAGGGATTTCAAGATGCACTTGTGTTTGTATTTCTTTTACTATTGAAAATGATCATTTGTTTCATGCATGATCAGCATCAACCCATGCACATGATGCATATACATTGTATATGAATGCACCATGATGACTATAGTGCCTAAGTCCTGTTCTACTTACTGCCATTAGCTAAGACTTCAAGATTAAGAGAGCCCATGTACTAGATGCCCTCCTCAATTGATAACTATTTTCACTTGATTTTTTTTCTTTTCAGGAAGACAGTTAACATTTATAACATGTGAAATATACTGTGTTAACTAGCATAGCTGATAAATTCCAAGAGTAACAATAGCAATAAGTGTTATTTCATACAGCTGCACAATGCATAGTTGTCCACAGTGTGGAGACATAGTAACAAAAGAACAGAAGTTTTGTTCAAACTGTGCATGGAAAGTTGACAGCGCCATATTTGACCAGGAAGGAATTATCTGCACAGGACATAATGATGATGGTACTGATTGTGGAAGACAGCTTACAATCAATACAAAGTTTTGTCCAGATTGTGCTACACCAGTCAAGAAAGCAGGTTAGATAGTTTAGATAAAAGCATTGACATTAAGAATATTTGCATCAGAAGATTGCTTGATCAGAACCAAACACATACAGTTTGGGTTAGTTTACTTCATGTTTTTAAAGCCACTGTGGAACTTAAGTAATCATTCAATGTATAACTGTATGTAAAATATAACATCTTCCAAACAATACTTTTTAAATATCCTAAATAAAAATCCTAAATGAACATGCACTGCTTTCATTTTGATATCTATGGAAAGCCTCAGCTGTCATATATTAGAGATTTACAAAACGTTATGCTGAAGCTTAAAATGTAAAGTTAAGACAGCGTGGTGTTGAATTGAGTCATCAAAATGCTTACTCTAAATTACAATTTGCTAAGTTGAATTTGCGCAATGTTGACTTGCAAGGACAAGTGCTTTAGTCGTGATAGTATAATGATAAGTCATGATGTTGTGATGATATGCCAAACACACGTAACGTTGGGTTTAAAGTACATAATGTGAAGTTGACGTTGCATGATGTTAGCTTGCAGATGGATACTGCTCAGTCATCCACTTCGATAGCTATGATAACAAATAAAATGAATAGCTAAACTGTATGGTGCTAACTTGTTATTAATAAATGTTGAGCTGAGATAGTACAATGTTATATCATTGTGATATTACGATAGGTCTATCATGCAATCTGTTGATTTAAAACACCATGATGCACAGTTGAAAGTACATGATGTTAAGTTAAGATAACACGATGCTCCACCACTATATTGAAACGAAAGGCTTACCATACAATTTGTTGACTTAAAACAACACGATGCAACGTGTTAAGCTAAGATGCTCACTTGAAACTACACGACGTACAGTTGAAATTTCGTAATGTTAAGCTACGATAGCACGATGGTATATCATTATAATGTCACAATAGGCTTATTATACAATTTGCTCATTTAAAACTACACAACGTACAGTTGAAAGTACGTAATGTTAAGCTAAGATGGCACGTTGTTATATCATTAGAATGTCACGATAGGCTTACCACACGATATGCTCGTTTAAAACTACACGACGTACAGTTGAAAGTACGTGATGTTGAGCTAAGTTGCAATATCTTATATCATAATAATATCGCGATAGGCTTGCCATACAATATGCTCATTTAAAACTACACGACGTACAGTTGAAAGTATGTTTTGTTCAGCTAAGACAGCACAATGTTATATCATTATAATGTCACGATAGGCTTATTATACAATTTGCTCATTTAAAATTACACCACGTACAGCTGAAAGTACGTGCTGTTAAGCCAAGATAGCACGTTGTTATATCATTAGAATGTCACGATAGGCTTACCACACGATATGCTCATTTAAAACTACATGATTTTCAGTCCAAACTAGGTGATGTTAAGCTAAGATAGCATGTTGTTATATCATTTGAATGTCACGATAGGCTTTCCATACAATATGCTCATTTAAAACTACACAACGTACAGTTGAAAGTATGTGATGTTGAGGTATGATAGCAGGATGTTAAATCATAATAATATCACGATAGGCTTGCCATACAATATGCTCATTCAAAACTACACGACGTACAGTTGAAAGGACGTGTTGTTGAGCTAAGATAGCACGATGTTATCTCATTATGACGTCACGAGAGGATTATCATACAATGTGTTGACTTGAAACTACACGATGTAAATTTGAAGTAGTTTGGTCTTGACTTGAAACAGTAAAATGTTAAGTTATAAAAACAGAACGTAAAGGCAAAATAAAACAATGATAGGATGACATATATTTGTGCAGAATTGAAGATTTTTGGTGTTGACTTCGAATATAGTACAAATATTACATCGTTTAATGTAAAATTGAAAGACAATAATGATGCGTAAAACATTACAGAATTATGTGAATTGAAACTGCAATTCTATGGAAAAGAATGAGGGACAAATCCCCAGGATTTTTTCTTCCTCATTTGCAAGTTCTGAGGCAAAATGATATACAAAGAATGTTTTCCATAAATTTATAAAGCAAAAGAATTGCCCATCGCTATATATTACACTTGAATACAGTTTTGCCGTATATTTTACATGTTTTGTTTGGATTTTTTTTTATGATTAAAAACCAGACTTTTTTTATGAACAATATTTAAGAAAATATGTATCTACATTGTGTGTTAATAAATACAACACAATAATGGGCTTATAAGACTTATGACTGTGAGGGTCAAATTTTATTCATATAAAATCACATCTATGTAAGAGTTATCGGAGAATTTGTATTTACCATGCACTCCCGTTTTCCCCGAAATTAAACATAAGAATCTGGAGTCTTAATCTTAAAAAAAAACATGATCAACTGATATGACAAATAATACGCTTAGCGTAGGACTGAGAGGGTCAGAGCTATATGAGAATTTGCCCCCTCCCTTGTTAGAGGTATCTGAAAATTTGAATTTTCTTTTCCACGAAATAAAACAAAAAGAATTGATAGGTGGAAGAATCCTACTGCATGGGGCCAACCCAAACATAAAGTATGGTAGATTCTGTTGTATACTTTTCGCTCATACATTAAGTCTATATGAAACCTAATGAAATTTGACCTAGAGCCTCCAGTCTAAATCGTCAACTTTAAAAAAAAAAATACATCATTTACAGCAGTGCCAACTATTTTTCCAGCACCAAGTAAGATAGTGCCCAGGTTTATGTATATATCCACTCGGAGAATATCTTATTTTTTTAAATTGGTAAAGTCTTTAATGGACAATGACCCCTATAACTTAAAATAAGAAGCCAATTAATGATTTCCATCACTTATTTTCTTGTCCATAGTGATTTTCTTGGTTCTTTGCAGCTTCTCTCCATCTATTTGTGTTTTCAAAGAAAAAGAAAAAAAATCAAAAATCTGTAAAAATTGTTAAAGTCCATGAATTCTTTTGGTATTGCTTTGATTAATTTGTAGATATGTTTTTTGATGTCAACAGTTTCTCTCTCTCTCTCTCTCTCTCTCTCTCTCTCTCTCATAGTTTTCATGAGTGTGGTCTAAATTAAAATCGGTAGATTTTTTTTAAATTATTTTCCAAAATGTAGTTTATTCTTTTTTGAAAAACATAATAAAAAGTTTGGGCCACAGAGCATTTTGCAAGCTACAGGTTATGCAGTATTGTCAGATTTTGTATAAACTTTACATGGAAAACTCAATGTTAGAAAATAAAAATAAAAATTGGGATCACGAGACTCGTTTTCTGTCTACAAAATAAAATAGTTAAGTCCCTACACATTTCATCATTAGAGACGAAATATGCCAAAGGGATTTCAAACACATAAGTCGAAAACAGACTGACAATGCCATGGCAAAAAATTTAAAAAAAATTAAAAAAACGACAAAAAATAATGTTATCCGAGTTATCTCCCCTATATGAAAACGTTGAAAAACATATGCAAAAAACGTTCTGTATTCAAAAACAAATAGTCGTTTTAATCAGATAAATCTCATAATTTTCTTCATCAAGATGAAAAGTACTACATATGAATTACATTCCTCTCTCAAAATGTGTATATTGTTTTAGATCTAGACCGATTGTGTTGAACTATATGAGAATCTAAGGGAGCGGGGGGGGGGGGGGGGGGGGGGGGGGGGCTAGGATGAAAAATTTTGTCCTGCCTTTTTTTAGTTGTTTTTAGTTGCAATCTCTGTCCTGCCTTTTTATTTATCACTCTATTCGGTCCTGCATTTTTTTTTTTGTATTAGTTTATTCTGACTTTTTTTTACATAAATTGTCATCCTGCCTTTTTATTTAGCCAAGTTGCTCATCCTGCCTTTTTTTTTACTCAAAACTCCTGTACTGCCTTTTTTCAAATTTCATCCTAGCCCTCCAATTAAAATCAAATGGTAGCTCTCTAAGATGGCGGAAGACACCCGATCTACCCAAAGGGCAATATATCTAATGAGGAAGAAATTTACAATTTCGGTTACGTCGAGTTACTTGTAGCTCTCCTTTTGTTGAAAAGGGTTTCTTTTTTCATTCATCCATCTATTGTACTGTTCAGGGGGAGGGGAGAATCGAAAAAAAAAATACACAAAAATGGATAAAAGAAGGCGAACGATACAAAAGGGATAGTAAAAATATTAACCAAACTGACAATGTCATGACAAAAACTCATCAGCCGAAATAAACGAGAGAAAAAAGACCAAAAGCCAAACAACAGTATATTAAGCGCAACATATAGAAAACCAAAAACTGAGTAACACGAAACCCTAAAAAAAGGGGTGATCTCAGGTGCTCCAGAAGGGTAGGCAGATCCTGTTTCATAAGTGGCACCCGTCACTTGGCGATTTTGCAAATAAGAAGGAATGTGTTATAATTTTCGAGGAACTCCCAAAAAACACGATTTACAGAGTGTCAAATCGATGAACGTGCTTAAAATAGTCTCCTTTTCGTAAAAAAGAATTGATGAAAATGTATTTGTATTTTGTGTACAGTGGCAAATATTACATGCATATAAGGACGAGAATATGTAAATGAATAAATCTTGGCTCTGTACAAGACCTATTTTGCTTGCTTAGCCGAATTTTTAACAAACTAGTTGACAAACCGTCTCTGACAATCTATGGAAATCCAAAATAGCATCGGTTTTGATTAAGTCCAGATGTTTTGGTTTTATTTCGGGGAAAAGAGGTGCCTTTTACATACAGTGGCAAATATTACATGCATATCAGGACGAGAACATGTAAGTGTGATATGAATATGAATAAACCCTGCTTTGTTACAAGACACACTTTACTTGCCTAGCCGAATTTTCAACGAACTAGTCGACAAACTGTCTCTGGCATTCTATGGAAATCGTAATCGCATCGCTTTTGATTAAGTCCAGATTCTTTAGTTTTATTTCGTGGAAAAGAAAATTCAAATTTTCAGATACCTCTAACATGACCAGGGGGGGGGGGGGGAGGTCACATTCTGATATAGCTCTGACCCTCTCAGTCCTACGCTAAGCGTCATATCAGTTGATCTTTGTTTTTTTAAGATTAAGACTCCAGATTCTTATGTTCTATTTCGTGGAAAACGGGAGTGGTAAATACAAATTCTCCGCTAACTCTTACATAGATGTGATTTTATATGAGTAAAATTTGACCCTCACAGTCATAAGTCTTATAAGCACAATATTATGTTGTATATATTAACACACAACATAGATAAATATTTTCTTAAATCTTGTTCAAAAAAAAAGTTTGGTTTAATCATAAAAAAAAATCCAAACAAAACATGTAAAATATACGGCAAAACTGTATTCAAGTGTAATATATAGCGATGGGTTATTCTTTTGCTTTATGAATTTATGGAAAACTTTCTTTGTATATCATTTTGCCTCCGGAGTTAAATTACTTTAATATTCATCAACTTGCAAATGAAGAAGAAAAATCCTGGGGATTTGTCCCTCATTCTTTTCCATAGAATTGCAGTTTCAATTCACATAATTCTGTAATGTTTTACGCATCGTTATTGTCTTTCAATTTAACATAAAACGATGTAATATTTGTACTATATTCGAAGTCAACACCAAAAATCTTCAATTCTGCACAAGTATATGTCATCCTATCATTGTTTATTTTGACTTTACGTTCTGTTTTTATAACTTAACATTTTACTGTTTCAAGTCAAGGCCAAACTACTTCAAATTTACATCGTGTAGTTTCAAGTCAACACATTGTATGATAATCCTCTCGTGACGTCATAATGAGATAACATCGTGCTATCTTAGCTCAACAACACGTACTTTCAACTGTACGTCATGTAGTTTTGAATGAGCATATTGTATGGCAAGCCTATCGTGATATTATTTTGATATAACATCGTGCTATCATAGCTCAACATCACATACTTTCAACTGTACATTGTGTAGTTCTAAATGAGCATATTGTATGGTAAGCCTATCGTGACATTCAAATGATATAACAACATGCTATCTTAGCTTAACATCACCTAGTTTCAACTGAAAATCATGTAGTTTTAAATGAGCATATCGTGTGGTAAGCCTATCGTGACATTCTAATGATATAACAACGTGCTGTCTTAGCTTAACATCACGTACTTTCAGCTGTACGTGGTGTAATTTTAAATGAGCAAATTGTATAATAAGCCTATCGTGACATTATAATGATATAACATCGTGCTGTCTTAGCTGAACAACACGTATTTTCAACTGTACGTCGTGTAGTTTTAAATGAGCATATTGTGTGGCAAGCCTATCGTGATATTATTATGATATAAGATATTGCTATCATAGCTCAACATCACGTACTTTCAATTGTACGTCATGTAGTTTTAAACGAGCATATCGTGTGGTAAGCCTATCGTGACATTCTAATGATATAACGACGTACCATCTTAGCTTAACATCACGTACTTTCAACTGTACGTTGTGTAGTTTTAAATGAGCAAATTGTAGAACAAGCCTATTGTGACATTATAATGATATAACATCGTGCTATCGTAGCTTAACATTACAAAATTTCAGCTGTACGTCGTGTAGTTTCAAGTGAGCATCTTAGCTTAACACGTTGCATCGTGTTGTTTTAAGTCAACAAATTGTATGGTAAGCCTTTCGTTTCAATATAGTGGTATAGGATCGTGTTATCTTAACTTAACATCATGTATTTTCAACTGTGCATCATGGTGTTTTAAATCAACAGATTGCATGATAGACCTATCGTAATATCACAATGATATAACATCGTACTATCTCAGCTCAACATTTATTAATAACAAGTCAGCACCATACAGTTTAGCTATTCATTTTATTTGTTATCATAGCTATCGAAGTGGATGACTGAGCAGTGTCCATCTGCAAGCTAACATCATGCAACGTCAACTTCACATCATGTACTTTAAACCCAACGTTACGTGTGTTTGGCATATCATCACAACATCGTGACTTATCATTATACTATCACGATTAAAGCACTTGTCATTGCAAGTCAACATTGCGCAAATTCAACTTAGCAAATTGTAATTTAGAGTTAGCATTTTGATGACTCAATTCAACATCACGCTGTCTTAAATTTACATTTTAAGCTTCAGCATAACGTTTTGTAAATCTCTAATATATGACAGCTGAGGCTTTCCATAGATATCTATATTTCAGATGCAGACATGCCCGTCTCTGATTCTAACCTGTCGGATGCAGATAATCCCATAAACGGACATGATGTACATAAACCAGTTGGTTCAACAGACTCTGAAGTAAAACAACACAACAATGGTATAACTCATTCAACAGAACAAGATGGAGAAGGTCAAAATGTTCCAAATCAAAATGAGTCTGAAGACAGCATGATAAAGAATAGTGATGTTGCTAATGGTAACAGTAAGGAAATTACTTCTTCAACAGACAGTACTCCATCTGATACTAAAGCATCAGTAAAACTGGCAACAGGTCAAAAGACTCCAGAGCCTAATTCTGAAGGTCAAAAAGATAATCCAGATTCTTCACCAGAAAGTCAAGAGCTGATTCAGGAATCAAAATCGGCCAGTAAAGAACAGACTCAAGAAATTCCTACTAGTCAGATACAGATACCAGATTCAGATTCTAAACCTTTCAGCCATGAACAAACAGGATCAAATAGGGATGAAGACAAAATGGAAGTTTCATCATCACAAGTACCAGGATCAAAGAATAAAACCTGTCATACCAAAAGTACTACTGATGAGCCAATTCCTGAAACACCATCAAGTAAGCAAATCCTTTTGTAACATACATTTATGTTATTAAAGACCAGCTAAGTATCTAAAAAAATATTCTGCACCTCCTGTTTTCCTTTTTTAATTGTAATGATGTTTGGGGTCTCAGATAGCACAACATGGACTGTCTAATGGGAGTGGGGTATGAATTTGTGAGTTCTGCTCACATGATTTTCTATATTTTTGGTGGTTGTGGCCTTTTTTGCCTCAACTTACAACTAAGATGTGTAAACAATGTTATTTTGTATATTGCTCCTACTGATTTTTATTTTTTATTTCCTGAAATTTGATTTAAAAATTTAGTTTTCATTTGACCTGTTTATGTATCTGTTCTTTCAGAAAAACTGAAATTAGCAAATGAAAGAGATTCATCTAGATTCAAGGAAAGTTCCATAAAGGACAGAACAGTAACAACACAGCGTCACTCAGTATTTGGACATGACAATAATCAAGACAAGCCAACTGTCTCTGATGAAACTACAACAGACTCTCCACCAGGACCAAGTTCTGAAAGATTCAAAGATTCATTTATTTTTGGTGCATCATCTAACCTCACAAATCCAAGTTACTGCAAAGGGGAATCAAGTTCACAAAAAGATGATACTGATGTGTCTCAAGGTAGAGAAGATGGGCACAAGGAAAAAGACAAAACTGATAAAGAAAATACTGCAATATCAGAGAAAGAAGGGAAACAAGATGAAGAAAGCACTGAGGATGACAGTAGTGATAGTAAAGATTCTGATAGTGAAAAGTCTGATGAAGACAGCAAAAACTTGCCTGCTAGTCAAAAGAGGAAGAAAGATAGAAAGAAAAACAAAAAGATAAAGGAAGGAAAGAAGAAGGAAAGAAAGAAAAGGAAGGAGAATAAAGATGGAAATTCAAATACAAACAGCTCATCTTCTAAAGTTACTAAATCTTCAACAGGAAATAATTCTGCTAGTACTAAGGTAAAAATACGAAATATGTATATAATATAGAAGACCTTTATGCTTTATACCTTTTATACAGTTGCCTAATATGTTAAGAAGTTTCCTTCTAGTTTTTTTGTCATGTGAATTTCTCATTTATTATGAGTAAAAGAATAACTTACTTGATATATATATGGGCTCCTTGCAGGGTCTATTTATCCATCAGACAGTCTTTATCTGACCTGAACTTCATTTTGTGTATTATTTTTTCGATCAAGGTTCAGTTTTTGTGGTTAAGTCTCTGTTTCAGATACTATAAGCAGAAAGTCAACTTGATTTGGTGTATTGAGTGATTGTAAGGTAAAAATGCTTGTCTGGCAGTTTTATTATAACTTTGACCTAATTTTCATGGCTTATTGGTCAATATGTTTTAATATGACTGCAAAACTTTTGCAATCATATAATGTTATGAAGTTGTCATGGTCTGAAGACTTTTGGTTTCCAGACAATAACTTGAGTATAAGTGTATGGATCTCTATGAAATTGTAGCACAAGGTTTAATACCACAAAAGGAAGGTTGTAATTGATTATGGGTGGTTCTTGGCCAAAAAGAGACCCAAAAAAACTAGGATTTTCGAGTTTCCTGACAATAACTTGAGTATAAGTCTATGGATACTTGTGAAATTGTACTAAAAGGTTCCATACCTAAAAAGGAAGGTTGGGATTGAGTTTGGGGGCTATGGCCCCTGATGTTTAAGATAAAGGGCCCAAAAAACAATACATTTCTAACATAACAAACAACAACTGTTGACGTTTTACTTGTAATCAAATCAAGCTAAAATGATGTCGACCTAGTATACAAAAGCAATTGGAGACATAGCCAATTGCATGGTCTTCTTAACATTTATAAGCAATTGGTTAAATATATTTTGTGTATGGAATGATTGTAAGGTGTTACAGTACATGTCTGTCTGGCAAGTTTGCCTGACTTTGACTTCATCTTCATTGTTCATTTGTCAATGTTAATTTTTTGTTGCTTAGTCTATGTTTCAGATACTATAACCAAAAGCTCAATTTTATTTGGTGTATGGAATACATGTGTGTCTTATATAGATATAGGAAGATGTGGTATGAGTGCCAATTAGACAACCCTCCATCCAAGTCACAATTTGTAAAAAGTAAACCATTATAGGTCAAAGTACGGCCTTCAACACAGAGCCTTGGCTCACACCAAACAGCAAGCTGTGAAAGGCCCCCAAAATGACTAGTGTAAAACCATTCAAACAGGAAAACCAACAGTCTAATATATATAAAATACGAGAAACACTTATGAACCACATCAACAAACGACAACCACTGCACAACAGGTTCCTGACTTAGGACAGGTGCAAACAAATGCAGTGCGTTTAAAAGTTTTAACAGGCACCAGCCTTCACCCTTACCTAAAATAGTAGTATAACATTACAACTTAGAAAGACACACTATAAAATATCAATTGAAATGGCTTAACTCGATCAAAAAGAAATATTAACAAAACAAGTAAACATACACTGAACTAGATGCAACTTGTAAAATAGGTTTGGTGTATGGAATAAGTGTTTGGTGTACATGTCTGTCTAGCATGTTCAACTGACTTTGACCTCATTTTCATGGTTCATAGGTGGGAAATTTTATGTTGAGGTCTGTTTCTCAGATATTGTAAGCAATGAATTTTAACTATATTTGGTGAATGGAGTGATTGTAAGGTGACATGGTTCATCTGACCGTGACCTCATTTACATAAATCATTGATAATGTTTATATTATGTTATGTAGTATAAGCACTTTCTTTATGACTTTAGACATATATTTAATTATGATCTGACTGTAAACCAGGCGAGATGTTTCGGTCTGTGCAATTTGTGTATGACAATTTAGAAGTAAATAACCATGCAGTTTAAGATATGTTATTTTTAAATGACCAATGAAAATCATTGTATAATTAAAAGAAGTTATATATGAAATAATGTTGGAAATTAATTATGTTTTGTGGTTTGTTTAAACCATGCACACAAGCTGCTAAAATATCAATGAACAGCAAAATTGTGCAATATGAATGTTGTCATGTAAATATCTATTAGAATATAAAATTGATTAACAATTATTTTTTTTTTTCAGAGTTATGGGACTGGTGGAAAAACATCTGTGGGAGAAACTACAGGGTATGTGTTCAATCCAGGTTATTTAAAAATATTAATATTATGAATAAGAAAGTAAGATCGTAGTCCTTTGTTTATTTATAAATTTGTTTAAGAAGTTAGACTTTTAAACTCTGCCATTCAATCACAAGATGTTGCAACTTACATCTGAAGCTTTTGTCTTGCCTGCCAGACAAAGAGATGTTACTTTGTCAGGAATGGGGTTAGTTGGAGTTTAGTATGGCGTTCATTATCACTGAACTAGTATATATATTTGTTTAGGGGCCAGCTGAAGGACGCCTCCGGGTGCGATAATTTCTCGCTGCATTGAAGACCTGTTGGTGACCTTCTGCTGTTGTCTGTTTTATGGTCGGGTTGTTGTCTCTTTGACACATTCCCCATTTCCATTCTCAATTTTATTAGCTAGTGCAGTAATAATGTAAACTTTATGAATGAAGCTTTATATTTCAGAAGTTAGAAGAGCTTTTATACTGTATTTAGGAAACAGATACCTTATGGTGTGAAGAGTATGTCTAGCATTTGTCAACAATCTCAATAGTCTAGTTTTAGCTTGTTCCCCTCAAGTGCAGAAAGTCTTGGGATCAATTCCCAGTCTGGTCAAACCAAAGACTTGAAATTTGATATTTGCTCCTTATCCACTAAGCATTAAGCATTTAAGAGCCACTAAGCTTTTAGCATTTTTAAAAAAGAGCAAAGACTGGTCATCCTGGTGTCAGAATAATGAATCAGGGAAGGCTGACATGTCTTCCTGAGGACTGTTACCTTGTAAACTAGCAAGTTAAAAAATCAGGCTCAGTGTTTTGGTCTAGTACAAGAAGGGTTCATATATTCCTATCACATTAACATGTCCTTGTCCTGACTGTGCATTTAACTTGCCACTGGACGATAAACAGCCATTCATCATTATCATCTAGCAGATGTGATGTGTCCATGCATGACATCATTTTTATAGATCTTTGATAATATAAAGCGTTTGTGATACCTTTCCTTGAAAGACACAAATTCAGTCATTGTCAGTAAACCAGGGGATTCATTTTAGTGTGTGCATAATCTTGTGTATGTTTTGCACAAGATTTGGTAGTGGGATCTGATTTATAGATAATTAACGGTAATATGTTGACAAACACCAATCCTTCTTTTTTCATGACTTCCAAAAAAAAAAGGAAATTAAGTGAAAAGCAAGAAAATTTGATGTCATAACTGGATTTTGAACAATGAAGAACTGAGATCAAACAAACCACATGTTGATTAAATAAAAAATAATCACAGGTCAGGAAAATTATAAAACGGTTAAGAATTAGAGAAATGAAATAATAACTGGTATTAAATTATTTTTATTATATTGATTTGTAGAATAGAATAGCTGTTTAATTATCACAATATGTTTGTTTTTTAATTATTTTATTTTTTTAAGTTCAACAATAATACATTTAATATGATTTTTTCTCTAAACAATAAGAGTAGATCAGCATACACAAATACATGCCTATATAGAGAACGATGGAACATCATCATATGCTTCACAATTACAATACAAAGTCCATAAATGATATAGTTTGCTTTGTCTTTTAATTTGAGAAAGGTGCTTGCTTCTGTATTTTCTATTTTCTTTTTTTACAATTCAAGCAGTAGTAAAAAGCCAGAAGGGAAGAAACCAAATACAAGTTCCTTTATAGACGTATGTTTTCATGCTGTTATTTCACCCACAATTCTGACCAATCCAGATAAAGACTTTGTGGTTGTTACATTTGAGAAGTATGGTGGTGGTTGGGAGAGCAAAAAATACAAATTAAAATTGGAAAGGTATCTATGCTTTATTTATTGTCATCACTCCTTTCTCAGACCAATGTAATGAAGGTGAGACTAAGACATGTTATTCAGGCTGTGGCGTCAACAATGAATAAGTTTGTGATTAAGTCAGCTAATAAACAAACGATAAAGGGAACCACTAGTATATATGTATCAACAGAGTAACGATCATTAAAGGTGTTAATTGGGCCATAAGCACTTTATAGAGAAAACAGTAACGTAAAAAATGCTACAAATGTACTTTGACTTGTAGAATTAATTCTTTTGAAAAAAAAGCAAGCCATATATGAATTTTTTTTTTTCGTATAAAAATTATCAGAAGATTAAATGAACACTTCATCACCACACCTGAAGTCTAACTTTCATTGATCAAAACTAATTTTTTCATGAGAATTAAAATGTTAAAAGTTGTACAATTTAGGTTTTTTAAAGATTAAATGAGTAAAATCCTGTCTAAAGTTGAATTTATAGTTCATAGTGTGTTTGCTGATATTCCTTGTATTCTCTAGATTATATGCCCTTAGTCGTGTAGTAAAACCTACATGGGTATCTTTCCATGTTTTGATTTCAACAACAGTTGTTATATTACATTGGGCACATAAATTTGTGGATAAAGCCATCCACAAAAACCACTAAATTTGTACCCACAAATAAAAGTACTTTCAAAGTATAATATGTAGTTTTATTATTGTTTGCAAATCTCTTATGCATGTGAATTATTTGACTCTGCCCCCTCAGTCATGGCCTATTGGCTTTGAAGATTATTTGGCTCTGCCCCTCAGTCAGTCTATTGGCTTTAGTCTACCGGTATTGGCTTTGAAGATTATTTGGCTCTTCCCCCTCAGTCATGGCCTATTGGCTTTGAAGATTATTTGGCTCTTCCCCCTCAGTCATGGCCTATTGGCTTTGAAGATTTAATTTGGCTCTGCCCCCTCAGTCATGGTCTATTGGCTTTGAAGATTATTTTGCTCTGCCCCCTCAGTCATGGCCTATTGGCTTTGAAGATTATTTGGTTCTGTCCCCTCAGTCATGGTCTATTGGCTTTGAAGATTATTTGGCTCTGCCCCTTCAGTCATGGTCTATTGGCTTTAGTCTATTGGCTTTGAAGATAATTTGGCTCTGCCCCTCAGTCATGGTCTATTGGCTTTAGTCTACCAGTATTGGCTTTGAAGATTATTTGGCTCTGCCCCTTAGTCATGGTCTATTGGCTTTAGTCTACCGGTATTGGCTTTGAAGATTATTTGGCTCTGCCCCTTCAGTCATGGTCTATTGGCTTTAGTCTATTGGCTTTGAAGATTATTTGGCTCTGCCCCTTCAGTCATGGTCTATTGACTTTAAAGATTATTTGGCTCTGCCCCTTCAGTCATGGTCTATTGGCTTTAGTCTATTGGCTTTGAAGATTATTTGGTTAAAATGCTAATGTTTTTTTTCAATGATTATTGATTTTATTACCAAGTTCACAAATGGCTTCCACTGCAAAGCTCATTTATTTAACATTGTTCATGTCTTGAAAATTTCAAGGTTTTGAAGAGGTCATTTTCTGGACTGGTAAGGAAAAGGGTATGAATTGGAGGTGAACTTAAACAAGTGATTGTGGGCTGAATAAAGTGTTTGCTTTTCATCCTTGTAGCTTGAACTGTAATTTGTATTTATATTTTCTTTCGTAGTTTCATTAACTTTGATAGAAAAAATGTAACAATACTTTAATTGTCATGAATATGGATCAAGCTTAGATGTTCTAATTTAGCTTAGCAGGCAACTGTTGTATATGATAACAGTTTAGTTTTCATTGTAAAGTCATGGAAATTATATGTCTCTCTCTTTTAATTGTACTTATATTTGATTGGATGATTTTCAGAGCCAAAAAAAGGGCACATATTTTACTCACATTTTGGCATGTCATATAATGTTATGACATGATTTCTCATTTCTAGAGGTTGGCATGTATGTTTGAATTGACAGTCAAAGGTCTTCAAAGTAACAATATTGCATTTTTTACAGGCCAAGAGCAGATGGTTACATAGTTGGCACTGTGACAGTTGCCATTCCAAAAGATATGGTTTCATCACAATCAGGTCCATTTTACTATAACTATGTGGCATATCATGAAGATGGCAAGAACAGCAAAACTTTCGAATATTTTCACCGTACATTTGCTGGAAGAGATTTGACAGAAAAGGGTTATAAAAGAACTTTATCATTACCTTTAAAGCATTCATCTAAAGGTGCTACAATTTACAATTTTAAAATATTATTATTTTATGCTGTTTTCTTTCAAATTAAAATAATTAGAAAAATTTAAACTGCATAAGGGATTAGGTATTGATAATTCACTTGGCAACCCAGAATATACTAACAACACTTTACAAACTGAAGATGAAATTCTAATTAATCATAGATCTGTTTATGTTCTATTTGAATATCAACCAAAAAACTGGATTGGCCTTTCCTCTACTGAATACTTTAACTACCAAGGTTATATTGCTGGGTCCCCAAATGCTCTATGAAAAAATGTACGGTACCCGATTATTTTAAACATCTTTTTATCAGCATTCAAGACCAGGCTTCAGACTGTGACACTGCCTAATCAATGGGTGATGTGAATCTAAAGTGTATAATAAAAATTATCAAAGATCTGTTTGAGTATATACAACCTCAAATCCCAATCCTCTAGCAATAATATAAATCATTTAATTTCTTTTCCATTTACACATTGGAATTTTAAAACTTGTCCAACTTTCTTTTGTTAAAAAGAATTGCCAGTGTAGATGTGGACATAATTTTTGTGGAAAAGTGGATTAAATAAAAGAAGGTAAAAACTTGTTACAATAAAACTACAATTTTGAGAAACATCTATATTTGTGCTAGGATTTCCACAAAAAATGCTATAAAAGTGTAAGTTAGTGCCAAGACCCTCACGGGTAGTCAAGGTCTTTAAAAACCACCGTTGTTATCCGTGCCTCTGTGGTTTGAATGTTCAACATAGTTTATCTACAACAATCTTTAGCCTGTCAACACTACAGTTGTGAGTTATAGCCTGTCAACACTGAGGTTGTGAATTACAACCCCACTTGTTCAACTTTAATCCTCATTGTCTTAACTAAGGATTGTCAGTTTTCCTGCCAAAAGTCTATGGTTCTCTCAGAATAATCCTGCTTCCTCATCCAAGATAAACTTACTGCCACGATATAGTCAAATGCTGAATGTGGTGTTAAACACCAACAATCAATTAGTAATATGCATCCAAATTCTCAGTGTCTGAAATTATCTGTTGGCAGCCTTTTTCAAAATGGTTATAAATAAGGATTTATTTAGACAGTTTGGATTACCTAAGGTTTGGAAATTTAATAATGTCTTATGGTTAGACAAGAGGCATTTACAAATTAAGTAATGTGAGCTTGACTTTAACTTTGATTAACTTCTAATAATTCTAACAATTGATATAGCTTATTAGACAGACATTTTTGCCTGTTTCTAGATATATACCATAGTTATGATGGAGTTGTTAGAGAAGACCCAAGGCTAGGCAGAATTAAAAGCAAAAATTTTTGGGACAATGTGAAAAAGTTCTTTGGAGTAGATAGCTACTATAAACTACTTTGTGAAGATGCAGAACTTGCAGTGTCAGCATTCCAACCAGATTGGCAGTTAAAATCTTTGAAAAGTGATGGATTAAATGGTGAACAAATGATTTTGCAAGTGGGCCAGATAAGGGATGGACTTAGGAAACTTTTTGTCAACGATATGTCAGTAATGTATGGATCTGACTTTGATCCAATATTTTCCAAAGTAAGTAATCAGTTACTGGAGTAAGGTAATAAACAGATGCCTACGGTGAAAAAGTTAACCCTGGTTTGACCTCTTTATGCCTGTATAGTATACTAGTATATTATTAACTTTCAGAGATCAACATAGTCATTATCAATTTTCAGTCAACAAATTTATTCTGCAAGACGCTTAATCACCGGTCTTTCGGTTTGAAAATGAGGATGCTTGAAATTTTTTGTAATTATCACCAGCTCTGTATTTGTATTTTCTTCCAAATAATGACCATTTAGAAAATTTCATCACTATTTTCTAAGGGATTGGCAATCAGAATACCCTGAAATTTGGTACCGACCTTCATGTGGGCATACTATACTGTGTGATGCATCTTTTTAACTTTCTGTTTGCCGAATACTTATAGGGGGTATCATAAGTGAGCAGTAACTCACAGCTCAACTTGTTATTTAAATGACTTTTCTGCTTGGATTTTAATTTAAATAGATTCTGTGATACTTTTTATTATTGCGCCACCAGAGTTGTACAAGGTTTAAATGTCTGTTAGCAAGGTGAAAGTCTGAAGCGTAGTTTCAAATATATAAAGTGTGCAATTATTGACAAAATGTCTTTTACAAATTTTTATTGCAGGGTTTTTCATCACATATGAAAAAAGTCATACATGGGTTGGACAAAATTGGCAAAGAACCAGTCAATATTGAAACAAAGTCTCTTCGCTTAACTACAGCAGTCTCTGTCACATACTTAATCAATGAATATGATGTTAAAATAGAATACAAAGAGAAGAGAATGTTATGTGAGGCACTGTTGCCAATGCCAGATTTTGAAAATAAAACATCAACAGATCTAGAAGACTTAAAGAATTTTCTACCGAATGTTTTCAGGTCTGTAATTTATTGATTGAAATAAATATTGCAAATTTTTGCAAAGAAATAAGGAAAAATATTTACAATTCTCATTTTTGGTATATTTTTTAGTCTCAGTTAGTCTTTAATAATTTGGTTTGAGTATGTAACATAACACTTATTATCTTAACAAAAAAACATTTTCTGTTTAAAGGTGAGTTGATATCCTAAGATGAAGCCAGTTGTTGTGATATGTTTTAAAAACAAACAAAAATTACCTACAAATTTGAGGGTGTTGCAAAATATCATTGGTCATCCATTCATATGGTGATCAGTGTTAATTATATATGATTATACATCTAAATAGCAAATCATGCAAAAGAGCCATTGTCAACCATACTTTTTTTTAACATGGGAAACCATACAAAAATTTCATTCAAATAAATTGTGAACTTTTGAATTCTTTTGTTTAAATTATCTCCATTCAATGCAAACTCTTCTTTCTACAGTAAAGTAGCTGATTCTGTATTGAAGTTTTCAAGAACGATTGCCGGAAAATCATCAGACCCTTGTTGGATGTTTTGTGTTCCTGTTATTCATTTTATGTTAAATGATATAAGACCTTTTGAAGAACCAACTGTAAAAGTGAACCATAATGACAGCGTTCCAAAATGGTGGGGCATTGACCAGTTTGGATACGACATTGACCATTTCAAATATCAATCAAAATGGGACAGGTAATCATATTTATATAGTTATATGGAAAAGCTTGGTGGTTAATGTCCTTCTGTCTTTATTTTTTGGGTATGAATACCAGTAAATGTTTTTTGGGAAAGACGGCTTCAAGCCGTCAATTCCCTATGTGGCTGGCCAGTCTTCCAAGCCCATCACGTCACTCATTTTGTTTTTATAGTTGGGGAAAACACCTCAAAGTTTCATACTGAATTGATGAGAAGGAGACACACAAATGAACAGATTGACTTTATAAACACTTTTTAACACATTTGCCTTCTGTATCTCGTGAAATTATCGTATCTTGTGCTCTCCTTAACATTATTTACGTTTCTTTTACAATCCGGAAAAATCAGTATTACGAAATATTCTAAATATATCCAACCTAGTGACGTCATGGTTGGAATTCCACACTTGGGCTGTGTTTGGATATACGCCAGAGGTGGCCTATGGTTATCCATAGGTACCTTTGGTTTGATATTCTATATATCAAAATATCAAACCATGGGTACCCAAAGATACCTATGGGTAACCATAGGCTGCCTTAGGCGTATATCCAAACACAGCCAATGTAGAAGCAGGGATATCCTTTCCTCATTATTAAAATCATTCACAGAAATCGTGTATGATTTAGAAATCGGTATTTGTTTATTTAAAAACATAATTATGTTTGCTGTAGATGATTCAAACATGCAATGCTTTGATTTGTAGGTCAACTTTCACGGTAAACAATGGGGATACATGGGATTGGGGAGAGAAACATCAGTTTTCATTCTTTTCTGTAACTGTATTGAGAATCTCTTCTCCAATACAGAAACACCTCAAATTGATGAGTAATTATCCACCTAAAGAAAAGTTTCTGTATCTGAACACTTCAAATGTGATATTTATTATATGATAAGTATAAGTTTTCCATTAAAACAAAATTTTATGTACCAACATAATCATTGTAATGGTAAAAAAAATATTAAAATTTTCAAATGGCTTTTTGTAGTTTAAACATATTTAAATGGAAATTTAAAACTGAATAGACTATTCAGTCCTCACTTTATCGAGAAAAAATTTATAAAATCTTAGATCCCTGTCACAAAAAATGGAGAAATGCCCTAGCTTGCAGTTCAGTGGTATACAATAAAAAAAATATATATTGTTGTAGTTATTAAATGATAGAATTCAATTGAATTTTAGATAATTAACTTTCACTTTACTTTAATGAAATGTTTTGAATTAGAAGATGCCAAACTCTTTATTGGTCCAAATTGATTCTATGATGAATTCTTGGCTAAGGAAATGAAATTACATTATTAACCAACAATTCATTTCAATATTATCAATCTTTCTACATGTTTTTGCTCATTCTTTGTATGAAGACTATCAAAAGATACACAAAAAAAATAGAAACATTTGCCGTCTTTTCCCTCAGAGCTTTTAAGCTCTTTGATTAACAGATTTTAGTCTGGGATGAGAACATGACATGTACCACTAGAGGGTCAGCATACCTGCCAACTTATGAAAATCCCTATGAGGATTTTAGTGTGCAACAACAATTTTAAAGGTTACATTTTTTATTGCTGTTTTGGACTCTAGAAAAGTGTCAAATTTTTTTTAATGGTATACTGTGATGATGAGCTAATAAGCCCTTTTATTCTTTTTACTTGCATGATTCTTGTTCTTATACAATTGTGAAGCAAAGATGAACATGTAGCTACAATACCAGGAAATATTTTCTTGTGTATAAGGAATATTAAAGTGACTTTTCCAATTGACATTTTTCCAATTTAAAATTTTGACAAAGAAGTATATTTATCTGATTCCTTGTGAAAAATAAAAGACAGTACATTGTACTTTAAATTATTTGATATTTGAATAACAAGAATGATAACACTGTATGATTTGTTACAATAAGTGATAATGTCCATAAGCTACTATTTATTATGTTGATGGTAGCACTGCATGCTTTTCTTCTTGAGCTGTGTATTAAACTTTTTGCAGATGAAAATCCATCAGCCATGATGAAGATTTTTACTATTCTGACAAATGGACAGGGAATTTTTTAAGTTCAGTTAGACGTCACAAATACAGTATTACTTGCATACGTTGAAATGACGTTTTAATTACGAATTAATTTACGTAAAAAAATAACGTCATAATTGATGATAAAGGAAAAATTAATAAAAATAAGATTTTAGATAAACTATCTTGCCATGCTAATTGGTTTTCGGAAATATTCTAAATTGATGAAAGCAATACCAAAACAGTGGTTACAAGAGCTCATAAAAGAAGAGTCAATCAAAACAAAAGTTGCTACCGACTCCGAATTTAAATTCAAAGATAGAGAAGGAAAAATGGTACCAATAAAAATATTTTCCTCGAAAGATATCTACATCTGGCTTTTAAATAGATATTATGAGAAAGCAATAGGATTTCAAAAATGGGACAGAATTTTGAATTTAGATAACAATACAAGGAAAAGAGAACAAATGTTGTACTTCATCTTTAACTATATCCAAGATAATAAATTGAGAATGTTAAGATGGAAATTTCTACATTACATTTTACCAACAAAACAATTACTTTTCTCTTGGAAAATAACTAAAACTCCTCTATGTAATATATGTAATGTCATTGAAGATTATGATCATTACTTTCTGACATGCAAATATCTAAAATCATTTTGGGATCAAATAAAACTAATACTAGACAAACTTAAAATAGGACATCATATAATATCACTGGCATCACTTTTGTATGGATATAAGATAAACGATACAAATTATTACAATATCAACGATTTTCTAACAATCATTCTTTTAACTATATATAAAGTGTATTACATATCCGAGCAGAAAACAAAACAAATTAATGTGTTTGAAATTTTTAAAAGTGAACTTCTCCAACATTACGAAATATTGACAAATAAACAAGGCAAATATAAAAACTTCTACAATTTGGTTGCAGAAAAAATTAATTTATCTCCTTAACTAAGATTTATAATATATCATAGTAATTTCTTTTTATTCTGTTATACATTATTTATTAGCAAAACTGTATGTTGTGTACTAACAAGTACTAACCTTATGAAATGCTATATACTAACGTCAACGAGACCGGGATAAGGTACCGGTACTTTATGTATCTCTAACAAATGTACATTTCAACAAAAAAAAAAAAAAATACCGTCAGAACAACGTCATTTTAACGTATTTGTAAAATTCAATTACGTAAATGTTACGTTTATTATACGTCTTGTAATACGTTAAAGTTCGACGTTATAAAAACATCATTACAACGTATTCTCAAAAGTTCATTACGTAAATATTACGTAAAAATATGTTATGCTTTATGTTACCAAACCCAGACGTCACAATGACATCAAACTAAGGTAATGTCAGCAGTTACTTATATACGACCAAATGATTACGTCGTATGTTTCTTGGGTTATAGCTGACTATGTGGTATTGGTTGTACTTATTGTTGAAGGCCTTACAGTGACCTATAGTTGTCAATATCTGTGTCATTTGGTCTCTTCAAGCAGAGGAGAGTTGTCTCATTGGCAATCATACCACATCTTCTTATTTTCATATAATAGATTGAACAAATGTGAATTACGCTGAATCTTGACTTATTTGAGATTTTTACACAACCAAGTTCAACTAATCAGTTATAATTAATTTGATATATTTATAAAATATTTGTGAATAAAAGGAGATTTTGGATAAGCATCAATGAAACAGCAACCTAACAGTATGGTTCTAGTGTTTGTAATTTGAATAATATGTTTATATAAAAAGAATTTCTATTTCTTTTTTACAGGTCAGCTGGTGACATGTTTAAAGTGTTGAATCCATATTTTGATGTGGATTATTTATTACCCAGGACTTTGATAGCATCACTAAAGCTAGAGATGTTGCAAGATGTTTTAACAACCAATAGAATTCCACTAGATATTACCATAGCTGTTCTTTACTACTATTTGAGAGTTACCTACACCAACCTTGTGAGTGTCAGGATTATAGATATATAACCTATATGTTTGACTTTTTCACAATATTTTTTGTTTTGTTTTTCTTGTAGATCAAAGTAATTAAGGTCATTTTGTAAAGGTATATTATATTTGTTTTTGGGTAAAGATTGCATGAAATACTATCAAAACCCTATGGGACTGATTGGATGTCTAAATCTTCCAAGGTTGATCACTACTTTTGAGATACACAAAATATAGTGGATTGATCATAACATTCTAAACATCCTATCCATGAAAATTTCCCGAAATTTATTAATGAAATATATGCTCGGATATTCAAGTTACAAATGATGTTATGCTTGTCAAGAAAATTACATAACTTGTACAAGGTGCAGTAATCTAATGTCTGTTCTAAAAATATCAATGATGTAATTGTTAATTGTAGTTATCTTCCTTTGTCCATATATAATTGTAGTTGAATTTAATTGTTTAATTTTACTTCCCACTGAAAAATTAAAGCAATCTTTACCCTTCAGTGCTTACCAGCACTTTGATTCGTTCATTGTTTTGTACATAAATCAGGCCGTAAGTTTTCTAGTTTGAATTGTTTTACATTTATCACTTCTCATAGCTGACTATGAGGTATGGGTTTTGCTCATTGTTGATGGCCGTACGGTGACCTATAGTTGTTAGCTTCTACCGTCATTTGGTCTCTTGTGGAGAGTTGTCTCATTTGCAATCATACCACATCTTATTTTTATATTGAATGACTCACTGGGGAACAGGATAAAGTTTGAAGGAGGTGGGTTTAACCCCAAGTTTACAAATCAACCTTTAGCAATAAACTTAAAATCAACATTATGGAATGACAGGCAAACATTTTATCCAAATGGGTCGTAAACAGAAGATATATAAAATAATATGCCCAGGTGCAGACAAGATAAACATCACTCATCACATATTTGAGGAAACGTGACTTAGGAACATAATTTCTTGTTTACTTGGGAAGCAGCATCCACCCAACAGCTGTAGCTATCTTAGCTAGTTTCAGTCAGTACCAAACACGTTTTGACCCATCATACTTGATTATTTATCAATTTTTAAAGCAATTTCTTTCATGCTATAGCATATAGCCATCTTTGTAACCTAGATCTATCAACCCAAATTTTTGAGCAGATAAAACTGATTCCTCGTCTGTCATTCTAAAAATCCTCTGTATGTTTTCTAATGGAATACATTAATTGAAACAGTTGAAAAACAACAGTTGGTTTGTAAAGTTTCAACATATGTTCTTGTAGATGTATTTGTATTTAAGAGGACAACCGATTGACTTATCAAAGAACGTAGAAGGCAGAGTGAGAAAGTGCATTTTTTATACCTGCAATTTCCTTCTTGAGACGTTTCATCAAAATATTGAAACATGTCAGTTGTTGATTTAATATTGAAAATTTGACTGAATTATACCTTATACAGTTAAATGTTATTTAATTCATGTTTCTTTTTTGAAAGAGGTCAAGTTGCTCTTGTCCATTCATAAAATCTTCGTTCATTCATAAAATTATCGTAAAATCACTACGCACGTTATAGTATTGTAAAAATCAAGATCTCGAGACATTGTCAAATGTCATAATGACCCTACACAATGCATGACCATCGTCTTTTCATTTAAAGGTTTAAAAATAGATCTCTCTAGCATTGACCGTGTACCAGTTTGATCTTTTTCATAGGGCGGTCCACCAGCCCTTTCCCGATTGAAACCCTGTATTCTTTTAATTTGCCCTGCCCGATTTTGTGAATTTGTACATGAACAAAAAATTGTCTGATTTTGAACTTTTCCCCAGGTAGACAATCATGATCAGCTAATCAAAATCGTAGTTTCTCGTGATTATTGGGCTGTATTTGATCAGCCTATCAAAATCGTTGTTTTCTCATGATTATTGGGCTGCATTGCAAACATGCTAAATTTTGAACTTGTTTGGAACATCGGAATTGTACAAATCGTGATCATGGCAGATGATAGTTCGGTGAAACACTCGTGTCAGGAAAGTTGAAATCATCAACTCAATGGTTAAATTTAAACCAATTACATGTATGATATACTTAAAATTAAAATAGAAGCAATAGAGATAATGAAGCCAGATGCATGGATTGTCATGTTAATAATTGTTCAGTAATAAACACTCTACAAGGGAATAATCTGTTATGTCTTTTTCAGGAGTTATACATTTCCACAAATATATTTGCCTCCCCAGAAGCCGGGTAAACAGGTTGTCACCCTGGGAAATGTTAAACATTGTAAAATTGACTTTCTGATAGATAATAAAATTGAGAATGGAAATGGGGAATATGTCAAAGAGACAACAACCCGACCAAAGAGCAGACAACAGCTGAAGGCCACCATTGGGTCTTCAATGCAGCGAGAAAATCCCACACCCGTAGGTGGTCCTCAGCTGGCCCCTAAATAAAATTGTGTGCTAGTTCAGTGAAAATGGACGTCACAGTCACACTAAACTCCAAAACATATAAATGAATTAAGATTAAAAAACATACAAGACTAACAAAGGCCAGAGGCTCCTGACTTGGGACAGGCGCAAAAATGTGGTGGGGTTAAACATGTTTTGTGAGATCTCAACCCTCCCCCTATACCTCTAGTCAATGTAGAAAAAAGAAACACATAGCAATACGCACAGTAAAACTCAGTTTAAAAGAAGTCCGAGTCCGATGTCAGAATAGGTAACAAAAGAAACTAAGCAAAATGACAATGATACATAAATGAACAAAGGACTACTAGCAGTTACTGACATGCCAGCTCCAAACCTCAATTAAACTGATTGAAAGATTAGGTCTTCATCATATGAAAATCAAGTACAATCCCTCCCGTTAGGGGTTTAGTATCATACCATCATAAAATATATGAGAAGAACATAACCCTTTAACAAGTCTTTTATTGATTTTAAGTTAAAACATCATTACTTCTCACTAGATAAGACTCCTCTCGGGTTTAATTGTTTTACATGTGGATGAAAAATAAAAGTCACAAACACATTAACTAGGCAGCAATTGATTTAACAGCCTTTAAGGCTTTGATTTTATTTTCTTGTGGAAGTTTATGGTCACCCTGCTGATAGCTGCACTGTGTTTTTATTATAGCCCACCTAGGGGCATTATGTTTTTCGGCCTGTGCGTCTGTTCATTCATCCGTCCATCCGTTCGTCTGTCTGTCCCGCTTCAGGTTAAAGTTTTTGGCCAAGGTAGTTTTTGATGAAGTTGGAAGTCCAATCAACTTGAAACTTAGTACACATGTTCCCTATGATATGATCTTTCTAATTTTAATGAAAAATTTGGAGTTTTGACCCCAATTTCACGGTCCACTGTGAGTGGGGCATATGTGTACTATGGGCACATTCTTGTTTTTTTTGTGTTTTAGCTTTAGAACATGGTCTATATGGGGAAAGGGGATGTTTGTGCACAAATACAATTGATTTAAAGCCACCAAAAATTGTGCCTGTAACAAGTTAGGCTATCAAAAGCATATGTGTTCTTGGTTGTAGTTTATTCTTTGTTAGTCTCTCTGATATTTCAGAGGAGTTGTGTGTTTGTGGTTAGTTTGGTATATTGAACTATGCCATGTTGGTGATTCCTGTTATCCATTTTTATGTATTATCTGAATGGGAAATATAAAATTGTTAGTCAAAGAAGGATAGATTCAGGAGATCTAAATTTACAACAACTAATATCTGCAATGGTTATTTTTTTATATTAAGAAAAATCAATAATTTAATGGAGAGAAATTCTAGTGGAGCTGAATTTTTATTTACCTGAATTCTACTTCATATTATTGTAGGGTTTAGTAAAGAAACTGATAAAGTTTGTGGCCTCCAAGTATCTTGATATGAACATAGATATGTAAGTTTATTCTTATATTTACTGCTTTTGTGTAGATATTATTATTACATTTACAGAAAATGTTTTTTTAATATCTAACAATAAGAATTGAATACGGAAATATTGCTTTCTTTGATGGTGTGCTTAGGAGCAATATTATTTCCCTGGACTTCTACGAATTATTGGTGAATTTTTTTATGCCTTTTTTATTGTAAATGAGCCATGTGTGATAGACTGAGACAAATGTAATTATTGTGTATATTCAAAAGACATAGTTATTTTACAATACCAATTTTCCTAAATTTCTATGTTTTACTGGGCGAGACAAAAGATGTTAGTATTGAAGAAGTGAAATATTTATATGGCTATACATTTTCTGTTTTCTATTGGCTAAAAGCAGAGGAAAATCCTTTTTTATTAAACGTAATATTCACCGCTGCAAAAATCACGAGAGGTTAATATAAGATTTGGAACAGTGTCTGTGTACCTAAAAATAGATTTTCCAAGGTAACGTCAATGACATAGGTTTATGACGTCAAGTAAATTCCCGTTTTTTTTTTTTCTTTTTCTTCTTGTTTTCGGTGTATTTTTTCTCTTCTTCTTGTTTTTGGTGTATTTATTTATAGTAAACTTTATTGAAAATTTCGACTTATGAAAATTAGCAACTGCAAAAGCACATTATATATTTAGTGTCTTGAGTAAATACTAGAAAATTAAAGAAGGATAAAAAGTTATATTATAAAGCAATTGTTGTCTTTTGATTTCAGTTGATACAATGATTTACCAACCCAAGAGATATGACATTCACCCTCGGCCTTTGGACTTGGTGAATATCATATCTCTGGGGTTGATAAATAATTGTATCAACCTCATCAAAAGTCAATAATTGTATAATATTCTTACCATACAATTTTAGGGCACTAACAAAGATTCACTAGAATGAGCTAAAAAAGACATTATTTATTGATAGGTCCAAAACAGGATTAACCAATGCATTCAGAGAATATAGAATAGCAGCTGACCTACTGGAAGCAAGTCTGAAGTATCCTTCTGGAAACAGCATGATCCATCTTCCAGCTACTGAGGTGTTTTTAATCACTTTGGATAGGTTTGATAAAATTCAGGATAAACTTGACCTCAGTAGAAATATCTATCAACAGCTGAATATAACAAAGGATGGTCACTTGAGAAAATATGATTATTTAAGAGGGAGGATTGTTAATTGGCTTGCTGATGAGCCTATATATAAGGAAGAGTTAAAGTTTTTGAAGGTAAATATTTATAAAATTCCACAAAAGATCATTCAAAGAGGACTTCCATTGTAATGCTACAGTGTTTTTGAAAAAAAAATATCAGAAGAATCAGTGTGATGTGATGCTGTAAATTTCTTTGCCTAAAATAAAAACTTGTTCTAAATGAAAAATGGATGTATATTTTAGATAAAATAGAGGAACACCAGCAAGATCTTTGGTATAACCAAAGATTAGTAACTTTGTTTGATACTTAGGAAATCACCCATTATTGTCTGCTGTTGTAAAGAACTATATATTTTTCACAAAATGACCCTTATGTTTTTTATTTTTCCTCCAGGTGTGGAATGCAGCACTTAGTATAAAAATTCCAGATGGTAAAGTGAGAGATTCCTTTTTGAAGACATTAGAAGAACGGTTACACAAATTACTTCAAGAAAAGGTAACAGATATGATATATTTGTAATGTATGTTGGACTTTTCTGTATGAGCTATTGAAAAATGCAGTAAACCGTAATAACAAAACATAGGTTAACCAAAATAGATTTTCAGAAGTCACCATACAACCTTCAACAATGGGCAACTCAATTACTACCCTAGCTAGTTTAAAGTACTACAAACATATGAAATCAAACCAGCTTACCAGAATTTTGCAACTTTAATTTTTTTTCAATTTTAAGGCAGTCCAATGTGTTATATAAAAAGTATTTCACCACTAAATCTAATATATTGTAAAACAAAAAATTAATAAAGTTAAATTTAAAAAAAATTATAAACCTTGACCTACACTATACCAATTTTTGAAGTTGAGATTAATACATCAGAGTAGTGTTTTATAAATAATTTTTCACTGACATCTGTTTGATTGCTGTTTGTAAATTTAAGTGCACATTGTTCTACTTATATTTTCATATTTGTAATTGGGCCTTTATTTTCCAAGTACATATTCTAGTCTATATTTATCCACAATTTGAAAAAAAAAAATTTCATAAATATGTTTGATATTCAGGGCATTGAAGAGAAGTTGATAGAGATCTACTGTATACATATAGAATCATTTGATGGAATTGTACAAGAGATTCTTAGCAAAGTTGCATTAAAGGTAAAACAAGTATGAGTTATTTTATATAGCAAACTTTTCTCAATCTCAAAAAAGATTCATAAAATATAGTTGTTAGCTGTGCACATGGAAGGTGTTATAGACTCAAATCTTAATTGACTAGGATTGTCAACTTTTTTTACAAAAGGTGGGTGGTTCTCTTCAGGCAATTTGGCTTCCTCCATCAATAACTGACCTCCACAAAATATGGCCAATAGTGCTGAAAGTGGTGTTAAAACATCAACAATCAATCTCAGTTGATAGCCAGTTGTTTTACTAAAAATATGGATGATGAAGTTGTCTATGTTTATTCATATAAGTTTAAAAATTGGATCAAAGGTGCATACAAGCATCTAAATGTTAAATCTGTAGCACATAGTGATAAGATAAGAACTTTCAGTATCATAAGTCAAGTTTGTTATTTTAGGCTGTCAGTAAATGTAGCAGTTTTGACTGGAGAAATGTCAAGGATGAAAGAGGCAACATGAGACTTGGAATGCTTTTTTCCAATGTTTTTGAGCGGAGCTGGGATGTACGCAAGCTGGATGATCCATATGAAGTTCTTCATCATGCTGTTACATGGGGACCTTTTCCTACATATATGGAGATGTTTTGTAAGCTGTATTGATATATTTTTTAATTTATATGAGATTTCAAAGGAATGCAAAGAAGTCTCTCAAAGTATACATTGTTTTACCCTTCTATAAGAAACATGTGATATAGGGATGGTGCATGACATGACTATCAAATAATTATTCACAATTGAAAGTTTTAACAAAATTATGTAAAAGATCGTCCTTGGAATTGAATTTATACACTTATGTGCTTCACACAGTGATATGCTGGAAACAAGAAATTTTCTAAACTTACTCTTTTTAACATTATGTTTTCAAAATGGTTATTGATGAAAACACACCAATAAAGAAATCCTTTTGAGACAATCTGTTGATACTGTAAATTGTGATATTATTGCGAGTTTTTATTAATGCACAAAATTGGACAGTATCAGGTTGGCAATAATAAAAACTCCCATTTATGATTTTTGTAGTGATTTACCTCCACAAGCATTAATGAGTATCTCACTGTTTTACCAGTCATCAGCAATTTTTCAATAGTAAATGAATGTATTAAATTCTTAATTGACAGTATACAGGAAAACCATACATGATATTGAATTAGAAATTATTCTTTAAGTGCATTTTTGTATTTCGTTTTATTATTTTTACACTTTAGGCAATATTCCAAAAGCAGTAACGGAAGACTGTCTGAAGTTGTTGAAAACATTCATGGAAATAATACAGGGATTTATTAACAAGTTACTACAAGGAAACATAGTAATTAAAACATTGAGGTTGCTAAACAGCAGAAGTGGAAGTTTTGAAAAAGTACTTATTGCTATGAAAGTTGAACATGCGGAAGCCATCATGATAACATTATTCATAAGATTCAGAGAACTAGAGGCATTTGATAAAACCTTTCAAATTGTACAAGATTTCACCTATATCTGCATTCACTGCAAAGGTATGTAGCTATTTTTGAAAGAAAGACTTTTATGTTCTCTACATTGAGAAACAATGCAGTTCTTCAGATTTAATTGATTTGATAAGTAAAACAAAATGATCTCCCATTTTGGAAGTTTGAAAGATAAAACCTACGTATTTATGACATCATAATGATACCACAACTGACATTTCTACACTAGAAAGCAGATTATTTCATTTTTAAAATTCAGATATCAACAAAATTTACATGACTTTGAAAGGTTTAAAGAACTTAGCAACTTAAGGGGCAAAATAATTGTCCACATTATACATACTCCTATTGCGTCTATTGACGTGATATGTGATCTCTTATTTGATAAACTATTAGATCTGTATTGGTTGCTTTATCATTGAACTCATTCTTATAATAAAAAAAATAATGAGATGTGGTGTGATTGCCAATGAGACAACTATCCACCAAAGTTCAAATGAATTGGATGTAAGCAATTATAGGCAATGGTACAGCCTTCAACAATGAGAAAACCCCATACTGTGTGGTTGGCTATAAAAGGTCCAGACATGAAAAATATGAAACAATTTAATTGAGAAAACTAACAGCCTAATTTATAACAAAACAGTTTACGAAAAACAGATATGGCAGACATGAACCAACAACAACCACTGAACTACAAACTCCTGACTTGGGACAGGCACATGAGAAGGTGGCGGGTTGTTCTTTAATTAAACAAAATTTAAGTCATCAAACTCCTCTTCATCATCTTCCTCAGCAGTTAAAAAATGCACAATAAAAACAAATGTAAACATTGTTGTTTTTGATTGGTTCTCTTCAAGAGTTTGTATGAAGACTTTGAAAATAAGTAATTTTAGTTTAAATAATATGTATTTCTCCTGTCTCTCTGTAGCTGATACTGCACTTTTGGAAACCAAGCTAAAGATTTTCAGTGCACCAGATATGGTTTGTTTAAACAAACTTGTCAAAACACCATTACTAGAAAATATAAAGAATCCTGATACTTACCAACCAATAGTGACTGTGTTTGATCTATGTCCAGAAGAATTGAATATACTTCCAAATATTTTGGAATGTTGCAAAGGATTACTTTTCCTGAAGATTTGGGAAAAGAAGGGAATTGAACAACAGAAACAACTTGGTAGGAATGTTCACATTAATGAAGTCTTCGAGAAAGTTTGGCAACCAGCACTGGAACAGTGGAAGACTTTGAGCAAGAACTTGAAACAAGGAGATATGTTTTTCACTGATTTTGAGAAATGGTTCAAGAATAAAGATAGCAGTACTTTGGAGAAAGAGTTCAGATTACTGGATAATGATGGAGATACCAGTTGGATAAAAGAAAGATTGTACCAGATCAAGCAACATGGGAATATTAGGAACTATGTGCATGGAGCTAAAGCAATAATAGAAGTAGTTAATGCATTTGATTTAAAAGGAGATTTTAGCCAAATACAAGAGATAATAAAATTGGTAAGTACCTAGTACAAATGTAATTTTGGTTCATAGTAAGGATCCAGAAGTTTTTTTCACACAACTTCTGTTATTTTAAGAGGACTTGAAAGTGGAATCATTTTTAAAATTCATTTTCTGGGGGTAAAATTTGATCTCTGTTTGTGGATAGAAATAGAGAACTGTACACAGGCAAATTTTGTTCACATGAATTTAATGTGAAATTAACGTGAATTTCACGTGAAAAAATTCACGTGAATTTCACGTTAATCGAGCTTATACCTGAATTCACGTGAAATATTTCACGTGAATTTCACGTTTAACTCACGTGATTTTCACGTGAAATTCACGTGAATTGAGCCTTCACGTGAAATTAACATGAATCGAGCTTCTTTTTTTTAATGAAATTAAAGTGAATTCAGCCTCAATCACACTAATTTCACAGGATTTGAGCTTATTTATGTAAGTCAATTCTAATCTAATACAAATTCTGTTTTGATATATATATAAACATGAAAAATATTATTCTTGGTCTGGACCATGTGTTCATACTTCCATTCTGTTTTACTTTCTTTGTTTCCAAAATTTTTTGGTCTTAAACAATGAAGGCAAGCAAATGCATCACAGGATATAAATTATATCCAGGGCACCTTAGTTCACTCCTAGAACTTTTTTGGTTGTGTTGAGTCTCAATCCTTTTTTGTAAATGATTTATGGACTGTGGTCATTTATAGAAGTTGATTGCACTGATGTATATTTCATTTGAGTTGATTTTTATTATGTTTGTATAAGTCATATTGTGTGGTCATCAGTTTTGACACAAACCAATCACATTATGGAAAAGACTTACTTGCAAAAGATGCCAATTCTCTTTAAGAAGGTTTTGAAGAAAAAAAACTAGTTCACCTCGCCACTTATTCATGTACCTGCTTAAAGCCAGAAATCTTTTCAGTGGTTGTCAAAAATCTTGACTTAATAAAAAAAAAATATTCAGAGAATTTGGTGTTGATGGCTATTCTTGATTCATATTGTAATTTTTTTTATAGCCTCTGGTCAATTAAATAGATCATGGCATATCTTTTAGACACCTGTCTTTTGTTGAGGACTGCATGTTAGCACCTTAATGCCTTTCAGGTGTTTTTGTTGTTATATTGCTGGCTGATTGATGTATACCTCATGTCTCATTGTACTAATAAACTAAAATAGAAAGTTCTGTGAAATATAGCTGATATACAAATGTACCATATTGAAAGGCTCTCTGTAATTTACAACCATTTACTTCTTATTTCATATATGCAAAAATAGTTTTTTTCTCATTTTAACACTGATCTTAAGGTTAAGGCAAAATGTTGACAAACAACAGGCATATACCATTAAAAGATCTCAAAGTTTGGCTGCACAATAAGCTAAAAATTCTTGTTATTTCATTTTTTTATATAAAATTCATTTTAAAACATGCATTTTCATTTTTTTACTGTAACTTGTATGTTGACACAATAATTTGAATTTGAATTGTATTATATTCTGAAAGTACTTGTGGTTGAAAAAATATACACAATTGTTAATTCCAGTTGGTTTACGTTTCTTGAAAACACCACTACTATGACTACATGTCTGTTAATAATGTTTAAGAGTCCTCTTCTGCATATAATTGCTATTTGTACCCAAGGATTCCTTCATACATTTGCACTTCTCCTCCTAAGATGTTGCTCCAAAAATTATTTGGGAGCGAACGAAAACGATACCAAAATCGAAGATGAAAACCATTCTCATTCAGTCATTGCAGATTTCTGTTTATTCCTGCACTATTAAATCATTTGTTTGAGTTACCTGTAGTACATCCTCGAGTATTCATTGATTCATAGCTCCTTGGTATTGTTTGTCTTGTTAAATTAACTGAAACAAGTACTGTTGTTGACAATTGGCTGACGGCGTTCTTCTCTTTAAGACGCGTCATAATCTGTATCTTTCAAGCGTTTTAAAAAAACCCGACTCCGGACGAGAGATTCACGGATATTGTCCTGATCTGATGTTCAAAGTATTTCTCCATGTGAAAAGTGAGAAATAGGTACCTGCTAGTTCCCCCATTCCTACTATACAAATCCTTGGAACATATAACAAATTATTTTGTTAATAAGCATCCTTTACATAGGAGCACCTCCACATGGAGCTGTTAGTTAATTAAACCCTTACAACTATTTAATATATATATTTATAAAATCTGGGACTATTATACTAACTTAATATAATAGTCCCAGATAAAATATAATAAATATAATTTCAATTATGACTGTGATTTCATTGTGTAAAAGAATATATATATATATCTATACAAAAGTAAAATGTTTAACCTTAATTCAATGAGCAAGCCTTGTCTAATTGGCAATCATTTACCACACATTTATTAAAGCTTAAAGAATGTAAGTTTTTTTTAATAATAAAGTGTAAATGTAACCAAGGAATTGTATATTTAAATATTCAATTCCTTGATGTAACCATTCATTTTTTCTAAATAAAAACATTAATCTAAGAATACAGGGACGTAAAATTGTTTTGTAATTTTAAAATGTGTCCCAGTGCAACAATTGATCATGCAATCTTTCAGTTTCAAAGATTATAAACAAAATTTGCTTCTTGTATAGATGTCATGTTATAAAAAGCAATACAAAAAATTTTATACTGCACTTTCAATATACTTAAAAAATTGATAAACATTCAAATTTACATTTATTGACAAAATTTAGTACATATAAAATTCTTTTCTGTATTCTTACTAGTTTTTATTCATATATGTCCTAATGTTAAACTTATGTGCGATTCAATGCTCACAAATTTTCTTGACTTATAAGTTTGAGGAAAAGTTTTATGCACAGTAAAAAAGGGAGATAACTCATGTTTGGAAGTTAATGATATATATATGATATATATTATCCTTTTTTTCTTTGCAATAATGGGAAGTAAAGAATCTATTACAGTAACAGTAATCTATTTCATAAGTTGGAGTTACCTCCCACATTTTTTAAAAGTATAAAAGTAAAGAAGACATAAGATGTGTGAAAGTAATTAAATTTACTACTTAATAATTATAGAAATATTACTAGTAAATCAAATTAGTCCATCAATATAATATAGGCATCTAGGAATTTGAAATAAGAGATACACATGTATACAAAATTCCATCCTAATGACTCTACTAGAGATAAATATAAACAGTGATAGAAAATATAATTCAAAACCAACATGTTTTTGTAGTTGCATCTAACCCACTATCAAGGGAGATAATTCATGCTTAACAAAAAGATAAATATTTATCATTTACAATGATTGTATGTCCAAATGTGTAAATCTTGAGAGACAAAGAATAACAGTTTTTAAAATGATTCAATTTTGCAAAAAGAAAATTGGAATGAATAATAGCAAAATTCAGGTGAATTTGTTTCTCATGTTACAAAAATTTAACTCAATAAAGTTAAATTTCTCTTATGAATTCATGGTTTAATTCAGATAAAATGAAACATAACATTTTCACATGAGTTTTGATTCATGTTAATTTCATGTGAAATTGTTCACGTGAATTTAACGTGAAATTTTTCATGTGAATATATCATGAAATATTCACATGAATTTAACGTGAAACATTCACGTGAATTTCACGTGAAATACTCACATGAATTTCACGTGAAATATTCACGTGAATTTCACGTGAAAATAGAATTTTTCAAATTAAATTAAGATTTCCATGGAATATATGATACATATAATACAAGATATTAGAGGTTGACAAAATGTTTGATTTTCGGTTATTTTTTTTTAACTTAGACACCATTTATATTTTTTCACGTGAAATTCACATGAAATGTTTTACGTGAAATTCACGTGAAATAATTTCACGTGAAAATTTAACGTGAATTTCACGTGAAATTCATGTGAAATTCACGTGAAATGAGATTCACGTGAAATTCACGTGAGCAAAATTTGGCTGTGTAGTTCAATTTGTTTAATTGAAATCCATTATTGTATTTTGTTTTTTTTTTAATTTTGGGTCATTGATATTTGGTATGCAAGTTGTATTAGCATTGGCACATCTCATTACCATGGAGATTATTTGGCCCTGCCCCCTCAGTCATTGTCTATTGACTTTGAAACTTTGCTTAGTTCACATGTATAAGTTTCAGATTAGGTCAGTTTATGGGGAACCACTAGTGGAAAGTCAATGATATTTGGTATACAGTTGTATAAGCATTGACATATCTGATTTCCATGGGGATTATTTGGCGCCGCTCCCTCAGTCATGTTCTATTGACTTTGAACTTTTTGCTTAGTTTTCATGTATTAGTTTGTGATTAGGTCAGTTTAAGGAGAACTGTTAGAGGTAGGTCAATTATAATTGGTATGCAGTTGTATAAACATTAGCACATCTCATTTCCATGGAGAATATTTGGTCCTTACTCTTCAGTCACGGTCTATTGACTTTGAAACTTTTGCTTAGTTTACATGTATTAGTTTGTGATTAGGTCAGTTTAAGATGAACCACTCATGTTAAGTCATTGATATTTGGTAAGCAATTGTATAGGCATTTGCAAGTTTCATTTCCATGGAGATTATATAACCCCTCATTATGGTTCATTGACTTTGAAACTATTGCATAGTTTACAAGATTATGTTGTGTTTAGGTTTGTTTAAAAGGAACATCTTATGAAAAGTCAATGGTATTTGGTATGCAGATGTATTAGCATTGGCACATCTGATTTCTATGGAGATTGTTTAACCCTGTACCTTCAGTCATGGTTCATTGACTTTGAATATTTGCATAACTGACATGTGTCAAGTATTGCTATTTTAATTTAAACATTTGCGTTATCAAAATAACAAATGGGCAAGACATATCTCTGTGTTAACAGTTTATTATTATTGTTGTTGTTGTGTTTTGATTTCTTGAACATTTTGCCCTCAGAGTCATGTGTTATTGGGCTATATTGTGGTTCAGTGTATATGTATATTGTTATGTTAACAATCTTACAGCAGTTTACACATACAAGATAAGAATAAGAAGATGTGGTTTGATTACTAATGAGACAACTATCCACCAGAGATCAAATGAGTGATTATGTAAGCAATTATATACAAACGTACTTTGAACGTAATTTGAAGTTTCATTACTTTCAGTATGCTTCATTTTTAGCTCACCTCATCATCTCCTCTGAAACTAAAATCCAAATTTAACCAAACTTGGCCACAATCAGCAATGGGGTATCTAGTTTGAAAATTTGTCTGATTACCCCGTCTGCTGACAAATATGGCCCACATAGCTAAAAATAGAACATGGGGGTAAAATGAAAACTTTGTCTATTATCTTGAAAAAAAGCTATAGATTTTCTTGGCTAAGATAAAATACTAATTTCAAAGAAAACAATAGCCATCTTTTCCCCTTACATATTCCAGACTGGCGGTGAGGACACAGTGATGAAGAAATTGGACAGTAATCTGCTGGATACTTGCTCTATACTAGGAGGGATTACTCAGGATAGATCTGAATGTCTGCAGGTTTTTATTAAATGTAAACCACTTGTTGATTGGATAAAAGAATCAATGCCAGGTAATAGTATTTACTTTGTATAAATTCTTTTAAAATTGTTCAACTGATTATTGCCATTTCTCATGTATAAAAACAATATTTAGGGAACTCACTGAGGGGAATTTTTATGATAATAACAATTTTGTTTGTTGTATGTGCTGTTAGTGTCAACAGTGCTTTGACTCAGTCTGAGTTTTTATTACATTAAATACCTCACCTTCATAAATTTGATATCAGTCCACTCGCTGCATTTTTCATCCAGAAACCAGCCAGCCATACCCCCGTGACCTCTCCCACCTGACGCATGTGCGCCATAAACCTTCATCATTTTTTCCAGTTCCATCGTACATGCTGCACGTTTTTTGAGTAGGAAAAAGGTTTTTGCTTAACCACGTTATTTTTCTGTATAGAAATTTATATTTATATTATTTCAATAGTAATTTGTATTTATTAATTGTTTTATTTGGATAATTTTGTTTATATTATCTGAATTATGGACAAAACTCAAACTTCAGTAACGCAAGGCCAAGAGGTAAGTGACACACACACAAGTTCCAGTGGTTTGTTGTCCCCTTGGTGTTCGGCTACTCATTCATATGAGTTTTGGGATAGGAGTATGGCGTTTATCCCTGGTGTTTCTGGTGTTAGTCTGGAACAGAACCCAGACCCTGTTAAGACTTTGCCTTTCACTTCTGGTGCTAGTCAGTTGAGGTTATCTAGGCCTAACAAGGTATCACATACCGTAATTAGGCCTGTTGAGATACCAATGTCTCCAGTTTCTTACACGACAAGTATGCAGGAGACGCTACCAGCTGGCATCAGGAATGACCCCTTTTCCAGGACTAGGTGGCCTCCCATGCCTATGGGTATGCCCAACTTGCCTCTTTATTCACAGGCGGTAGACCGTCTTCAGAATCATTCTCTTTTAAGGATGAGATGAGGAGTCTTACCACTTCTATCCATAAGATAAAAGCAACTGTTAACGCTAAATTCATTGAGTTTGGTAACAGGCTTACTCTTATTGAGTCTAGGGGTCTGTCTCAGGATTCTCCACATGACCCTCCCAGACCTCCTAGACATCTGGTGGAAGATGATTCTGTTTCTTTGGCTCCTAGAAGCCAAGAAGGTAACTTTCTTGAAGACCAAGGTGCTTCTTCTGATATTGACAGTGTTGCTAGCACAGAGGGAGATGCTATGATTCCTAAGGAGCCTTCTTCTGCCAACTCTTCTGAATATCTTAGGAGTCTAGTTTATTCTATTCGCAGGGATATGTCAGATATGCCCATGTCTTCTCCACCAAGGGTTTCGTCTACCCTCTCAGATTTTATGGCTTGCTCTGGTTTAGTCAAGCCAGATTTGAAGGGGTATCATTCTTTTCCAGAGTCGGGTCATTTCACTACAGCTTTGTCTTTTGTTAACTTGTCTTTGGCTGAGAACCATGTTAACACTAGCAAAACGGGTGGTAGTAAGTTCTCTGGTTTCGGACCTGCCTCTTACCCAGGGAAATGCAGATCTAAGGACTTTGAGATTCATGGATCTTCCTTGGGTATGTCGGCTCCTGTCTGTGATAAGGCTTTTTCTGGTTTACTTGGTTTCAAAACCTGTGGACGGCCTCAAACTTTCGGGGAATAATCTAAGGTGTCTTACTTTTGTTCTTGAGACAGCTGAACACTTTTTGTTGGCAGCTGGGTCTCTTTTAAAGGACAAAGGGGAGGAATTTTCAGACTTGAGGTCTATGCTTCTACAGGTAGACAAGAGTCTTGGAATGTCTCAATTCCTTCTTCTTGGCACTGTGGCCAACTTTACTCTTGCTAAGAGACAGGAGATTCTTGATAAATCGAGCGTCTCTGAAGCTCTCCAGCAGAGACTTCTCAGTTCTCTTCTGTCTAAGGACAAGTTGTTCTCTGTTTCCTTAGATCAGCTACGGGAGGAGGTGAATAAGGCCCTCCTGTTGTCAAGGTGGATGTTAAGGTCACTGATGGGAAGAGATTTGTCGAGACTACTCAGATAAACAAGCCTTCTTCCTCTCATCAACCCAAGGCTTCTTCCTCTTCTTCTTCACAGCCTATGAAGAGATCAGCTTTTTCTCATCCTAACCTTACAGGTGGGAAGAAAGCTAAAGTTGTAAAGGGTAAGAAGCAGGGTAAGTGATGTGTAGTCCCCTCCGTTGAATCGTTCCCCACTGGAAGAGGAAATTTATACTACTCCTCTACCTCATCTTCCAGTGGGGGGCAGGCTTTCCTACTTTCTAGATCAATGGTCTCTGATAACTTCAGACAAATGGGTACTTTTGATTTTACAGAGGGGATCGGAGCTTCAGTTTATGGGACGTATTATGGTATACCATTTTACCGTCTGTCCGTCGTCAACATTTTGGACATTAACTCAAAAAAGCTTTAACCAATAAGCATGAAACTTTGGTGAATTGTTTATATCTATTGACGTGAGCTTCCTTTCGTTTTTTTATAAATTTCAGATTTACCGTTTCTGAGTTTTGGGGTTTTATTGATTAAAAAAGGGGGGATTTTCTAGTTTTTCAACAATAACTCAAGAATGCTCTCACCAACTTGCAAGAAATTTTGGTGTATGGTTTATATCTATTGACATGAGCTCCCTTTTGATTTTTATAAATTTTAGATTTTAATTTTCCGAGTTACAGGGTTTTATTCATAAAAAAGGGTGATTTTCCAGTTTTCGGACAATAACTAGACCTGTATCAAGCTTGAATATTGTGTCCATTTTTGCCCCAACTGTTCAGGGTTGGACCTCTGTGGGCGTATCCAGCTGCGCTCAGCGAAGCAGTTTATTGGAACAGCCTCCTCTTTCTCCTGTTCCAATCAATCTTTCAGTGACAAAGCTTTCTCAAAAGAATCAGTTGTTACAAGACGTAGTGAACATTCTTATTCAGAAGGGTGTGTTAGAGGAGGTAAATCCTCCATTTCATCTAGGGTTTTATTCCCGGCTGTTCTTGGTTACCAAGAAGAACGGGAAAATGAGAACGGTTCTAGATCTTTCTGTTCTCAATCAGTGCCTGGTGGTCCCACATTTCAAAATGGAAACCAACAGGTCGATCAGGACGACTATTCATTCAGGAATTTGGACGACCTCTCTAGATTTGATTGACGCTTATTTTCAAATCCCAATTTCTCACAAGTTTCGTCATTTCCTGAAACTGGTTTGGGCAGACAAGGTGTACAGTTTCAAGGCTATGCCTTTTGGCCTGGCTATAGCACCCCTCGTTTTTATCAGGATTTTTCAGACGGTGGTGTCTTATCTTCATACTCAGGCAGTACTCATTCACTCCTACCTAGACGATTCTCTTATCAAGAATCATTGCCGATCTCTTTTGGAGGAACACACCGATTTGGCTATCTTTTTACTCCTGAGACTGGGTTTTTTTATTTCATGGGAAAAATCAGAGATAATTCCCAGTCAGAGTTTCATTTTCCTGGGAGAACATTTTCGGATAGATATGGGTCTAGTGCTTCCTCCAGAAGAGAAGGTAATCAAGGTACGTCAGTTAGTCAGTGCTCTGATGCAGTTTTCAACTGTCCCAGCTTGTCAATTTCTTCTGCTGGTGGGTTTCTTGATTTCAATCATGGACGTCATTCCACTATAACGTCTACACATTCGTCCAATCCAGTGGTATCTGTTGGAGTTTTGGCACCCAATTTCTCAGTTGTGGGAGGCACCTGTTCCAATTCTTCCTCAGTTGTTACCTCATCTTCAGTGGTGGCTTCAGGAAAAACATCTTCTGAAGGGAGTTTTGTTGGATCCTCCAGACCCCAGTCTATCTCTGTTCACAGATGTGATTTTGATGGGTTGGGGAGCCTATCTGGAGGGCAGAACAGCTTCAGGTCTTTGGTCAGGTGCTCAGTTGGAGGAACACATCAATCTTCTAGAGATGAGAGCTGTATTTCTTTCTCTCCTTCATTTTCAGGCTGGGATTCAGGGTCAGTCACTTCTGGTTGCCACGGACAACTCCACAGTAGTGGCTTATCTTTATAATCAAGGGGGAACTCACTCCTTTTCTCTGTATCATCTGAGCAAGGAAATTCTTCTACTGTGTCACAGTCTCGATATAATTCTGTCAGTGAGACATGTTCCAGGCAGTCAAAAACATCTGGCGGATGCTCTTTCCCGTTTGCATGTTCCAGTGAACACAGAATGGGAACTTCATCCATCAGTGTTTCAGGAGATCGTTCTTCGTTGGGATCGTCCTAATATAGATCTTTTTGCCACCAGTCTGAATCACAAGTTGGAGACTTACGTTTCTCCCATTCCAGACGAAAAAGCTTGGGCAGTAGATGCTATAACCCTATCTTGGAAGGGAATGTTCAGTTACATGTTCCTTCCCTTATGTCTTCTTCCCAAGATCTTGCACAAAATTCAGAGGGATCTTTGCAAGACCATTCGAATTGCTCCGGCTTGGCCAAGACAGTCTTGGTTCCCAGAACTACTTCTTCTGTGTTGTGCGAAGCCGTTTCGACTTCTTCTAAGGGAGGATCGTCTCTCTCAGTTCAAGGGAAGAAAGCTTCATCAGGGTCTAGAGAATCTCCATCTGCACACTTGGATGCTGTCAGGAATTCCCTCAGAAAGGGAGGCTTTTCTGAAGGAGCAACCAAGCATATCACAGGGTCAGTCAGGCAATCTACAGGATCAGTATATGACTCCAAATGGTCAATTTTCTGTTCTTGGTGTCAGTTGAAACAGATTGATCCTATCTCAGTTACTGTTCAGCAGTTAGTCGATTTTTTCCTTTATCTTTTTGAAGAAAAGGATTACACTACGTCTATTATAAAGGGATATAGATCTGCCATAGCCAGAACTATGTTTTTCTGGAGGCTCAGAATTTGGTGATAATGAGTTTTAATACGCCCGTCAAAATTTTGACGGGACGTATTATGGTATACAAATGTCGTCTGTCTGGCGTAAACATGTTGCACCGTAACTTGAGAACAACTTATCCAAATTTCATGAAACTTAACATAGTTGTTTCTTTTGATGGTCAAATGATCTGTATACTTTTTGGTGAAAATAAGGTTGAAACTTTTTGAGTTACGGGACTTAGTAACTAAAACAGGTGTGTGTTTTTTTTTCACATGTCGCGCCGTATCTCAAAAACAATTTATGATTATTGCTTAAAACTTTACACACTTCTTAGTTATATTAATCTTAAGATCTGTATACTTTTTGGTGATGATTCAAAATTTTATTTTTGAGTTATTGAGTATTTTGTAAAAAAAGGGGGAGGGGTTTTTCACATGTCGTGCCGTATCTCAAAAACGATTTTTGATTATTGCTTAAAATTTTACACACTTTTTAGTTATATTAATCTAAAGATCTGTATACTTTTTGGTTTTGATTCAAAATTTTATTTTAGAGATATTGATTTTTTTTTTTTAAAGGGGGGTTTTCACATGTCGCGCCGTATCTCAAAAATGATTCATGATTATTGCTTAAAATTTTACACACTTCTTATTTATATTAATCTAAAGATCTGTATACTTTTTGGTTTTGATTCAAAATTTTATTTAGAGATATTGAGTTTTTTGTAAAAAAAAAGGGGGTTTTTCGCATGTTGCGCCGTATGTCAGAAACCATTTATGATTATTGCATAAAAATTCACACACAAGACTACGGGCGTATCATGCGTTCATGGCGCAGCTGTTTATTGTCTTTGTTGATAAAAAACTTTTGCCTTAATAGACCTTGTCAAAGGCGTTTGGTTCCTTCTTGGGACTTAGGTTTAGTCTTGAAGGTTCTTCAGTTTTCGCCTTTTGAACTTTTGCATTCAGCCTCCTTCAAATATTTATCGTATAAATGTTGTTTTCTTATAGCTTTGGCTACTGGTCATAGAAGGAGCGAGATTCATGCCTTGTCAATTTCTGAGTCTTGTCTCTGCTTTGCGGCTGATAAGACCTCAGTTACCCTTCTCACTGATCCTTCTTTTCTAGCAAAGAATCAATTACTTAATAAAGGTTCTGGGTTAATTACTATTCCTGCCTAACCTGCTTCTGCAGATAATCAGGTGTTGTGTCCTGTGAGAACTTTGCTTTTGTACCTAGCCTTGTCAGCAAATTTAAGATCTACTGGTTCTTCTAGGTTGTTCATTCCTATTAAAAAAGGAATTTCTGACATTTCTACTAAAACCATTTCTACCTGGATTTGCAATACTGTCATGTTGACCTATAAGTCAGCTTCATCTGAAGTTTTAGCTAAACATCAAGTTAAAGCTCATGAAGTCAGAGCCTAATCCTCTTCTTGGAACATTTTTAATTTCTCCTTTATGTCGGAAATCATGTCAGCTGGTTTTTGGAGGTCAGATAGTGCCTTTTATAACCATTATTTACGCTCTATGCTTCTTCATTGTGACAACCTCTATTCTTTAGGGCCTTTAGTTGCTGCTCAGCAGGTTGTTTTTCCTCCTCCTAGTGAGAGGGATTCAGCGCTTCGTTAAATTCTGTTATCTAAATTTATGAAGGTGAGCTATTTAATGTAATAAAATTCAAATTTTTAGAACCAAAATTTAGTTTTGTAAATTAAATACTCACCTTCATAAATCAGATGTCCCACCCCCATCCCCTTCATCCCCCTTAGTGCCTGGCATTTCAAGGAACAAATAATGAAGGTTTATGGCGCACATGCGTCAGGTGGGAGAGGTTGTCACAGGGGTATGGTTCTTTTTTCTGGCTAGTTTCCGGTTGAATAATACAGCAAGTGGACTGATATCTAAATTTATGAAGGTGAGTATTTAATTTACAAAACTAAATTTTAATTCTAAAAATTTGATATTTATCAATGCTGTATTAAGAAATACTTTATTTTACATTTAGCTGTGTCTTTATGATTAAGCATCCCATACCTAAATTTGGTCATGATCTTTATTTCATGCTAGACTGACTTCATTGTTTTTGGTTGAAATTCATATTTCTGACAGTTTTAAGTTTTAGTGATGTATATTAACTTGTAAATAGATGCATTAGCGTTCAGTTAGAATAGATCATTTTGAAATCTGGTTATGTTATACCTACTGTAATAAAATATTTTTTTTCACCACAGCTGGACTGAAGGAGTTAAAAGTATTTGTAGACCTGGCTAGTATATCAGCAGGTGAAGGTGACATGGAGATTGCCAAGGTCAACTGTTTACATTCTGCTACAACTGGATATGCTCCACTCATCTTTAATTTGGAAAAAGAATGTGATACAAAGATGTTCCTGGAAAAGTGTGAGGTTGTTTGGAAAGAATTAGTTCCAAATCCTCAACTGCCACAGAAGTTGGTAAGAATTTTTTATATGCAATGAATTATTGAGATGTATTTTTCAAGTACAATCAGAGCATCCATGCCTAAATGTTGGTGTTCAAAATAAAAGTTGCCAGATTTTCTGTGTTTAAAGTGCTTATCTGTAGTTCATAAGGAATTGTTTGAGCCAAAAGTTTGGATAGCCAAAGGTTTGTGAATACTTGTGAATGTATGACCAAAAGTCCTAAAGGATAGCTTTGTGCACATCCAAATCATATTTTACTTTTTTCCAACACTTATTCTTTATTGCTCATATATTTTTTTATCGTTTTTTTTTTTATTTTACTTTCAGCTTGATACAACTAGACAGCTTGAATGGCTAAAATCAGTGAAAAAATCTCATGGGTCTGTAGAAGTTACTTCCCTTGCTCAAGCTGAAGCTATCAATGGAAAGGGTATTTACCAAGTTGGAAACTTAGAGAAAAAGACTTTTTTGAAAATTCCAGTAAGTTTTATTGGATCAAAGAATGTTTCTTGAATTCTTATACTATTTTTAGACACTGTTGGAGATAGTGTATTTAGATATATCATTCAGTGTTTAGGTAAAATACTTTAATGTTTCATAGGTCTCATAATGTTCGCCATTGTTACAGAGTTTATTCTTGGAAATTATTTCTTTGCACACTTCAAAAGCAATTGGGACATTTCAATATAGCATAGCATTCTTATTCAAATTGAACTATTTAATGATAACATATGGTTTAAGTCCATTTTAGGCATGATACAAAGTTTTTCATAAGAAGCAACTTATTTTATATTATATAGGAGTTGACAGATGTATTAGAGTTACGTGTCCCTGAAGAGGAGGGGAATATGGCTCAGAGAAATCATTACAGATACGATCAACTTCACGACCTCCAGTCACGACTGATGTTAGTGGCAGGGAAAGCTGAGAAAGGCAAAGATGATGTCGATAGATTTATGTTGGTAAGGTTTATAACAAGGAACAGAAAATGACATCTGAACTATCAAATACTAACTTTTAAGAAGATAAATATATTTGGTAAAGTAAAATACAACCATGACAAGCACCTACTGGTTGAGACAGTAAAAAAAGACAATTTAGAATGAAAAGATACAAAGTTGATTGAAATTAGTTGTTAAGAAAATAATTGTAAATCTTCTGCCATACACCTGGTCTCATAATTTGTTTTTATTGTTTTAGATCTTAGATTCAGTTGTTAGACTTGGTAATATATACAAAAAGCTGGTCACTGAAGGTTGTGTGCTTTTTTCTCAATGGCATGTGAAATTTCTATGTGACAAAGATAGAAAAGCATGTGCTTTTATAAACTTTGGATTTGGAGAAGAAAGGCTTACTTTAAAAGGTAGAATTGACGAGGAAAACCATGATGTCAGTTTCATCATTCCCAAACTAGCCAGATTTCTGGAGCAATGCCATGAGAAATGGTTGGACTATATTGACCAAAAACGTGAAAAGTATTACTGTCTGAATTTCTTCACAATAGATCAGATGGTGATTTTGCAACAGGAACTTGTCAAGATAGGATCTGCCCAAGAACCAGCAGCTTTGATTTATCCATTGATGTCTGCAGTAAAACATGGATGTACAAAGGACGATCTTGTTAAAGCCATGTCTGCTGCCAAACTTGATGTTGATAGAGCTGACACAGAGAGGGAAACACAGAAAGAAGATGAAGAGAAAGATAAAAATGAAGAGAAAGTAGAAGTATCGGATGATTTGAAAACACAGACATTTTTCAATGAAATGACAAAATCTGGATATCCCTTAGGGTTAGCGAGAGAAGCTTTGAAGCATGTAGAGGCTGATGATATAGATGGAGGTAAGGTTTGAAAACATGCCTGAAAAATGAAAAAGTGAAATTGGAATAGAAGCAACGTGTTAAAAAAACAAAATTAAATTATTGCAAATGAAATAAAACCTTTCATGAGAATCAGTTTACAATAAGTTTAAGGAAACAAATTTAACAGTTTGAAATCAATTTTACCACCCTGCCAACCATACTTTTTATACGCCCGTCAATTTTTGACGGGACGTATTATGGTATACAAATGTCCAGCGTCCGTCCGTCCGTCCATCTGTCTGTCCGGCGTAAACATGTCGCACCATAACTTGAGAATGACTTATCCAAATTTCATGAAACTTAACATAGTTGTTTCTTATGATGGTCAAACGATCTGTATACTTTTTGGTGAAAATAAGATTAAATTTTATTTTAGAGATATTGAGTATTTTGTTAAAAAAGGGGGAGGGGTTTTTCACATGTCGCGTCGTATCTCAAAAACAGTTTATGATTATTGCTTAAAACTTTACACACTTCTTAGTTATATTAACCTTAAGATCTGTATACTTTTTGGTGATGATTCAAAATTTTATTTTTGAGTTATTGAGTATTTTGTAAAAAAAGGGGGAGGGGTTTTTCACATGTCGCGCCGTATCTCAAAAACGATTTATGATTATTGCTTAAAATTTTACACACTTCTTAGTTATATTAATCTAAAGATCTGTATACTTTTTGTTTTTGATTCAAAATTTTATTTTTGAGATATTGATTTTTTTTTTTAAAAGGGGGATTTTCACATGTCGTGCCGTATCTCAAAAACGATTTATGATTATTGCTTAAAACTTTACACACTTCTTAGTTATATTAATCTAAAGATCTGTATACTTTTTGGTTTTGATTCAAAATTTTATTTTAGAGATATTGAGTTTTTTGTAAAAAAAAAAAAAAGGGGGTTTTCGCATGTCACGCCGTATGTCATAAACTATTTATGCTTATTGCATAAAAATTCACACACAAGACGACGGGTGTATCATGCGCTCATGGCGCAGCTGTTTATTATTAATCAATTCTTTTTTTTTTGTTAAAAAAAACCCAATGAATTTGCATTGAAACAGATGTTAACCTTCTTCATGATTTAAAAAAAAAGAAAAAGGTGCAAATAATAGGTATATAAGCCTTGATTCTCTGGTTATAAACAGGAATTGTTTGGTGTATGGACAATGAAGATGAATATGGAACAGAAGAACAGAGCATGAGTGAGACGGCACCTGACGAAGTTCCAGATTTCCATGGATGGACACAAACAGATCAGTCTCTAGCCTCAATAACTGAGGGCCTTGTAAATCAGCTGGTTGGAGTTGGATCTAGGTTAAAATGCGTTTTTTTTTTATATTTGATTTATCATATAAACTTTATATATGCAATGAAACTAGTTTTAAAATGTAATGCTAAGATGTGTCAAGATTTTTCCAACTCATCACCTGATTTGTTCCTTTCCAGATTTGTTCGGGTTTATTTTGCCTTTGATGGTAAACCTTTGTATTATTTAAGACATTAATAGTGTCACCTCCTTTTCAATTTAAAAAGAACAGAAGAAAAAACTGAAAATATTAAACAATTATTTCAAATCCTATTCACCAGGATTAATTTTCAACAAAGAAAAATGTAAATTATATTAAAACAGAACTTGTAGAGGAATTAGTTAAAATAAAGAAAACATTTTGGTCTTAATTTTGTTACAGGTAACAGTATGTATACAAATGTTGTCATTACATGGAAGAAACTCTATTATTTTTAAACTAATTTGTAGAGAGAATTCTGTTGACAAATTGATAAAAACCTTAGAAGACTTGTGGAAGACATTCCTGGTGTCCATTTCATCCAGTGTGTCTGATTATCTTAGTGTAGAACATCTTGGCATCATTCTTAATAGACTTAATGAACAAGGTATATATTTATATATATTAATTACATAAAGAGCACATTAAACTTAGCACATACAGATAGTTACAATGGCTGAGGCCTTATTTTTGTCTCACCTGCAACGAAAGTCGCAGAATTTCGTCGCAGAATGCAACCGACCTGGATGCTTCATAGCTTGTATGCAGGTACCTAAAGTTTCCGTCTGTCGTATGTGCATTGCCCCTGACCCCATTTTCATGGTTCAGTGACTGCTTGAAAAAAAATTACTGTTTTTTTGGAAAAAATGAAATACTCTCTTATTATGAGTAATAGGATAACTATATTTAGTCAAAGGTCTTTGTGTCTGTCAGGTAGGGTTCACTTGACCTCTACCTCATTTGATGAATTAGTGGTCAAGGTTAAAGTTACATGGTCAAGTCCTTACCTTAGTTTTTGTGGTTTGGTCTATTTCTCAGATACTATAAGCAATAGGGCCACTATATTTGGTGTATGGAATGATTGCAAGGTGTACATGTCCAACTGACAGGTTTCATCTGTCTTTGACCTCATTTTCATGGTTCATTGAACAATCTTTAGTTTTTGTGGTTTGGTCTATTTCTCAGATACTATCAGCAATAAATCAAGTATATTTGGTGTATGGAATAATTGTAAGGTGTACATGTCTGTCTGGCAAGGTTCATATGACCTAGACCTCATTTTCATGTCACATTGGTCAATGATAGATTTTTGTGGTTATGTGATTATAAAAAAGAAGATGTGGTATGATTGCCAATGAGACAACTCTCCACAAGAGACCAAATGACACAGAAGATTTAACAACTATACAGCCTTCATTAATGAGCAAAGCCCATACCGCACAGTCAGCTATAAAAGGCCCCGAAATGACAATGTAAATAGATATAAGAAGATGTGGTATGAGTGCCAATGAGACAACTCTCCATCCAAATCAAAATTTATAAAAGTAAACCATGGGAAAACCAACGGTCTAATCTATAAAAAAAACGAGAAACAAGAAACACTTATGAACCACATCAACAAACAACAACTACTGAACATCTGATTCCTGACTTAGGACAGGTGCAAACAATTGCAGCGGATTTAAACGTTTTAATGGTACCAAACCTTCAGCCTTTTTCCTGAAACAATAGTGTAACATCACAACATAGACATACACACTATAAAATATCAACTGAAATGGCTTAACTCAATCAAAGGACATATTAACACCAGTGAACATACACGTAACAAATAAAATTTGATCTATGATACAATGTAAATACAAAATAAATAAAAACAATTCAAACGAGAAAACTAACAGCCTAATTTATGTACAAAAAATAAACGAAAAACAAATATGTAACACATAAACAAACGACAACCCCTGAATTACAGGCTCCTGACTTGGGACAGGCACATACATACAGAATGTGGCGGGGGTTAAACATGTCAGCGGGATCCCAACCCTCCCCCTAACCTGGGACAGTGGTGTAACAGTACATCATAAGAACGAACTATAAAAATCAGTTGAAAGAGGCTTTACTCATCAGATGGATAAAAATACAAATACTACAAATACAAGTGGACGTGGCCGGGTACTTGTACATCCAAACAACAAAAAGACACTAAGTACAGATCTGAGAGTACTCGCAGTTACTGACAGCTAGTTCAAAGCCACTAACAACTAATAAAAAAAAATCATGCATCTAAGACTAAATTATCAATCCGTTTATCAGTTATTATAAACAATAGGTTAACTATATTTGGTGTATGGAATAATGATTGTAAGGTGTACATGGCTGTCTGTCTGGCAGGGTTCATATTACCTTGACCTCATTTTCATGGTTCATTGGTCAATGATAGGTTTTTGTGGTTATGTGAGTTTATCAGTTATTATAAACAATAGGTTAACTATATTTGTATATGGAATAAAGATTGTAAGGTGTACATGTCTGTCTGTCTGGTAGCTATAGGGTTCATATTACCTTGACCTCATTTTCATGGTTCATTGGTCAATGTTAAGTTTTTGTGATACTTGTTGTAAAACCTTCATATTACAGTTTTTCAACACAAATTCAATCATAAGTAAAACAGGCGAGACATTTCACTCATGTGCACTCTTGTTCCTTAAATTGATTGAAATATAAATACCTTTAATTTTGTTGGATGCTTGCATTCAATTGACAAATGTATTTATTGAAGTTATAGATAATAGGTAAAACTGTTCATTTTCTTACAGAAATCATTCATTATAAAAAAAGAATATTTGATTTTGACTTGCAGAATGAATAAAAGGAGATTTAAGGTTAAAATCAATAAGATACTAACAATACATAAAAGGGACGGAGAATAAGAGATATCAGGATTTGTTTTAAGACAGCTTTTCTATAATAGTTTTGTAGATGCATCCTTTCTAATAATAATCTCAAATAAAGACTAAAATTGTTTGATATTCATTTCAGATGACTTTACAGTAAACAGAACATTACTACCATGCTTTACTGCTGGAGAACCAAACTTGTTAATTTGTCCTCAGAGTAAGTCTCTTGTGTATTTGAAAGATAGATACAAAATATTTTATATTGAACTTATGTTTGAGCGTCTTTCTACAAAACCAGCCAGAGATGCAATTTATGATATTTGTCTTCGGCACTCGATTGTTTATAGCCCTATTTCAAAAGAGGAGGGGCATAACTCTTTTCTTTGAATTGATCTGTCAATAAAACACTTAGTCACATTTTTCTGACGAACTACAAGTGATTAATATTGCTTCTTATTATATAGAGCTGTGATCTTTTCATGCTAAGCCATACGTTGTGACACAGTTTAAGTTACCTCAATATTCTACTTCCTGTTTGTTGAAAACATAAAATTTTCATCATTTTTCAGTGAGCATTGGTATAATAATTGAGCAATAGCTCACAGTACTTCTTGATATTCTCCCTTTATTTACAGTGCTTTGAATATACTCTACATTTAAAAGACACAATTTTTGGTGGAGATTAGTCATATGTATCAAGTAATTCATCAAAATGTAACTCTTATCTCAAAGAACTGATGAATCCTTACAAAACTAATGAAGAAAGAACATATTTGTTAAATGAATCAATGTATTTCAGGTGAGATCTACAACACAGTATTATCAGTGTACAGTCATGAAGTAGCAAGACCTTTACCTCAATCTGACGAAGTTCTACTATGTACTCCCACTACAGCTCTGGATATGGTTAATGAATCTTTGAAACATAGAATATTTTAGAATGTGCTCTCAACAAAATAGTACTATATTTACCAAATTAGGCCACTCCAAATTAATTTAAAGTTATTCAGATTCGTGCTCCAAACGTTTTAGATACCTAAAAAATATGTTACTGTCATTCCTGAAAACTTTCTGAATTATCACTCCATTTAAATGAAAATTAATTCTTTAAATGTCATCTCTTGCCCCACAAGGTTATTTTTATAAGAATAATATTTACTCATATAATATTTTGTGATTCCTATGCAGGTTTGTATATTATAGCTATATATTTTAATGACTATTTGTGTATGTAAGTAATAAAATCGATGAACTTGATATGATATCTTACCTAGGTTTAATTCTTTTCTCTATTTAAACCTTTTATGAAAAAAACATTCCAATTTTTCTAATGTGATTATTTCATTCAGCTTGAAATTTTCTGGAGACGAGCATTGTTTACCAACAATGACCGAGTATTTTGTCTAGTGAATGCTGATCTGCTGAATTATGATGTGAGTGACAAGGGAGAGAACTCACTAGAGAGACATCTCAGGAAAGCTGAGAGTAAAGGTAAGATTTACTTACACTTTTATGATTTCAAGATAAATGAATTATTTTAAGATTGAAAGTTATGTTTCATATCAATTTTTAATATAGGGAAATAGTTAGGCTCATCTTGTAAAAGAAAATAAGAAGATGCCAAAAACATTGAAAAAAGAAAAAATATGGAAAGACAAAACATCTCAAAATACCACACAGAAAATCAAAGATTGAGCAACAGGAGGTGTAAAAAAAACAGGTTGAACTCCAAGGACAAGCACATTTTCCTCTACTTGCTTCACTCATCATGTTGCTCATGATAAGTATAAGAGCTAGTGAACATGCTATTATGAGATAACTGTTAGAACACCTTCCGTAAATATTGACATGTGACCTGTTTCTTGGTTCATTATTTTTTTTTAGGTATAAAGTATAGACTAGTAGTTATATGTAGTAGTGAGAATGAGTACAGATCCAGAATAGTAGCTGCTCTAGACAAATACCACAAACCCCCATTACATACAGATGTCAACATGGTTAGAAAATATCTCCTGACAAAATTTAAAGTGGACAAATCAGACAAAGAATGGACACCAGCATCAACTGTAGATTATGAAAGGTACTAAGTTACAAATGATATAGTAAGATTGGAAGAGTAATAAACACAGACTATGTTGGTCACAAAACCTGTCAAACCATTTATGGGAAAGTTAGTAGCTAGAATACTGAAAACATAAATTTTGGTGTATATCAGGTTATTTAAGACTTTTACTTTGACATAAAAGTTATTGTACCTTCTTTCAGATGCAGTGTACGTGTTGTAAAGTCATGGAGAGCAGGTGTGGGGAAGTCCCTGTACAAGAAAAGAATGGTAGAAAGTTTACTGAAACAAGTTTCTTCTACACAGAACAGTATCACTATTCCACTTCATGAAAAGACATTAAACAATGATGAAATTATGGATGTTTTCAAGGAAGAAATTTTACCTCCACAGAAATACAGACCTAGAATATTCCACATTGATATATCTCACGAGGTAAGCACAACAACAATATTCCACTTTCATACATATCATGAGGTTAGCACAAACACATTATTGTACATAGATATATCTCATGAGGTTAGTTAGCACAAACACAATATTCTCCTTTGATATATCTCATGAGGTTAGTTAGCACAAACACAATATTCCACATTGATATATCTCATGAGGTTAGTTAGCACAAACACAATATTCCACATTGATATATCTCACGAGGTTATTCAGCACAAACACAATATTCCACATTGATATATCTCATGAGGTTAGTTAGCACAAACACAATATTCTCCTTTGATATATGTCATGAGGTTAGTTAGCACAAACACAATATTCCACATTGATATATCTCATGAGGTTAGTAAGCACAAACACAATATTCTTCTTTGATATATCTTTTTAGGTTAGCACAAACACAATGTTCCATATTGTTATATCTTTTGGGGTAAGCACAATTAGAATTTCTTTGGCATCTAACTGGGAGGGAAAGATGAGAAAAAAATTCTAATTTGTGTAATTCAAAATTTGAAAATTCAAAGTTTGATTTTTCTATTTGTATATGTTTTACATCAATTAGGTCCAGGAAGGAGTAGATGTGTTCTTGTTTCAATTGTTGATACTTGGATGTTTAGGCCATAGTTCTGGATTTGTATGGAGAAGATCTGAGTTGGACTACTACATCATTGAGTCTATGCCACTATTAGCTAGGGATACAGATGTACAAGTTAAAGAGGTAAGACCACTGTTAGCTATAGATATGTATGGAGAAGATCTTAGTTAGACTACTACATCATTGAGTCTATGCCACTATTAGCTAGGGATACAGATGTACAAGTAAAAGAGGTAAGGCCACTGTTAGCTATAGATATGTATGGAGGAGATCTGAGTTAGACTACTACATCATAGAGTCTATGCCACTATTAGCTAGGGATACAGATGTACAAGTTAAAGAGGTAAGTCCACTGTTAGCTATAGATATGTATGGAGAAGATCTGAGTTAGACTACTACATCATCGAGTCTATGCCACTATTAGCTAGGGATACAGATGTACAAGTTAAAGAGGTAAGGCCACTGTTAGCTATAGATATGTATGGAGAAGATCTGAGTTAGACTACTACATCATTGAGTCTATGCCACTATTAGCTAGGGATACAGATGTACAAGTTAAAGAGGTAAGGCCACTGTTAGCTATGGATATGTATGGAGAAGATCTGAGTTAGACTACTACATCATTGAGTCCATGCCTCTACTAGCTAGGGATACAGATGTACAAGTTAAAGAGGTAAGTCCACTGTTAGCTATGGATATGTATGGAGAAGATCTGAGTTAGACTACTACATCATCGAGTCTATGCCACTATTAGCTAGGGATACAGATGTACAAGTTAAAGAGGTAAGGCCACTGTTAGCTATAGATATGTATGGAGAAGATCTGAGTTAGACTACTACATCATCGAGTCTATGCCACTATTAGCTAGGGATACAGATGTACAAGTTAAAGAGGTAAGGCCACTGTTAGCTATAGATATGTATGGAGGAGATCTGAGTTTGACTACTACATCATTGAGTCTATGCCACTATTAGCTAGGGATACAGATGTACAAGTTAAAGAGGTAAGGCCACTGTTAGCTATGGATATGTATGGAGGAGATCTGAGTTAGACTACTACATCATCGAGTCTATACAACTATTAGCTAGGGATACAGATGTACAAGTTAAAGAGGTAAGGCCACTGTTAGCTATGGATATGTATGGAGAAGATCTGAGTTAGACTACTACATCATTGAGTCTATGCCACTATTAGCTAGAGATACAGATGTACATGTTAAAGAGGTAAGGCCACTGTTAGCTATAGATATGTATGGAGAAGATCTGAGTTGGACTACTACATCATTGAGTCTATGCCACTATTAGCTAGAGATACAGATGTACAAGTTAAAGAGGTAAGGCCACTGTTAGCTATAGATATGTATGGAGAAGATCTAAGTTAGACTACTACATCATTGAGTCTATGCCACTATTAGCTAGGGATACAGATGTACATGTTAAAGAGGTAAGGCCACTGTTAGCTAAAGATATGTATGGAGGAGGTCTGAGTTAGACTACTACATCATTGAGTCTATGCCACTATTAGCTAGGGATACAGATGTACATGTTAAAGAGGTAAGGCCACTGTTAGCTATAGATATGTATGGAGAAGATCTGAGTTAGACTACTACATCATCGAGTCTATGCCACTATTAGCTAGGGATACAGATGTACAAGTTAAAGAGGTAAGGCCACTGTTAGCTATAGATATGTATGGAGAAGATCTGAGTTAGACTACTACATTATTGAGTCTATGCCACTATTAGCTAGGGATACAGATGTACAAGTTAAAGAGGTAAGTCCACTGTTAGCTATGGATATGTATGGAGAAGATCTGAGTTAGACTACTACATCATCGAGTCTATGCCACTATTAGCTAGGGATATAGATGTACTAGTTAAAGAGGTAAGGCCACTGTTAGCTATAGATATGTATGGAGAAGATCTGAGTTAGACTACTACATTATTGAGTCTATGCCACTATTAGCTAGGGATACAGATGTACAAGTTAAAGAGGTAAGTCCACTGTTAGCTATGGATATGTATGGAGAAGATCTGAGTTAGACTACTACATCATCGAGTCTATGCCACTATTAGCTAGGGATACAGATGTACTAGTTAAAGAGGTAAGGCCACTGTTAGCTATAGATATGTATGGAGAAGATCTGAGTTAGACTACTACATCATTGAGTCTATGCCACTATTAGCCAGAGATACAGATGTACATGTTAAAGAGGTAAGGCCACTGTTAGCTATAGATATGTATGGAGACGATCTGAGTTAGACTACTACATCATTGAGTCTATGCCACTATTAGCTAGGGATACAGATGTACAAGTTAAAGAGGTAAGGCCACTGTTAGCTATAGATATGTATGGAGAAGATCTGAGTTAGACTACTACATCATTGAGTCTATTCCACTATTAGCTAGAGATACAGATGTACAAGTTAAAGAGGTAAGGCCACTGTTAGCTAAAGATATGTATGAAGAAGATCTGAGTTAGACTACTACATCATCGAGTCTATGCCACTATTAGCTAGGGATACAGATGTACAAGTTAAAGAGGTAAGTCCACTGTTAGCTATAGATATGTATGGAGAAGATCTGAGTTAGACTACTACATCATCGAGTCTATGCCACTATTAGCTAGGGATACAGATGTACATGTTAAAGAGGTAAGGCCACTGTTAGCTATAGATATGTATGGAGAAGATCTGAGTTAGACTACTACATCATTGAGTCTATGCCACTATTAGCTAGGGATACAGATGTACAAGTCAAAGAGGTAAGGCCACTGTTAGCTATAGATATGTATGGAGTTAGACTACTACATCATTGAGTCTATGCCACTATTAGCTAGGGATACAGATGTACATGTTAAAGAGGTAAGGCCACTGTTAGCTATAGATATGTATGGAGAAGATCTGAGTTAGACTACTACATCATTGAGTCTATGCCACTATTAGCTAGAGATACAGATGTACATGTTAAAGAGGTAAGGCCACTGTTAGCTATAGATATGTATGGAGAAGATCTGAGTTAGACTACTACATCATTGAGTCTATGCCACTATTAGCTAGGGATACAGATGTACATGTTAAAGAGGTAAGGCCACTGTTAGCTATAGATATGTATGGAGAAGATCTGAGTTAGACTACTACATCATTGAGTCTATGCCACTATTAGCTAGGGATACAGATGTACAAGTCAAAGAGGTAAGGCCACTGTTAGCTATGGATATAGATTACAATTTAAAAAGGTAAAGGTATTGTTACATGTAGCTATTGATACAGAGTTACAAGTCAAATGATGTAAGGTCACCATTAACTAGAATACAAATGTACCAGTCAAAGACCACTGTAAGCTAATGATACACATGTTAAAGTCAAATTGGGGAGGTATATTTTAGCTATTGATAAAGATGAACAAGTCATTGAGCATGAGCCACTTTAAGCTTGGGATAAAGATGGCATTGTGATTAGACCACTTTTAAGTTAGGGATTCTGGCAAAGAGGTAAGCCTATTTTTAGCTGAAATTGAAAGATGACTTGCATATTTAGCTAAATATTAAATTTTTTGTGTTTCAATTTTTGTCTCAATTAAATAGCAATTTTCAATGATTAGTTTTCTGCTTAAGTTAAGTTGATATGAACTACTTGCGATGATATTTTCTATAAAGTTGCATTACTGTCTGTATATCTCAGTTTGTCAACCATTTCCAGGCCCTACCCACTAGTTGGTCCAGCGACTTTGAATTAATTAGCAATGTTGCTGTCCCTCAGATTGTCTTTATCTGAATCTAATTCTGACAGGCGAGACATATCTCTGTGTCAACAGTTTATTTATGGTAGGTTGTCGATTCATTGTTATTTGTTGGGTACCAATTTTCTTGGATTTAATTGGTATATAAAGTGAACCACAAATTTATTGTTCAACTAAGAACAAAGTAGCTATGGACTTGTTTGCAAACTGTTCAAAACAATGAAATCATGTGTTAACATAAATACAATTTTTTGCTAATCCACGGAAATTGGTACACACAAAAATAAATGAATCTAGTCAGTACATGGTCCTATTTATGATTCCAGGGAAGGAAGCTGAAGTGTTTACATCACTGCCTGGACATTCTACCTCACATTATCTGTAGATCTCCACAGGAAAGTTTAGACATCCTACGACAGCCTGATGATAATACAATTCATGATAGATTGTTTGATAATATAGAGTTCAGGAGTAAAACTTTCCAGAGACCATACCAGTACCTAAAGAGACTTGACACAAACTGTAAACTTGACAGTGTTAATCCTAGTCAGGCAGAAGGAGATAAAAAGGATTGTTTAGTTGTTTTACTCAGGTATGTAACAATGCCAATTGTTCATTTTTGGTTGATGACTCTTATGACAATATGAATCTGATATATTTCTTAACCAAATGCTTAGAAGGGGTATGTTGTATTGATCTAGTTGTTGCTTGCATGTAACAATCTAAAGAGAAATCATATTCTTCTGACTTCTCCCATCAGGCAATAAAACCCTTACTAAATTGGGGTGTCCTTTTGGCTGTGGTGGATGCTTAAATACACAGTCACTTCTGGTTGGAATAGGGATGTTAATATATTTTTATAGATAAAAGAAATATAGCTTGTTTTATGCCCGATTATTGTTGATGAATGGGTTTTAAACATAGGTTATAATTGACAGAAAAAAATCAGACAATATCTCTTTTTAAATATGAAGAGCATTATATTTTTCAGACACTGTGGTATAAGAGATCCGTCTTGGTCCGAGTTATATCATTTTGTCAGCTTCCTGAACAAACAGCTACAAGACTTTGAGGTGTCAGCTTTCTGTTGTTTAGCTGCCTCAGAAGATTTACCAGGATTTTCCAAGTTTGTACTGAGATTCCTTATACAGATGTCCAGAGTGAGTTCGACTATTAACATCAGCTTATAACTTTTTTAAAGACCTGCTGAAAAAGTGATTCCTTTATTTGCTATTTGCAACACAAAATTAGTCTTCAGATCTAAAACATGCAAAATTCATAGAGCATTCATGCTAATTCCTATATTCATTCATCCTGTAATTAGCTAATTTTGGTAATGATAAACACATGTGTACAATTTTTGTGTGTTAATAATGCAGAATTGATACCTTATTAATTTAAAAAAAAAAAAAAAAAAAAAAAAAAAAAAAAAGGGACAAAATTGACGAAATTTATATCTTGTTTTGTTATTTAGCAATAGAATATATAAATTTGGATTAGAACCATTTCAATCATCAATCATAATTAATCTTTTAAAAAAAAATTGTTTTCATTGTTATTCCAAAAGGTGTATAATTATATAAGTAAAGTCAACAGAAAAATAGATAAAAAGCTAAGATAACAGTGGAATTCTATTCAGAAATTCGAACAGGAAGAAATTTCATCAGTTGGTTACATATACATATGCATACTAAGAAAATGTAGTTTGATGGAATATTTACTTGCAGGATTTTTCTACGAGATCATTAGAAGTGAGTGAAGAATCACCAATACACCTGTTACAGAGACAAATCAGTCAGGACGATGGAGATGGGGAGGATGTAGTACAACAATACAAAATGAGACGAACCTGGGAAACTAGGTAATATTTAATAAATGAACCAGATTGTGCAATAGGAAATCAAAATAGTTGTTAGATATAAGAATAAGGTATAAAATATAGAACAAATTAAAGTTCATAGATTAAAGATGCATGCAACTCTGCCCTTATGTAAATTGCAAAGTTTGAACAGTATATATGATATTTCTTTCAGCCCACATCCATATCTATTCTTCAACCCAGACCATCACAGCATGACATTCCTTGGGTTCAACATTGAAAGAGGAAGTGGTAACTTGATAGATCAGCAGACCAGAAAGGTTTTAGAGGCAGCAATCATGCAACATACATTGTTTGATGCTTTAGTTAGAAACAGGGTCAATCTGTCAGAAAACTTTGATGCATTGCCTAGGTATTTAACTTTACATATTACTTTATCATGACAAGTTCAAAGGCATTCCTTATATGGAATTTCAAGGCATAGTGCCTCCCTTATGAACATTAATGTTAAGTTTTAAAAGGAATATTGTATTTTCTACCATGTAAACTTCACTTTAAAAACCTCCAGTTGTCACAAAAAGATTTACTTAAAATGTAAGAGAAGCATTGAATTTTTTAAGTAGAACTTTTTGTTGTCTTTTATGAAGTATTCTCTTGTTTACTATATGGTATGGAAAGTACAAAATGTAAGTCTTGACAATTGATCAATTCAAAATTCTCTGACTTTCAGACAGTCCTCCACAATAGTTGCTAGGTATCCATTATGTAAAAAAATTACCTGTGTTGCCTCATGTAAAGTTAACAGGAAAATGAATTCATTTAAGAAAAAAAGTACTTTTGAAACGGGAGTCATTAAAACGAAATTGTACTTTTTCAGACATGAGAAAATCAATAAGCTATGTAATGTGATGGGACTAGAGTTACCACATGACCCTGATGAGACGTATGAACTGACAACAGACAATGTGAAAAAGATTCTGGCTATTTATATGAGATTTAGGTAATAAAAGATTGACTTCTGAGGTAAAAGATCTAGTTTAAAGCCTTATAGGTATATGGAAACATTAATTGAATATGTTTCCTTTGGTATATTTTACTTTTGTTTGATAGTTTTCTTTAGGATTTATTTCAGAATTTTTTTTTAAATTCATCTAATTTATAAAACTGTCTTGTTAAGAATTAATATCATTGCATGTTTGAATTAGAAGAAGTACTGTGAACCAATCTATAATGATACTGATGATTTTAACTATTGTTCAAATTCTTTCAAAATGCACCGGCCTCCAAAACAGAAAGTAGACAGATTAGCTATTATTTGTACTAAATCTGTACACACTGAAATAAAGTTCCCAATAATTCTTATGTATGTGTACATATGTACATATGAACTGGGCTAAATTTGGGGTATATTTTTTTTCAGTCAATCAGCCAATCTATAGTTGTGATTAAAATTTCATCTATCTTTGCCCCTTGAATCATTGTGTTGAGAAGTAAATTTTAGCTGCGCTATAAACCAATATAAAAATTTTGCTATTTTTAGCCCCTCATGAAAGTTATCACATAAATATAACTAAGCAATATTTGATATCACTTCAGATGTGACATACCAGTTATCATTATGGGGGAGACAGGATGTGGTAAAACTCGTCTTATAAAGTTTATGTGCGCACTTCAGCAACCTCCTGGTGTAAAAGTGGAAAATATGATTCTTATGAAGGTAAGAGTAAGGTCTATATGCCAAGACTGAGGAAACTAATCAAGTTTATGTGCTCAATTTAGCAATCTTCAGGTTTTAACATAGAAGTGAAAGAAGGCGTGGCCTTCAATACATTTGGAAGAAACAGTTTCAGGCTATCAAATCAGACTGCATTTTGAGAAGAGTAGAAGATTTACCATATCTCTACTAGCTCTGTTTAGACTAGACTTAATAAAAAATTATCAAGTTTATGTGGTCACTGTAGCAATCTGCTTGTATTTATGCATATGATGTAATTCTTTTGAAGATATTCACACAGATTTCATGTTTTATTCATGGAATTGTGCATGCATAACTTTTACAACTTTCTTCGTCCTATATTTACACAGGTTCATGGTGGAACAAAGCCATCTGACATAATTAGAAAAGTGAAGAAAGCAGAAGAAATTGCAAGCAAAAATTCTGCAACCTATAAAAATATGGACACTGTGTTGTTCTTTGATGAAGCTAATACAACTGAAGCCATTGGCGTAATCAAGGAAATTATGTGTGACAAGTCTCTTGGAGGAAAACCAATTAATCTTCATGAGAGGTTGAAAATAGTGGCAGCTTGTAATCCATATAGAAAGTAAGTTTTATTTTATGAATTCTACTGCAATTTTTATGTAACAAGTTTTTTCATTGGCTAAAAGTTACTATCAATTTCACAGTTGACATGTTTTATCTAAGGAGTTACCCGCCATTGTAAATTGCTTGAATCAACAAATGTTGGATTACTACAATATTATTGAAAATAAAATAAAACCATCTCAAAAATGCTGTTTTGATGTGATTTTATCCAAATTTGAATTGTTATAGTAAAGTAATAACCTTCAGTTTGTAATTTCTCATTTGTATGACGTCACGTTTAGCCGTGACGTCAATGCTCCAAAATCTTTCATGAAGTTTCACGGAATTTTGTTAGGGTCTTATATATTATTTCTATTTGTAATGCATTAGAATCGTAAAACAGTACTGTAGTTGAAGAGTTGCCACCATCAATTTTGATATGATGGTCACAAATATCCGTTTTACTGTCTCTGCTTCTCGTTGCCTGTAAAACTGCATTTGTGACCATCCAATGGCAAATGGACAGCAGCAACTCTTATAACTACAGTACTGTTATTCCTTAATTTTTTTATGATTAATACTAACTCTTGTCATATTAATGCAAGCTCTTGTGGAAAAAATAGAATAAACTTTCTGTAAAATTTGTACAACCATGCAAGATTACTTAAATGTGGAATGGAATACATGTATGGCAAATAAATTCATGATATAAAATGATGAAATCCTTACTTCTTGAAAAAAACCAAAAGTAAAGAAACAACTCTGTTATTATTGTTTTTTTTTTTCTCAAAGTCAAATTCATTTCTGGTTTGTACCTAACCAAAGATGCATTTGAATTAAGCTTTTTTTTATAAGCAAATAAATAGTATATTTAAACATACTTGGAAAGAAATCTAAAGGATAAAATTTTTTTTAGGGTGTATGGCATTTGATTTTATAACTACAACTGTTTTGTTTTCTTTATCTGAAATTTAGACATTCAGAGAAGTTGATAAAGAGATTAGAACAGGCAGGACTTGGCTATTATGTCAGTTCTGACAAAACTACGGACAAACTTGGTATGTAAACACTTATTAACCCTTTCAGCTATTTCTCGTTGCCAGTTTCGCCATAGAAATGCTGAAATATTTCCATATTTACAGCGTCTTTTTCGATTTCCGCCATTTGCATTTTGTCAAAATATTTTTTTTATTTTGCTTCTACTGCATGCTTTTACCATTAAAGTTCCCGCGATTTCAACCGCAAAAGGGACCTTGTATATCATCGATTCATATGAGGAAAAATTAGAGAGGACCCAAATGAAAACCGAATGGTTACGTGTCTGGATGAAAAATCCATCGTCATCACGACATATGCCGCGAACAGCAGTAGCAGGCGGCATACGTCATCGTGGAATATGCCGTGTATAGCTTTGACAGGGTTAACTTTTTCATATTCAGTAAAGATTGTACCCCTGCATCCACTGACTGCAAAGTCTGCCTTTAAAAATGCCTGTGCCAAGTCAGGAATATGGCAGTTGTTTTTCACTTGTTCCGTTGATTGATAGCATTTTTATAGACTTCAGCTTTTTTTTTTTAATTTGAATTTGAATTTTGGAGTTCGGTATTTTTATTATACTTGTTTTCCTTACATACCAAACAATAACAATCTGCAAACTTTAAGGTTGCAAAGCCTTGATATTTTTAGGAAATATAAGAGACTAATTACCATAGAATACTATTCAGGTTTAATTTTAAATATCGCAGCTTTATATATTATTCTTGGACTAAATTATACTCCCCTGGAAAACAGTTATAAAATGTATCTATCCATTGGCTTTCCATATTGTTATTTCCATTTCTTTGTTTAATATAGGAAAATAATTTGCTGACTGATTCCTTTAACAAATATATCAATCAATCAGATACATATTTTCAGGGATGTGATTTATATGTTATATTTTACAGGGAGAATACCAATGAGACACTTAGTATACCGTGTCCAGCCACTCCCACAAAGTATGTTGCCCCTAGTCTGGGACTTCGGACAATTAAACACAGTTGTAGAGGAAATGTATATCAAACAGATGGTTCTCAGATATGTATGTACTTCAATATATTATTTTTGAGCTGAATCAATGCAATCTTGAATAAAACTGCCTCAGTCATGGACCTGAATAATATACGCAATGTAACACAAAATCAATTATTATAAAATCTTTGGTGTTTTTACAACTGAATTAGATTTTCACATATGAAGTAAACAAAAGCTTTCTGAAATTGAAACATCTGATTCTGCTTTAGAACTGTATGTGAAAACCTTCAATATATGATGATTTTGTTAAGTACTTTTTGTGATTTGTTAAAAAAAAAACTGTCAAGAAATCAATCGTAATTATCTTTTTAATATTTAACATGATTTCATACAGATGATTGTTTCATTATTAATTTTTTAGATAAAAAATGGGGAACTACCTTCTGGAATAGAAACAATTTTAAGCAAGATACTTACTGTATCTCAAGATTTTATGAGAGATCAAAAGGTACAGTTTTGTTTATAAAATTAATACTCCCTGAATACTCCCTGAATGTCTTGATAATTATTTTTTATTTTTTCAGTATAAGAATTTATGAACTCCTAATTTTAGATTTGTATGCTTAGCCTAGGATAGCACAGGGGCATTATTTTTTCTGGCCTGTGTTGTATGTCCTTCAAATCATTCGTCTGTCAGTCCTTCCATTAGAGTGTCTGTTCCTTATCAGGTTAAAGTTTTGGTTAAGGGTATTTTTTGACTGCATCAACTTGAAACTTAGTATGCATGTTCATTATTAAGTGAACTATTTTATATACCGGTATGATAGATTAGGGTTTGGCCTAGTTTCCGGTTTCACTTAACTTGGAAATGTGATAGTGCGGGTGAGGCATGGTGTCCTATGGACACATATTTCTTTTTTTTTTTAATTAATTTACTTTCCTGAATTACTAGAATTTCCTAAGGAGGGATAGATTTTCTCTTAAAATATTTGTATTGACTTTATATATTATTAAGTGTAACCAAAACTGGAAACGATGTGTTGATAAAAGAAAAGTTAATTAAAATTTAATATCAATTTTATATTTAGGATGAGTGTAGTTTTGTTAGCTTGAGAGATGTAGAGAGAGTTTTACAGATGATGAGTTGGTTCTACAAACAGAGTAGGGAAGACCAGTTATTGTTCAGGAGACTTCACAACATGAATGATGCAGAAGATTCAGAGGAAGATTCAGAAGATGAATCAATGGAAGTAGAAACACATCAGGTAAATGTGAAACATCTCTTTGTTATGCCCCTGTTGTAGCCACCAGGGTTCCAATTTAGGCAGTGAGTCACTTACCGTTCTAGAGTTATGCCCATTTTTAACTGTAAAGTATTTTGTAAATGTGAAACACCCCATCAGGTAAATGGGATACACCTTGTCGTGTAAATGTAAAACACCACATCCCGTAAAGAGAAAGATCTCATCAGGTAAATGGGAAACACCTTATCAGATAAATGTCCTTTACACAGCAATTATGCTATTTGTGCATTCATGTAATGTGTGAATAAGCATTTATATACAGATATACAGTCACTGACCATATAAAGTCTTATTTGTGACGTTAACAATATTTTCCCATAGACTTATCTCTCATTTTATGAATGAATTTTTACTTTAAGTTCAATAAAGCCAATTACTATACATTGTCTCACATATAAAAAGTTGCAGCTCTAATATGTCAGTTGTGAAAAAAACCATAGCTATAACAGATCTGGTCTACATAGAAATCAATTTTTCACGATCATTTTAACAAGTTGTTATAAAACTTTTATAGCAAATAGATGATGTGACCAGGTCACTGGTGCTTGCCCTTGGGGTCTGTTACCATGCCTGTTTGAAGAACAGAAAAGAATACAGGGATACAGTTGCCAAGTATTTCACACAACCCTTGGTGTTACCAGGAGGTGCTGATCAGATTGAAGAGGAAATTTCTAAGTAAGCATTTACAATAAACTGACTTTTACAAAGTGGCAGAGATGTGTATAGTCCACATGATTAAAAAAAGTAGAGTACAAAAGACCAAGATAGAAAGAAAAAGAAAAATTGAAAATTAATCATGAGAAACTATTGTTTGAGTCAATGAAATAGAAGAAGAAACGAATCTGAAATGTTAATCTATCTTAACAAAGTAAACAAATAAAGACAGATACTTATATAAATGTTACAAGTAATAAAGTTAATATTTAAGCTGAAAAAATCATAGGTTTTTTAGTATAAAAGGTTTAAAAGGAAAGATATAAATATTAGATAAAGCATTCCTCTATATATAATTACAGATGTCAGTCTGTATTCTTGGATAGTGTTAGCTTAGCACCAAATATAGCCAGAAATCAGGCTTTAAAGGAGAATGTATTTATGATGATAGTGTGTATAGAGCTGAGGATTCCTATGTTCCTGGTGGGTAAACCTGGAAGTTCTAAATCTCTAGCTAAGACCATAGTAGCTGATGCCATGCAGGGAAATGCTGCTCAGAATGAACTCTTCAAAAATTACAAACAGGTGATTATCTTTATGTCAATGTCTTGAGAGATCTTTAATATGTCTTAGACTGACTTGTTAAGGGAAGCATTTTCTGTATATCCTTAATGATGATTATATACAGAAGTTAACTGTTATTGTAAATGTAGAAGAAAATAACAATTTATACATTTTTAAAAAATACTTTTCTAGATTTACCGTTATCAGAAATGTCATATGAAATCAAACTGTTAGATAATTTGTAAAAATGTAAAATGAACGACTCTTTAGCTTTTGGAAGGAAAAGCATTGTAACAAATTTCATAGAATGTGGGTAGATCACATTATGTTCACTTAATGAAGCAGTTCCACCTCAGAATTAAATTTGTCTGTTGAAAATGATACTTTTTGTCTGTTGAAAATTTGCATTTAGAATCTATTCAAATTTTCGTTGTTAACCCACTCAAGACTGTGCTGGAATGAACATGTCTAATTAAAATGATTTGTCTTATCTTAATGTTAGTGGTCTTACCCCTGGTTGCCAAAGGGTTAACTACCGCCTCAGTGGTCTTGTGGGAGGTCATGGGTTTAAACCCCCACGACGTCAAACCAAAGACTTGCAAATTGGTATTTGCTGCTTCTCCACTAAGCATCCAGCATTTAGGAGTAAGAGCAAAGACTGGTCAACTGGGAGTCGGAATAATGTGTCCAGGTTAGGTGACCTATCTTCCTACAGAATGATACCTTGTGAACTTACATGTTCAGCTCAGTGTGTACTTCTAGTACAAAGCAGGGTTAATAATCATTTCACATAATCATCTTAATGTCCTGAATATGCATTTAATTTGCCACTGAAAGTTAAACAGCCATCCATCCATCCATCAATCCATCCATCCATCCAAAGAGTTAACAAATAGCTAGTTATGAGGGTCTTTTTTGCTGAAAGATAGATATGAGATTTTTCTGTGAACTACTTTTTCTCTTTGTACATAAGGTCACCTACTTAACTAATTTTACAGGTACAAATGGTATCTTTCCAATGCAGTCATTTGTCAGTACCGGAAGGTATAGTGGGTACATTCAGACAATGTGCTAACTTCCAGAAAGGTAAACCTCTAGATAGATTTGTGTCTATAGTTGTATTGGATGAAATTGGTCTGGCTGAAGATTCACCAAGAATGCCGTTGAAGGTAGGTACAGTTCTTCCTGTTGATATTTAATAAACAGTAAATTTCTTTGTGTTTTTTATGGCCCCACCACAATGTGGAGCCATATAGTGTTACCCTTATCCCTCATTCCGCAACAAACAGTTATACAGACTTTTTTTCTAAATGCCTCCACATATTGAGCTGATTTTTAGTATGTGAGTCTACTATGATGAGTTACAGATCGAGTTTATGTTTGGTTTTTCTCTGCTGATATTTGACGAAACTACAGGCTTTTGAACTTTGATAATTTGATGAAAATAACATTTGTACAGACTTTCTTCTCAAATTTCCTCACCAAAAAATGGCTTCAAACTTTTTTTTTATAGTGTTACCCTTATCCGTCATTCCGCAACAAACAGTTATACAGACTTTTTTTCTAAACGCCTTCGCATATTGAGCTGAATTTTAGTATGTGAGTCTACTATGATGAGTTAAGTTTGGTTCTGCTCCACTGATTTTTGTGGAAATTACAGGCTTTGAACTTTGATAATTTCATGAAAATAACAGTTATACAGACTTTGAATCTACTATGATGAGTTACAGATCAAGTTTAGGTTTGTTTCCTCTCTGCTGATTTTTGCCGAAATTAAGGGCTTTTGACTTTGAAAATTTCGTGAAAGTAACATTTATACGGACTTTCGTTTTCAAATTTCCAGTCCAAAAGATGGCTTCAAACTTTTTGGCGAGCGGGGCCATTTGTGTTGTTTCGACACATATAGTTTCTAAATATTTTTACCAGTGCAAGTAGATCTGAATTCTTAGAAATTGTAATATTTAATGAAATACAGTTAAGGGATTGTAGGATAACATGGTGATAAATATTAAGCATAGTTTTTACTATAAATACATGGCTGAAAATTAATTTGCTTTAGCTGTCATCAATCTGAAAATTCTTATTCTGCACTTCATGACTCTGAATAGCTCACAGAAAATTTATTTATTATTTAGATTTTTTTCTTCTTCATGAATTGTACTCCACAGTTTCTGCTTTTTGTTAATTTACATCTATTTCCACCTGTTCCGTATTAGTTCTATTCAACTTAATTTACAATAGCTGGCAAAACTCTGAAAACAACAGTATCAATTGTGTAATTAGCTATTCAATGGAAATTTATCTCTAGATTAAAACAGAATTAAGTCTACTTTTTCATACTGAGCAGTGTTTACCAGTTCCTAAAGAAAAATGAAAAGAAAAACAATATAGTCATGATCTCTATCAAAGTACAATTCAATATATAAATATTTTTTTGTAGACCTTACATCCACTCCTTGAAGATGGTTGCCCTGACGATGAAGAACCAGCAGACTATAAAAAGGTAAATTGTGTTTACTGATTCCTAAATACAAATCAATAGGCAAAAACCAAACTGTGTACTTAGATTTCACCAATAGCTTCAATCCCTCCCAAAAAACAAAGTTCAATACTTTCAATAAGATATTCAAAACTTTTAATGAATTGAATAGTTGACAATTTATTTTACAAGTCCATTTAGCATGTTAGCAGTCAATATATGGAAGCCTTGCAAGTAAATTTGCTGAATTCTAACTATGTTAGTACTGCTAAATTACTGTGTTAATTCTGGTTCATACCCTATAAAGAATAAATATTTTCCTGCATATGATATGTTTCCTTAAATACTTGTAGGTTGCTTTCATTGGTATATCAAACTGGGCCCTGGATCCAGCCAAAATGAATAGAGGTATCCTTGTACAACGTGAAGTTCCTGATATCACAGAACTCATCGAAAGTGCTAGGTATGGAAAAAATTTAATAATATAATTCATAAGATATGTATACACCTTATCGACACCATTTTAACCTGCATCACTAACGGCAAAAGCAGGTCTGGTAACCGCTGAATTCTGTCTGGCATTCCCTGCATCCATCCATCCAAAAGACTTTGAGAAGAAAAGTTTAACTTTCCTCAAATATTTCTTGGTTTCTAGGACAGGTATTGATTTTGTATTTGGTATGCAGCTTGATAATGTTGAGTTGAAGTGTATTAGCAATTTTTAAATCTGCTATGCAACCACTTCCAGTTTGCCAATAGTTTGAAATTTTACACTCATTGCAAAAGGAAAATTTTCATCCAAGTTTATATGGCTTCAATGATTTTAGGGAATAATCATTATGCTTTAGTATACATGTTGCTTCAATTGTTTTGTATGCAGCGACGCATGTGTTTCTTTGAAACACTTATTAAGTGTTCAACCAATGCTATTCAAATTTTGACATGAAATTACCAATAACAAAATGAAGGTCAAGTTCAATATTGCTGATTTTCACTTTTATCGTTCAGAGCATATGATTCTTGAAAGATTGGAAAATAGGCACAGAACATGGTAGTTCAAATAAGCCTGATAGCTCTATATATAAGAATACATCATATTCATTTGAACTAGCTGCCCTCTTTAAGTAAAACAATGGTTACCTTCAAAATACAGGAAACCCTTGCTTTTAATTTGACAGATCATTTCTTGTTATAGCATAAGATACAGTCTTTATATTGCCTATAACAAATTTCTTCTTGATATCAAAGTTCAGGACCATCAAGCATTGGGAAGTTTTTGTTAAATTGATGGTGAATACTAATTATTGTCCCCCGCGCAACACATTGCGGGGAACATAGAAACACAGGCTGTGCGTCCGGTCTTGTTATCGCTCTCACATGTACAACACTTGAAAGATTTTTTTAGAACTTATATCATAGGTTTATATCAGCAATGTAATGGGATAAGTTTGAAAATCAGTGCTGATGAACTATTTTTAAAAGAGTTATGCCCCTTGAAAATATTAATTATATGGAAAATTGCATTGTTAGCGCTCTCATGTGTACAATTCTTGCCACATTTTTATCCAAATTTATATCAAAGGTTTATATCAGAAATGTCTCGAATAAGTTCGAAAATCAGTGCCGATCTATTATTTTTAAAAGTTCTTTTATTCTATTAAAAAATGTTGAATGGAGCTCTTCATTATACTTAATTGTTAGACAAAACAAAATTTAGATTTGCAAAGAAGATTAAATTATAAAGGAACAAGGTTTTTCTTATGGGAAGGTATAATTTTTTCTTTATTATAAAAGTATTGTAACTCTCTTTAAGGATAAACATTGACATTTAATGCATAAAATTGTTTTATTAGAGGGATATGTACTACAAAGAAACAGAAAGTATTGAAATACATAGAACCAATGATACACCCAATGGCTGATTCTTATTTGGCTTTGTTTAAAGAGGCTTCTACAGAGATGAGAGAATTCTTTGGTCTTCGAGACTTTTACAGGTAAATATAACAGGTTATCTTGAGTTTTAGTAGTTAACTGCCCAGAAGATCCACTGATTTTGTGCTGCTTTAACACTATGACAAAAAGTAATGAAGATAATAGCTAAATATAATGATATAAGAAAGATGAATTAGATGCATTAATACACAGTATGTATAAAAGTAACAGGGAAAAAAATATTTACCGGTAGTCTTGCTTCTTATGCATTGTTTTTTTTAAGTATGGGGTATCACAACAACAAATGAATTCTTGTTATTTTAGTTTACTGAAGATGTTATATGGCTTTGTGTCAGAATCAAAGAGGAAGCCAACATGGTTCCAACTACAGCATTCCATACTGAGAAATTTTGGAGGATTAGAGAATGTAAAACCAGTTGACATTTTCTGCAAAAAATTGGCACATCTAGTGGACAAAAATGATAAGGTATTCCAACAACAAGATACATATTATCAGATCATAATTTTAGTCTGGCAAACAAATCATAGAAAAATTGTTCATACATGATTGAGTTTTTTTACTTTTGGGAAGTATGATTTGATTTACGTATTAGAATGTGAGAGACAAAACTAATCAACTGTCTTAACATATCCCTGATGAACCTCAAAGTGAGCATCACAATTACAATTCATAAACAAAAATTATGTTGCTATTTTAGAAACTTTGTAGAGTTTAACCATTTGTACTAACCACAGAATGAAAATGTAAATACTTTGGAGTTCTTAATAGTTTATATCCAAACAACCAAATTTCTAGAGAATTAATGGAAGGACAATAGGAATTTTCTTCCTGAGTATCACAAAGGCTCTTCTGGAATAACTATATTGCAGAAAATAATAGAATTTTGTGGTAACCACAAAATCAAACCACATATGTAAAAATCCATAACTTTGAAAACAAGCCATGATACAGATCAAAATTTAGTTTATGAATATATTTATATATATGAGCTGAATTAAACAATTAAATTAATGTCAATATCTGTGTTACCATCATCTGTTATAACTCTTATGGAATATTTCCAGCCAAGAAAAACTGATCCAGATTGTACCCCAGCAGGAATGATCCAGGCTTGTCTGACAGGTCAAGACACATCTATCAGGTATGTCAGATTTAATCAAAGAAGATGTGGAGTATAAATCTATTTAACAGCAACCCAACAGAAAACAAAAAAGACATTCAAAGGTCAACTTATACAAATACATATTAATCATCAGTGTTTACTTGCAAAGGAAAAGACATCTTTTTCACAATTTGCATGCAGTGTTTCTTGGCTGTATTGCCCTTAAACACCAATATATGTTAATCAGTGTCTAGAAACAGCTATTGAATGTTGTCTTGGTCAGCCTTCATTTTTGCCTTTTATTTTTGCAGTGAGACCAGATACCTGTTACTACTGACAGAGAATTATGGAGCCCTGACAATATTACAACAGAAAATCTTTACCATGGAGAATGCTGTTGTTATATTTGGAAGTAGTTTTCCCAGTGATCAAGAATATACACAGGTATGTCTTTATCCCAAGTCTGATCTGAATGTGTGGAGTATTGTCCCTTCTTTTGCTCAACTTGATTTATATCTCTAATGGGCCATATTGTGAAGAACATGATAATTAAAAACTGAACAAAAATCTCACCATAATTATATTTTGCTATTTTAAAGAATTACTTTTGCTTAGAGGTAATTTCCTTATGCTTGTAGTTTAAAGGTTTGGTTGGCTTGCTTGCTTTGTTTGTATAAGTGTTTGCTCATCCATTGTAATTAAGATTGGCATCTGCAATAAATAGATAGACGGGACTTCAGCTTGTATATATTATACTTAAAATGTTATTGGATGTTAAGTAGAATGCAGAGAATAACGTATACAAGCTGATGCTCTGTCTATCTATTGATTGCAGATGTCACTCTTAATTGCAATGCTTGAGCAAACATTTATACAAAGCAAGCAAGCAGACCAAACCTTTGAACTAAAATCATTAGGAAAAAAGCTCTAACCATTAGTGATGTTTTAGAGAACCATTGAATAGTTATATTGAGTTATGTAATATTTGCAAAGAACTGACTTTACACTGAATTGAGGCATATCATAGATTTAAATTTACATATAATTAAGTCTGCTTCAAATCTTGGCTTGCATCTTGAAATTGACAATGCAGGTTGATTAAACTTTACTCATTTAAAAATTTTACTGGATACTGAATCAACTTTACAGTCTCATTGTGCCAAATTTTGTGTAAGTGACTTATGATGTATATTATACAGAAAGAATTTGTTTTAGGTGTGTAGAAATATAAACCGTATCAAAGTTTGTATGGAGACTGGCAGTACTGTTATCCTGTTGAACTTGGAGAATCTATATGAAAGTCTTTACGATGCTCTGAATCAGGTAAAATCTGTTCAATAAAACAAAAAGGGGTTGCATATTGCAATTAAAACTGATATGAACAAGTAAATAATTTGTACAGTGTTGGTTGTCTATTGAATATTAGCCCATATTTATAGTTATTTTCTTTGTACCAAAAATTCTGCTAAAAATAATGTGAGCTCACATTAAAAGGTTTATTTAAGCACACAAAAAAACAACAAAGTGGAAAGTTTTAATCCTTAATTTAGGTGTACATAGTCATAATGAATTGACAAAATATTTAGTACTCGGTAGGTTGGTGGACTATCAGTACCCAAGGGTGTCATCAGCTCAGTAGTCGATACTTCTTTTTCTTAAATTGTTCATTTATAGATTTATAAATTATTAAGAAACTTGAAGTTTAAACTCGCTCAGGCAAAGTTGACCTTAGATGGATTTGGCTATTATGTGTAGGTCCTTTTTGGTCATATGGCTTTTCAGATGTTTCAATTCCTACACATCCTAGGCTTTCAAATATTTTCTGCTTTGAGCATTCCTGATGAAAGTAAATCCAGAAAAATGCTTCCAAAGCATAACATTTATTGTATTGTTTTCATTTTTTTTTTAATAAGACAGTAAAATTTAAAAAAAACACTAAAATTATATTTATTAAATTTTCAAATATATATATTGACAATTGTTGTACATTACAGTATTATGTAGAGTTTGGAGGAGAGAGGTATGTAGACTTAGGTCTTGGTTCACACAGAGTGAAATGTAGAGTACACAGAAAGTTCAGGTAAATATTAATTTTTATATAGTTTTCAGTCTGGAGTAGGTTACTAAGCACCTGATAAGTGGAAGTCATTCTGATAATAGATAAAAAAACAAATATAAGAGTCGTTTCCTAACAAGTAGCTGGGAATTATGTAAAATTTCTAGATTTTGACTGTTGTTGAAAAAATGGATAATGCTGAAATTCAAGAAAAAGTGAAAACAAATCTATTTTCACATGACATCAGTCCCTCTGAAACAATTTTTGATAGAAACCTATAATGATTTCTGTTTAGGTTTTGGTAGAGCCATTAGAAATCAATTTTCATGAAAGTCAAAGTTGGAATCTATTATAACAGTAGTGGAAGTGTAATCTTTTTATACATATAAAAATAAGAACTTTTTCTAGACTTTATAATTGTATTGAAAGTAGAAATAGTGGTTGCCACTTATGACCATTTTTCACATATATCAATGCCTCAAGTAATTGTCCCTGCACCTGAAAAGTGACAAATGAGCATCAGTGACTAAAGTGTATACCGGTAGTTTATCTTTAATGGGTTAAAAATATCAATTTGCTCTTACTTAGACTGATTGTAGTAGCAGAGAAACAGATTGTTTATGACAAGTTTCCAATTCCACTGATCAATCGTCTGGAGAAACATTTCTTATCATTGAAGACCATGCTGACACCTTCTCATCTAAAACTAACAGTTAAGTTACAGGAATGGGCACAGCAGTTCTGTGAGGTCAAAGTTCCTATGCATATGAGGCATTATAGGCAAAAGTAAGTGTTTTGTTATTAAACGCATCAGATACTCTGTTCTTTATTTACATTGCCATATATTATAAGATCTAATGTTTCACATTTGAATTTGCTGTCAATACGAATATGAACAAAGATCAAATCTAAACTGAGGTGAGAGCAATCCAATAATGAAAGCATTCAAAAACATATTTTCTAGAGGTTTCACTAATTGCTTATTCCTGATATGTCAAATCTTGGATCTGCTCCTTACTTTTATTTTTAACATTAATTTATAGTTCCAAATTAAGATAAACAATAAATCTAAATTCTAATGCAACATTGTTTGTAACATTCATTTTGATTGGATAACGTCACCAATTTTCATGGCATCAATTCACAATTGATGCCATAAAAACGTTTGCGCAAGCACAGACGAGGTATGACAGATTTTAAATGTATGATTTGACATTGTTTTCTGTCAGTTTCATTAGAATGGAGAAAACAATATTGTATTTTAAGCTCCGAAGGCATCAATTGGTGATTTGATGGTCGCAAATACCTGTTAATTGGCTACCCTAATGCAGTAAACTTAATTTACAACCATCAAATCACCAATTGATGCTGTCGGAGCTTAAAATACAATACAGTTATCTCCTAATTCTTGCATGACTAAAAGGAGATGTAGAATATTTTTCAATAAAACAAAAACCCAGGACAGCTGGAAATGTGCTTGTTTGTCATTTTTGTTGCATTTCTGCAACAATTAATTTTGAAAGTTATGTAAAGTTTGAAAAAATGAATGTTTTTTTTTTAACTGGTAGTAAAAGAAACTTTTAATGTGTAGAGACATTTTCTTCATAATAGAAAAGAAAGCAGACAAATTGGAGATGCATTTATGGGTTACCATGACGACACTTGTGCTGCTATTATACTGTATGCCTGTCTTGAAAGAGAGTGTAATGACCAGGCTATACCAGAAATGGAAAATGAGGTATCATAAAACATCTATTCAGAAAAATCAGCATTTACATAAAGTTTCAATTGATAGAACTATCAGTAAATTTTTGTTAAATCAGACTCAGTTTATCCAAACATAGTCTTTAGTAAAAAATTTTGGTAACTTATACATTTTCTACTGGCAGATTTTCTGGAGAGCCCAGCTATCAAATTTTAACTTTAATCATTTTGAATGATCATTTGCAATTTTGATGATTTTCATATATAGTTCTGTTAAAGTTACGTTTTAACCATAGAAATGTTTTTCTTTTAGATTCTAAAAGATGCAGAAGGTATCCTTTTATGGTGTGCTACACCTGCAGCAGTGCTAGAACTTGAAGATCAAGGCATATTTGACACATACTTCTCAGAACAGAACCATGAAAGTCTGGCAGATTATCTACGTTATAAAGTAGCAAACCAAAAACAGAAAAACATCCATGCTCAGGTTAGATTTAGCTAGTTGTGTTTGGTCTGTTTATCTAGGAAGAACTGACAGTGTTTAAAATGGATTATTTGTGAATAGAAGGTGGCATTTGATGTGTTGTAAATATCAATGAGACATCAAACCAACAATTATAGACTATCAAAGGTTTTTGACCGATCTTTCACTCATATTACAAAGACATTGACAACTTTCTTGTAAGAACACCTTATAATAGTTTAGTAACCATCGAAAAATTCAAACAAATTACAAGTAATTATAAATTGTCAGGATAACTGTGATCTGCACTTGAATAATTTATTCAGCAAAAATGGATTTTATTGACCCTCCAACCCCCTGTTAAATTTTGTATCAATCAAACAAAAATTTCAGTGGCAATAACATACTGTTTTTAGCTCACCTGGCCCAAAAGGGCCAAGTGAGCTTTTCTCATCACTTGGCGTCCGTTGTCGACTTTTAACTTTTACAAAAATATTCTCCTCTGAAACTACTGGGCTAAATAAAACCAAACTTGGCCTAAATCATCCTAAGGGTATCTAGTTTAAAAAATGTATCCGATGACCCCACCCATTCAACCAAGATGGCCGCCATGGCTAAAAAAAGAACATGGGGGTAAAATGCAGTTTTTTATTTTATATATCTGAAACTAAAGCATTTGACGGAGCAAAAATTTTCATCAAGTCAAGATCTATCTGCCCTGAAATTTTCAGACGCATCAGACAACCCGTTGTTGGGTTGCTGCCCCTGAATTGGTAATTTTAAGGAAATTTTGCAGTTTTTGGTTATTGTCTTGAATATTATTATAGATAGAGATAAACTGTAAACAGCAAAATTGTTCAGCAAAGTAAGATCTACAAATAAGTCAACATGACCAAAATTGTCAATTGACCCCATAAGGAGTTATGGCCCTTTAAAGTAAATTTTTCACTATTTTTCTAAAATTTTTGTAATCTTTTACAAAAATCTTCTCCTCTGAAACTACTGGACCAAATTTAACCAAACTTGGCCTAAATCATCCTTAGGGTATCTGGTTTAATAAAGTATTAAAATATTAAAATATTGTTGACCCGCCCATCGGCCAAGATGGCCGCCATGGCTAAAAATAGAACATAGGGGTTTACTATAGAAGTCTATGGGAAAATTGTAAAAAAAACAATTTCAAATGGTCACAACTTGAAAACTAATTTAAATAATGATAAGGCCTCTTCAGTAACTATTGTAAGACTACAATGGGATGACCTGCTTTTAATTTAACTACTGGGCCAAATTAAACCAAACTTGGTCTCAATCATTATTGGGGTATCTAATACTATTTATTATGATTTTAACCTTATTTTACATGATTTCCAAAACCACAGTAGATACAGGTGCGCGACACAGGCTCTTGAGAGCCTCTAGTTAAGAAAATTTATAGGACAGTTTTTTTTTAAAAAGGGTAAATAAATGTCAAAAATAAATATTATTCAAGCTTTTTTTTCTGTATTTATGTCCAATCTATACCTTTTTTCTTCTATCTACTGGAAATTGAATTGTTTATCCTCCAAAGTATTGAATAACATACATGTATATATTTTTTTATATTCATAAGCAGTTCCTTTAATATGCTCTTGTTGCCTGAAGAATTTCATAAAAATCACCATATACCATATCCTTTTTAGGTACCTTTACCTGTTACTTTAATGGAGTAAGTTTTATATATTTTCAGATAACAACCAATTCCAAGTTGCTGTCCATAGCAGATATAGATATATTGTGTAGATTTCTACCTATTCTGAGGAAGAACATAGTTTTACTGAATCTTCAGTCATTTGACACAGAACAACAATTCAGTAGACAAATCAAGTATGAGTTATATATATACTGTTATTTTTGATTGTCTGATATTTACTCTAATAGCCAATTGGAACCAAACTTAGCAGGACAATATATGGAAGGTTCTAAATGCAAATTTCCTCATTTAATGTTCATCTGGTGGCAAACACAAAATTCCCAATGAAACTGTATGGATCGTCACATTTTCATTTTCTTTCAAACTACTGGACCAATTTTAAACAGACTTAGCAAGAATTACTTATTACAGGCCCATTATAAAATTCCATTTTTGTTTTGATTGGATGGAAAACATGGCTGCAAGAGGTAATTCCTGATTCTGATTAACTTATTTTATAAAATCTCTAATTCAGTTCACCTGCCTACAAGGCCATGTGAGCTTTACTCATCACTTGGCGTCCAATGTTAATGTCTGTTGTCTGTTGTCCGTCAGCCATCGTAAATTTAAAAAAAAAAAGAATAGAGAATGGAAATTGGGAAGTTGTCAAAGAGACAACAACCTGTCCAAAGAGCAGAAAACAGCCCAAGGCCACCAATGGGTCTTCAAAGCAGCGAGATAATCCTGTGTCCAAAGGCGGGCTTCAGCTATCTCCTAAACAATAATGTACACTAGTTCAGCACAACCGATGCCACACTTACCTCAGAAACATACAAATGAACCCAAATTTATAAAAACAACACATGAGTAACAAAGGCTTGAGGCTCCTGAATTAGGACAATTGCAAAAATGCAGCGCGGTTTAACATGTTTTGTGACAACTCAACCCTCCCCCTATACCTCTAGCCAATGTGGAATAAACAAACACACAGCAAACGCACAGTAAAGCTCAGTTCAAATGAAGTACAAGTCCGATGTTAAAATAGGTAACAGAAGACACTAAGCAAAATGACAATGATAAACACAAATTAACAAAGGACTACTAGCAATTACTGACATGCCAGCTCCAGACCTCAGTTAAACTGACTGAAAGATTATGTCTTCATCATTTGAAAATCAACAACAACCCCTCTCGTTAGGCGTTTAGTATTAGGCCATCATAAATTATACGAGAAGAACATAACCAGTATCATGCCAACAACTGGTTTTAGAATAAATGTGTTTATTTCCGATGCAAAGACCCTATGAGTGAAACAATATTAATTCCAAAAAATGCCATTTTTAATGATTTGACAACAGTATTGTAACTATATCCCTTCTGAATAAGTCTGTTCAAAGGTTTGGTTAGCTTTTGAAGTGAATGACGACCTTTTTGTGAATTGGCATATATATCAATCAAAAAAATAACACAGTTAGAGGAAATCTGAGATGGTTAGAAATTATCAGCAGGTCCTGGTCTATCACCTGTAAATCTGACATGGTTAGAAATTATCAGCAGGTCCTGGTCGATCACCTGCAGAATTCAGAAAAATCAGACAATCCATTGAGGAGTTATTGCCCCAGAAATGTCAATTTTTAAGTAAACTTCAAAGTTTTTGACTTATATCTCAAAAACAATAGCAGTTACAGCAAATCTGATATAAGGATTCTTCACGAGAAAACTATTTGGTCAATCTTAACCAATCTTTGAAACTTTAAGGGTTTGATGAAAATATTCTCTTGTTGAACTTTTAAATGTAGCAGTAATTTTGGTCAATGTTATACATAGATACCAGGTGAGTAATACAAGCTGCCTGCTCTGAAAGTTAAAGAATAAAAGACAGAAATGCCGTACTCACGGCATAAACTATTTGATTTAAGCTTTTATATTTCAGAAAGTAAAAACCCTGAAAACTTCATATTTCGCATACAGATCATCCAACTGCTGAAGTTTACATCTGGAATATATCTGTTGTCCTAACTGTGTAGTCATATTCATGGTTTAGGGACTACTTGAAAAAACTTAAGTTTTTTTTATCACATGATTTTCTCATTTATTATATTAGAAGAACAACTATAATTGGTATACATGTCTCTCAAGACAGAATTCAGCTAACCTTGACCTCATTTTATAGTTCAGAGATCAACATTAAGTTTTCGTGGTTAGGTCTATTTTGAAGATACTATAAACAATAGGTCAATTTTATTTGGTGTAAGGTATACATGCTTGTCTATCAGGGTTCATCTGACCTTGACATCATTTTCATGGTTCATTGGTCAACATTGTTTTGTGGTAAGATTAATTTCTCAGTCAATAGGTCAACTATATTTGGTGAATAAAACAATATGTAAAGTGTACATTTCTTGCTGGCAGATATGGATCATTTGACCTTGACCTCATTTTTTTAATGGATCATTGAAAATGTTACATTTTATGTAAAACCTGTAGTAACACCTTGATATTAAAGGCTTTCAATGAGAAACTCAGTCATGATCAATAAACCAAACAAGACATCACAGAGGTTATGTATATTAAAATTACCATTACGTTTAATATAGTGGACACTTTATTATATTTTGATAGGTCATTCTTGGACCAGACTACTTCAGATGACATGTTGTTGATTATACAATGTGATAGTGGTGACCAGAATGGAGACTTAATAGCCTGTGCTAGAAACACTTTACAGGATGAGCTGCAACAGATACATCACAGAGTGTCTAATATCCATGTTGTCCTCCTTATACAACTCCCAGGTATAGCTGGAGGATGCTTCACAGGATTTCAGGTAAGTTACATCATGATTTAGGGATAACTACAACAGATCCATGACAGAGTGTCTAATATCCATGTTGTCCTCCTTATACAACTCCCAGGTATAGCTGGAGGATGCTTCACAGGATTTCAGGTAAGTTACATCATGATTTAGGGATAACTACAACAGATCCATGACAGAGTGTCTAATATCCATGGTGTCCTCCTTATACAACTCCCTGGTATAGCTGGGTGATGCTTTACTGGATTTCAGGTAAGTTACATCATGATTTAGGGATAACTACAACAGATCCATGACAGAGTGTCTAATATCCATGTTGTCCTCCTTATACAACTCCCAGGTATAGCTGGAGGCTGCGTCACAGGATTTCAGGTAAGTTACATGACTAATGTAGGATTACAACATATTATTCGAAGAATTTATAACTGGCTAGGTATAGCTAGGACTGCCTCACTGGTGTTCATATTCATACACCCATTAAATAAATGAGACTTCAACAGACTATACTACACTTGATAGAATTTGATTTCTTTTGGAATTTTTATTTATATAAATCTCCAGTTTGTTTTTAGCTCACCAGGGCCCGAAGGGCCCCATGTGAGCTTATGCCATCACTTGGCATCCGTCGTCATCGTCGTCTGTCGTCGTAAACTATTTCAAAAATCTTCTCCTCTGAACTACTGGGCCAAATACCTTCAAACTTTAACTAAATGTTCCTTAGGGTATCTAGTTTATAAATTGTATCCGAAGTTTTGATCCATCGACAAACATGGCCACCGTGGCTAAAAATAGAACATAGGAGTCAAATGCAGTTTTTGGCTTATATCTCGAAAACTAAATCTTTTAGAGCAAATCTGACATGGGGTAAAATTGATCAATTGGTCAAGATCTATCAGCTCTGAAATTTTCAGACGAATCGAACAACCCATTGTTGGGTTGCTGCCACCGAATTGGTAGTTTTAACAAAATTTAGCATTTTTAGCTCACCTGGTCCAAAGGGCCGAGTGAGCTTTTCTCATCACTTGGCGTCCGTCGTCCGTCGTCGTTGTCCGTCGTCGTTTACTTTTACAAAAATCTTCTCCTCTGAAACTACTGGGCCAAATTTGACCAAACTTGGTCACAATCATCATTGGGGTATCTAGTTTAAAAAATGTGTCCAACCAACCAAGATGGCCGCCATGGCTAAAAATAGAACATAGGGGTAAAATGTAGATTTTGGCTTATATCTCTGAAACCAAAGCATTTAGAGCAAATCTGACATGGGGTAAAATTGTTTATCAGGTCAAGATCTATCTGCCCTGAAATTTTCAGATGAATCAGACAACCCGTTGTTGGGTTGCTGCCCCTGAATTGGTAATTTTAAGGAAATTTTGCCGTTTTTGGTTATTATCTTGAATATTATTATAGATAGAGATAAACTGTAAACAGCAATAATGTTCAGCAAAGTAAGATCTACAAATAAGTCAATTTGACCAAAATGGTCAGTTGACCCCTTAAGGAGTTATTGCCCTATATAGTCAATTTTTAACCATTTTTCGTAAATTTTTGTAATCTTTTACAAAAATCTTCTCCTCTGAAACTACTAAGACAAATTTAACCAAACTTGTCCACAATCATCATTAGGGTATTTAGTTTAAAAAAATGTGTCCGATGACCCCGCCCACGAACCAAGATGGCCGACATGGCTAAAAAATAGTACATAGGTTGAAATGCAGTTTTTGGCTCATATCTCTGAAACCAAAGCATTTAGAGCAAATCTGATGAGGATAAAATTGTTCATTAGGTCAAGATCTATCTGCCCTGTAATTTTCAGACCAATCAGGCAACACGTTGTTGGATTGCTGCCCCTGAATTGGTAATTTTAAAAAAATTTTGCAGCTTTTGGTTATTATCTTGAATATTATTATAGATAGAGATAAACTGTAAACAGCAATAATGTACAGCAAAGTTAGATCTACAAATAAGTCACATGACCAAAATTGTCAATTGACCCCTTAAGGAGTTATTGCCCTTTATAGTAAATTTTTTACAATTTTCATAAATTTTGTAAATTTTTGTAATTTTTTACAAAATATTTTCCACTGTAACTTCCGGGCCAAGTTCATTATAGATAGAGATAATAGTAAGGAGCAAGAATGTTCAGTAAAGTAAGATCTACAAACACATCACCATCACCAAAACACAAATTTGTCATGAATCCATCTGTGTCCTTTGTTTAATATGCACATAGACCAAGGTGAGCGACACAGGCTCTTTAGAGCCTCTAGTTTTGTTATTATTTTGAATATTATTATAGATATATATAAACTGTAAGCAGCAATAATGTTCAGCAAAGAAAGATCTACAAAAAAGTTAATATGACCATAATTGTCAATTGACCCCTTAAGGAGTTATTGCCCTTTAAAGACAATTTTACACAATTTGTTCGTCAAGTTTGCTAACATTTGAAAATCTTCTCCTCTGAAACTACTGGGCCAATTACCTTCAAACTTTAAATAAATGTTGCTTAGGGTATCTTGTTTATAAATTGTATCCGAAGTTTGTATCCATCGACAAACATGGCTGCCATGGCTAAAAATAGAACATAAGGGTCAAATGCAGTTTTTGGCTTATATCTCAAAAACTAAATCTTTTAGAGCAAATGTGACATGGGGTAAAATTGTTAAATTGGTCAAGATCTATCGGCCCTGAAATTTTCAGACGAATCGAACAACCCATTGTTGGGTTGCTGCCACTGAATTGGTAGTTTTAACAAAATTTTGCAGTTTTTTGTTATTATTTTGAATATTATTATAGATATATATAAACTGTAAGCAGCAATAATGTTCAGCAAAGTAAGATCTACAAAAAAGTTAATATGACCATAATTGTCAATTGACCCCTTAAGGAGTTATTGCCCTTTAAAGACAATTTTACACAATTTGTTCATCAAGTTTGCTAACATTTAAAAATCTTCTCCTCTGAAACTACTGGGCCAATTACCTTCAAACTTTAACTAAATGTTCCTTAGGGTATCTTGTTTATAAATTGTGTCCGAAGTTTGTATTAATCGACAAACATGGCCGCCATGGCTAAAAATAGAACATAAGAGTCAAATGCAGTTTTTGGCTTATATCTCAAAAACTTAATCTTTTAGAGCAAATGTGACATGGGGTAAAATTGTTTAATTGGTCAAGATCTATCGGCTTTGAAATTATCAGACGAATCGAACAACCCATTGTTGGGTTGCTGCCACCGAATTGGTAGTTTTAACAAAATTTTGCAGTTTTTTGTTATTATTTTGAATATTATTATAGATATATATAAACTGTAAGCAGCAATAATGTTCAGCAAAGTAAGATCTACAAAAAAGTTAATATGACCAAAATTGTCAATTGACCCCTTAAGGAGTTATTGCCCTTTAAAGACAATTTTACACAATTAGTTCAAGTTTGCTAACATTTAAAAATATTCTCCTCTGAAATAAAGGTGAGCGATTCAGGCTCTTGAGAGCCTCTTGTTATTTCAGTAGGGTTTATTCATTTCAATGGGATTTTTTTTATTTCATTGTGGTTTATTCATTGGAGTGTGATTTATTTATTTCATTGTGGTTTATTCATTACAGTGTGATTTATTTATTTCGTTGTGGTTTATTCATTGGAGTGTGGTTTATTTATTTCATTGTGGTTTATTCATTACAGTGTGATTTAATTATTTCAATGTGGTTTATTGTCTCGCCTTGACGGAGTCAAAAAGCGAGACAAAGGTATGCTGTTTCCGGCGTCGGTGGCGGCGGCGTCAACAATGTATTAGTTTGTGATTAGGTCTAGTTCATGGTGAACCACTAGTGGTAGGTCAATAATATTTGGTATGCAGTTGTTTTAGCATTGGCACATCTCATTACCATGGAGATTATTTGGCCCCGCCCCCTCAGTCAAGGTCTATTGACATTGAAACTTTTCATAGTTTACATGTATTAGTTTGTGATTAGGTCAGTTTATGGGGAACCACTAGTGGTAGGTCAATGATATTTGGTATGCAGTTGTATAAGCATTGGCATATCTCATTTCCATGGAGATTATTTGGCTCCACCTCCTTAGTCATGGTCTATAGACTTTGAAACTTTTTCTTAGTTTACATGTATTAGTTTGTGATTAGATCAGTTTAAGATGAACTGCTAATGTTAAGTCAATGATTTTTGGTATGCAAATTTATTGGCATTTGCAAGTATCGTTTCCATGGAGATTATATAGCCCCACCCCTGATCATGGTTCATTGACTTTGAAACTTTTACATAGTTTACAAGTTAATGTTTGTGTTTAGGTTTGTTTAAAGGGAACGACTTTTAATCAGTCAATGGTATTTGGTATGCAGTTGTATTAGCATTGGCACATCTCATTCCATGGAGATTGTTTAGTCATATACCTTCACTCATGGTTCATCGACTTTGAATATTTGCATAACTTACATGTTAAAGTATTGCTATTTTAATTTCAACATTTGTATTATCAAAATTACAAAAAGGCGAGACATATTTCTGTGATAACAGTTTATTAATTACAGTATGATTTATTTATTTCATTGTGGTTTATTCATTGGAGTGTGGTTTATTTATTTCATTGTGGTTTATTCATTACAGTGTGATTTATTTATTTCAATGTGGTTTATTCTTTATTTCATTGTGGTTTATTATTTCAATGTGGTTTATTCATATCAATGGGGTTTATTCATTGCAGTGTGGTTTATGGCACTCAGTTCACATTGATGATATCCATCCTGCTCCTCAAGATATTCCATCAGTTGCAGAAATGTCTGGGAAATCTGTCAGTGCATTGTTAGATGTAACCAAGGACCAATCTGAGGTCGATATGGAAATAGAGAGAGATCAGGAGGACCGAGACATAGAGACAATGGAAACAAATGAAGAAATAGATTTAATGGACATATATATAGAAGAAAAAGCTGAAACAAAGAAACAGTTTAAAATTGATTATTTGATTAAGAAATGTATACAACCAGCCTTGGGAAATGTAAAAGATCCAAAGTCAGATGAAACTAGAGCTGTAGACAGACTAAAGATTATACTTAACTGGATGCAGGTTGAAGAAGGTAATTTATAAGCTTTGATTTTGAATAGCATTTGGAATTCATTAAAATACAAATTTGAAAAGAAAGTGTCCAAATATCATCCTGGCTGGTCTTATTTATCTGATATTGTACTTGATGCAAGGTAGTTGCTCTGTATAACCTGTGTTGTGTAATTTGTACCTCATCTTGACATTAGATTTTTTTAATTTCTTTAATATTAACAGAGGTGTCAATAAAATTTGAATTGGAAATAGATAAAGAAATCTAACCAAATAATAGAGTGAAAGGTATTACTTACATGTGTCAGTCTCTAATGCACAGGCGTGGATTTATCCACATCTAGCAAAGAATCTGCTTAAACCTGAAAGTGACTGTCTTGGAGTATCCTTTGTTCCAATTTGTGTTGAAGGCCTCATTACTTTGAGATGAATAAAGCAATAAAAACATATTCCCTGTCAAGTATGTGTAAGGATTTAATTCCTATGTTTTTATTTCAGGTCAAATGACAGTACTGTCAGGAATAGCAAAACATATGACAGGTATTCTTAAAGAAAAAGAGCAGAATATTGGGAGACAAATCAGGAACTGGTTGACTACAGAAGCTACTAAACCAGAAAACTTGAACAGAGCTGGTACATTCAGGTTGGTGGATTTGGCACATGTTTTTTACATTTTTCTCAGGAACTACAAATCAGGCTTTGTTGTCATAATAATTTCTAGCACGATTATTGTACTCAGACTCAGAAATCAACCAATCAAAATACTGTACTGTGGATTCATTAATATTCGTGGGATACCAATTTTCGTGGACTTCATTGTTACAGGTGATCCACGAAATTAAATGTTCAACGAATTACAAATTTCCTATAGTCATGTATGCAGACTTTTGCAAAACCACGAAATCAAATATCCGTAAAAATGCAAGAATTCCTGAATCCACGAAAATTGGTACCCACGAAAATAAATGAATCCACAGTATTTGTGTTTATTTAAAATACAAGTTTTGTACTTTAAGTACTGAGCCCAGAGCTTCATGATATTTTTTACCAAACTTCATATTTGTAGTAAAGCAGTTATGTGTGACATGGTGTGCTTGACTCAGATCTTAATTGACAAGTCCTCCCCTTGTTCTCTGGCTTCCTTTATCAATAAAAAGTGGCGCCATGAAATAGCCAAAGTCGCTATAAGTGGCATTAAGTACCCCAAAAAAAGCAAACATCCATACATATAAGAAATTGTTGCATTTTTTTCAGTAACGGAAGAATAAAAGTTCTTGATATTTTTTATCTAGCTAAATATTGGTAAGCTAAACCGTGTTCTTATCTACTTTTTGTATCACTTTAACTTTTATTTTGATTTATGTTTTTCCTTTCACTCAAAAGCAAAAGTGGGGGTATAGATAAAGGGAGTTGGAATTTCAAATATATGAACATATCTTTACATTTTATTGTTTAAAATAACTACACCTAGCTGTTTATTTTTCCTATTCGGGTGATTCAAGTAAGAATCAGAACATTTGTTTTATATGGCCTTTTCAATGGTATGGGAATGTTTTGTTAAAAATTGTCTTTTATTTTGTAGAAACTTTGCTGTTCAATGTTTAGAGGCGAAAGTAATTCCTGTTTTGGCTGGAATCATTGCTTTCATGGATACGAATAGAAATTTAGACATTTTAGAAAACTCAAGTGACCAAGATTGGCAAGTTGCCATTTGGTTACAAATCCTGAATGATCCAGAACTAACCCAATTGAAATATTCTTTAATGGTATCTCCTACACGTCTACAAGAACTGCAGGAAATAACTGTCAAAACAACATCTGTAGATGGAAGGGTATTCTCTGCCAAGATGCCATTCTCCTGGATCATTTTTGGACAGATAGAGGATGTTTTAAGAAATTCTATGGAAACAAAAGAAGTTTCAGGTAAAACTTTGCATATAAAAGAATCTTTCCCTTTCACATATTTTTCAGTGAAATTAAGATTTTTAAGATGAAGTTGCCAATATTGATCATGCAAGTTCCAAAGAATTGAAAAATCTAAATTTTTGGTATTCACAAAAACAGATAATATTAAATAGTTTGTAAAACTCAAGAAATGATGAATTCTATTCATATCATATAAGTGTGTAAAATAATTTACTTGGCATGCTTTAGCTGAAATGATATCCTATTGTTTTACAGATAGTGATTTTGATGTGGTATTGAAAGCCTCAGATATTTTCCAGTCATTACCATTAGGTATACTTCTGTCAGGTATTGAGGGAACTTACATCCACCAAGTTCTAAAAGCTTACATACAGGATTTTGTCTACATGGTTCATCCTGTACAGTCGGACCCAGAATGCAATGTAATGTATCCAATAAATACTCTGTGGATCCATTTATTTTCATGAATACCAATTTTTGTGGATTGAGAAAAAACTGTATTTTCATGAATATTTGATTTCGTGGATTTGCTAAAGTATGCACAGAAGCCTATAGAAAAGTTATACTTCTTTGCTCATTAAAATTTATAACCATGAAATCCCACGAATAATAATTAATCCACAATAGATGATTTATTGAAATATTTGGTGAAGCTGAAAGAATTTCTATAACAAATTTATTGTATATATAGTAATGATTGAGTTTCTTACTTGACGTTTCATATTTCTTTTAAAATAATGGTAAGAATAGTTGTGTTATATAAAGTTCCATATTGTTTTATGATGATTTAAAGAGAATTTAACACTGATGAAGAAGCTGATCAGTGTTTAAATTTTGATATGGATAGTAGAAAAGCACTGATCTTTTGACATCGTTTTACTCATTCCTATACACATCCATCCCATCAATCTTATCCAGTTGTTTTTGTTGAAGATAATATGAGTTGAATATTTACTTGTACCTTATATAGAATTGTCGTAAATTATGTTTTTGATATTTTCTGTAGTGTGTAATTAACATGATTTTTTTCAGCTAATTTGTGAGAGTTTGATAGTAGGTTGTAAGCATCTACTGAGAGGAGAATTTGGAAGATTGTTACCCTCCATATTAGGCTGTCACATGACTTTTATACTACAAAATACAAGGTTTAAAAACTTTTCACACATTGTTCATGTGTGGCCAGGATGTAGTCAAAAGACGTTGGAATTCCAGCAGAACCAATCATCCTTCTACTTAGTGACTGAAGACGAACTTGTAAGTTTTTTCTAAAAGTACCTGCTTAGTTATTTTAAATGTAAATTTTCTTTGGTATATTTTCTCACTGTCAGTTAAAAAATGATTTAGTAGGAGATTTTTAAAACAAAAGGCAACAAGGCAGTAACAGATTTCGAAAACAGAAAGCAGCTACGAAATAAGAAAAGTGTACAGAACTAAATTTGTTGTCAAACCAAGCAGTCTATATGAATCGGTTCTATGCAGCAGTTTATTGTTGTATTAAAAATAGACTGTATTAATGTTAATTTTTTTTAAACAATTGCAAGTTAATGCATAATATATTAAATATATATATAGTTGGGTGTTGGTGTGGTCTGTTGTATAGTCCAATATTTTTATGCCCCACCTAGGGGCATAATGTTTTTCGGTCTGTTCGTCCGTCTGTCTGTCCATCTGTCCCGCTTCAGTTTAAAGTTTTTGGTCATGGTAGTTTTTGATGAAGTTGAAGTCCAATCAACTTGAAACTTAGTACACATGTTTCCTATGATATGATCTTTCTAATCCTAATGCCAAATTAGAGTTTTGGCCCCAATTTCATGGTCCACTGAACATAGAAAATTATAGTGCGAGTGGGGCTCCCATGTACTATGGACACATTCTTGTTTGTAATTCCTGCTATCGTTATCTTGTATTATCTTTTTACAGACATTGGATGTCCTTGCATTACATATGTTAGTTGATAATCTGGAACCCAACAGAGATGACTTAAACAAAATAGAAACTAGGACAAAATGGCTACGACGAGTCTGTGATTATCGGCCAGTGGTAGAAAGAATTATTGGACATTTTATGCAGGATGTAGAGAATAGAGAATATCATTATGGGGATCGTTGTCAGAAAGGAATCGAAAATGCTAGGTATATTAGTTCTCTACTCATTGGTACTATAGTAGACTAGACCATGATACAAGAACAAAAGTACCATATTGATCTCCATGTCAGTACAAAAGTATTATCTTGATCATCATAGAAATACAAAAAAACAGACCTGATCCTCATACCAGTACAACAGTTTTCTCTTGATCTTCTTACAAGTACAAAAGTAGTCTTGATCTTCATACCAATACAAATGTACAATCTTGATCTTGATTCAAAAACTTTCTAAAAACTGTGGTTGATGACCCAACTGAAATCCTACATTGTATTTATTGTTACTAAAAATAATAAATTGGATAAACATTTCAATTATCCAAACCATATTTCTAAATCTGATTAGCCCTATGTTTAAGAAATAATTCATGGGGGCTTGAATATATCGTGATTTTACCACGGGTTGGCCCTTTATGACAAATATTTTACCCTGAGCGATAGCCAGGGGTAAAATATCGGCATAAAGGGACAACCCGTGGTAAAATCTCGATATATTCAAGCCCCCATGAATTATTTCGATTCTAATAGGACAAATACGGCAATTGTTTTGGATCGAAGCACTCTAGATGAAGGCATTATTTGCCGTTCCCATAAATAAAAGCACTATTAAATTGACGTAAAAGACCGGAGCAAACTGAATAAATGACATGCTTAAACTATTTACAATAACATATTTAGATAGGTTTGGATGAATCTAATTGATAATTGTACTTATATGTCTTATATGTATACAAAAATGGCTTATATAACACATTTTTGCATCGTTTGTTTACGTTTCCTTGTTGTGATGATTTTCGGTTTCACAAGCGTGTATTTCCCCGTAAAATGCTTATATTCCTACGTCATCGTTCTATGAAGTTGGGTAGCTCATTCATAAAAAAACATATGACGCGGGAGTACGATTGGAACAGCCCAAACAATATATTCATATTTTACCACGGGTGTGTACTCAAAGCGTTTGAAGAACGTCATGTTAGAAATCCTGTTATATGGTATACGTCATAGACCATAATAACTATTAATGACTTGCACTAAAGTCAGAACCAAATTCTGTAAATTTTGCCATATAACTACTGAAATCATTAGGGAAATAAATTTTACTATAGCAGCACATGGGATATAACACTTCACCTCTCTAAATTGTTGTGTCTCTTGACAGCAACACAGTACACACAAATCACTTCCAATGTCTAGCTTCATCATCTCTTTAGTTCTAGTTGCTAAAATATTTTAACCTCTGTGTGTAAAAGTTAATATTTCTTCCAACATATTTAAATGTATATCAATTCTTATTGATTTTTTTAAAGATACCAGTGGACCAGGGTGGTTGTAGTGAAGTTATTTATAGAACATGTTTGTACTACGGATAAAGATGAGATTAGTATCAAAAGATGTATGCCATTCTGGGGAGTGAGTATATATGTTTCTCTAATTCTTCGTCAATTTATCCCTTTCTGCACCCATTGTATAAAAAAATTTAATCAACGTGTGGTTTGTTTGATCTCAGTTCTTCATTGGTTAAAATCCGATTATGACGTCGAATTTACTTGCTTTCCTCTGAATTTCCTATTGTGACGGCATGAAAAAAGGTGACCATGCCTGATGACTTCACATAGAAAGAACACATCTTTTTACAGATCATCCGAAAAGACGGAATAAGTATGCCTGCATATTGTTTGAAAATCATTAGAGAAACAGATTCCACCACCAAATCTCGTGTAATAGGATATTTATCCGCTCTTGACAGTTAAATTTTAAATATTTAAAACGCTCGGCAAGCCTCGCGTTTTAAATTTGAAAATTTAACTGTCTCGAGTGGATAAATATAGTATCACACTCGATGCAGTGGTAGAATCTATATATATAATGTTAAACGGTAATTGCATGAATATTGGTGAATATTGCCCAAAGGAGATTTTGATATTGTATGAGTTTGCAAGTGCAATAAATATTCTACGAGGGATAATATTCACCATTATTTATACGATAATAAAATTGAGAATGGAAATGGGGAATGTGTCAAAGAGACAACAACCCGACCATAGAGCAGACAACAGCCGAAGGCCACCAATGGGTCTTCAATGCAGCGAGATACTCCCACACCCGGAGGTGTCCTTCAGCTGGCCCCTAAACAAATATGTATACTAGTTCAGTGATAATGGACGTCATACTAAACTACAAATTATACACAAGAAACTAAAATTAAAAATGATACAAGACTAACAAAGGCCAGAGGCTCCTGACTTGGGACAGGTGCAAAAATGTGGTGGGTTAAACATGTTTTATTGTATAGCAATGCTTGAAAAACAGTTTAAAACATATTTTTGTCACTGATGTCATCAATAATGTTGAGCAATATTTGCACTAGTTCAATAAGACAGAATATTATATGCTTACTTTTTGTTACATCTGTATTATATTGCTAAATAATAAATAGAATAGTTTGCATGCTGGAAATATGCATAAATTTTTGAAATTGAATCTAGTACAAACCGGAACCAAGGGGATATTGATATAGCTTGTATCTCATAGTTTATGCATTTCTATGCTTGTTCAATGTTTCTGAATAAGGTTTTTGTGGGTCAAAATGTTTATGAATGAAATTGAAACTTGTTTTATATAGTGGATACATTATTATTTATGGGGCGATTAATTGAGTTTCTTAGATTTCAAAGATAAAGGTGAACCAAAAATAATTAAGTATTTAATGAAATATAATTTCATTATAGGCATATGTGAAAAATTGGTCAAAACCTTGAAATCAATTGTTTACTAAATTACAACTTTTCTTTTTACCCAGGGAAAATAAGTTGGTACAAAAATAAAAGAATCAAGAGTACTTTTAGATTGATATGAATACTTAAATAATAGAAAATTATCAAATTGATGTTAATAGTATATTTTTATTTTGAACAGACACTTAGAGAAGGGGCAGACATGAAAGATTTGAAAAGTCTTGAAAAAGTGGAAAAGTTTATAAAACACTGCAACAAAGATGTTGTGACACAATGTTTTGGGTAAGAATCAACCTATTGTATTTTTTGTTAACTTTAAAAAGGAAATATGTTATGAATAATACATTAAGGTGTAACAGGAATTAACAAAGATATTGAATATAGAAACAATCCACACCACCCACGCCAACCACTGTGGTTCATTATTTAAACAGACCAATTTCGAGTTTCCAATTTATGAATTTGTTTCGCTTGTTGAACCTTGACTAATCAGCATTAATGACATCATTGAACAATTAACTCTTTCTGTGATGTGATAACATAAGCATTGTGACATTGGAAATATACTAGAAAATGCATGAATGTGAAAGTCATCAATAGTTCAAAGTGGTGAAGTTGAAATCATCCCTTCGAAAATTTTACGGACACCATCACAAGTTGATTGACCATTATGGAATATCTGTTTCACAGATGATGATGGATATGTTCCATATGTTGTACTGACAATCCTGTCCTATTTTCCTCAAATGTGACCTACCGAATAAGTCTAATTAATGGCTTTGTACTTGCATGAGAAAACCTGAGATAACCCCCGGTTTTTGGTGGGGTTCGTGTTGCTCAGTCTTTAGTTTTTTATGTTGTGCTTTATGTTCTGGTGTTTGTCCTTTTGTCGTTTTTCGTTTTTTGCCATTGTCAATTTGTTTTGGACTTTTGAGTTTGAATGTCCCTCTGATATCTTTTCCCTCTCTTCTTCATTTCTCATCTGTTACGTCAAATGTTTTCTTATTTGATGCTGAAAAATTATGAATAAACATCTTTTAGGCAGTTAAGCTGCCTTATGCGAGCACCCTAGATTTGTGTTCTACCCAATAAATGCTGAAATACGTGCCATTGTTATTATCTAGCTGGCTATTATGTTATTTATAACTAATTGGACATTTTTTTAATACTTTTATTTCTGGAATGCAAAAAATAGGACCAGAAAAACCTTAAATGATCGTCGAACTACCCAAAACTTTTGAAGTTGCACATAGGAAGTAGTGCTCAATAGAAATCCGTACGTAGTTTATTATCCCCTGTGCTTTTGGCTACGATGTCAAGGAACAATTGTATGAAATATTTCATCGCCGAAAATCGGTAATTACAAGTCGTTTATACTTCCCAAAGGGCAAAATGCTCAGGAATATTGTTCATGTACAACAAATCTCTATGATAGAGGAAATAAAGTTATATAAGTGGGCAGTAATTTTTAACTTATCTTGCCAAATAAGGTGGTTATTTTATGAATGAAACAAGGTCATGAAACAGATGCGGAAATCGACGTTGATGGGATGTTTTAAGTGATGTGGACAACTCGACCCCGAGACAAGTCGGACCGAATCCACTCAAACCGTCTAAGAAGACATCTTTGACCGTTTGTCAGATTACTAAGGGTTTCATAAAATATTAGACTAACATGTCTAGCGGAGCCATTAATCTTTTGTTTGTGCATTGGGGTCTATTTAAGGGTATTTGGAGGGGCCTGAAGAAGGGAGGGGTTTACTATAGAACCATGGCTTCCAAAACGGTCATATATTCCGGACTTGACCGAAATTTATATAAAAAGTCCGGCGGCTCTCAGCCTCAAACGGTCAAATATCATAGGTTTGCCACTTTTTGTTATTCAAGGCATTTTCATAAAACGGTCATATCACTTTTTTTTACCAACTATTGATCGGTAAAAATGTCCGTTTGGGCATTATAGTTTATAATTGTGGCAATCTATTTCACAAAGATATTTCGGTCATATTTGGGTTTAATTAAACAGATGCAGCATATTTCATACTTTGAAGTGTCTCAGTTAGTCTAATCCTCTGGGTACACAAATGCACGGCTTGGTACATCAATAAAAAGTAGAAAAAAAAATTGTTCTTTCATTTAAAAAACAACAAGCTGTCAAACAATTATCCCTTCAATAAGTAATATTGAAGCCATAAATCATTCACTGATTACAGGTAATTATCTTTGATGAGAGACCTTAGCTTGTCTTAATCAATAGAATTGATGATGCATAACAATGAACATAAAGGTGATCAGGTAAACGAGGTCAAACATGTAAGCGTGTATGGAACAACATCCTATTTAATTACGCTTTGTAGATATTATTGTAAATGACCATTCAGTTTTAAAAAAATTTCCTTAGATTTTAAAATAATTCTTCAAATAAGAATATTTATAAATGAATTCGAATATGTATGATATTCATTATTATATTTAAAAACACTGTACATCGTGTTAAATACTGGGGTACGCTAAAGGGTATTCAAAGTTATTTTCTTACATTTCAGCGGGTTACATCTAATTAATTTAGTCTAAAAGATTGAAATTATAAGAAATACGTTAATAAATATGATTTGATGAAAAATTTGAAAAGGTTTTAAACGAATAATCGTCAGAACCACGTTGTTTGAACTAGTACACGTGTGCGCATGTGTCTATTGTCCGCTGGTGGGAAATTTAATTATGCATCCTAATTCTTCAATAATGCTAAAATTATCATTGATTCCTATCTAACGTTCATTTCGAGTATTTTCTTGAAGAAATAACTTGAAAAGGCTACTTAACTCAATCGTAAACTTACACGGATATTATGTATCCGTCTCTGATCCGTGATTTACCATTATCAAGTCAACATCCGGCATTAGGAAAATGTGATTTTAAAAACAAAAGTAAAGCTTTTGACAGCGTTGTTTTGCACAAATAAAGAGTCTAAAGCGGAATTAGTACGCTGATGTTGCACACTTCGAATGCTGCACTTTCAATTTAACACTTTACGTCAGAACATCGAATTTATATCAAAGTAAAGTTTAACATCGTTTTAATGTCAATCATTGGTTATATCATATATGATGGCCAACTGATTATCATAGTTGCCTCATTTACTAAGTCTAAAGGGATTTAAAATCGGGATAAGATATGAAATGTCCGGCTGGCTCAACAAAATTTTGGAAGCCCTGTATAGAACCCTTTGGGATTTTATTTTTTTAAATTTTCAAATGACTATTTTTCGAAAACAGTAAGTGATAGACACGTGTAGTCTTCAGTAATGAGAACAGGTCAATAAAAAAAAAAATAAAGGGTGAGTCCCTTGGGGTCATCCAAACCCCCTTCAATTTGAAAATGTACTTTTATCTTGTAAACCGTTGCGATCCCCACCCCTAAACAATATATATACTTGTATGGGACAATAAAAGAAATCAAATGAAAATAATTTGGGGGAGTCCCCGGTGTAGCCCCACCCCCTCCTGTTTGAGAACTTGGAAATGGTCGAGATCCCCACCCCTAAACCATATATATTCATGTATTGGACAATAAAACAAATCAAATGAAATATAGGGAGAGTCCCTGGGGTCACCCCACCCCTCCTGTTTGAGAACTTGTAAACGGTCGAGATCCCCACCCCTAAACCATATATATTCATGTATGGGACAATATAACAAATCAAATGAAATATATGGGGAGTCCCTGGAATCACCCAAACTCCTCCTATTTGAGAACTTGGAAATGGTTGAGATCCCCACCCCTTAACCATATACATTCATGTATTGGACAATAAAACAAATCAAATGAAATATAGGGGGAGTCCCTGGGGACACCCCACCCCCTCCTGTTTGAGAACTTGTAAACAGTCAAGATCCCCACCCCTAAACCATATATATTCATGTATGGGACAATATAACAAATCAAACGAAATATATGGGGAGTTCCTCTGGTCACCCCACCCCCTCCTGTTTGAGAACTTGGAAATGGTCGAGATCCCCACCCCTAAACCATATATATTCATGTATGGGACAATAAAACAAATCAAATGAAATATAGGGGGAGTCCATGGGGACACCCCATCCCCTCTTGTTTGAGAACTTGTAAACAGTCAAGATCCCCACCCCTAAACCATATATATTCATGTATGGGACAATATAACAAATCAAATGAAATATTTGGGGAGTCCCTTGGGTCACCCCACCCCCTCCTGTTTGAGAACTTGGAAATGGTCGAGATCCCCACCCCTAAACCATATGTATCCATGTATGGGACAATATAACAAATCAAATGAAATATAGGGGGAGTCCCTGGGGTCACCCCACCCCCTCCTGTTTGAGAACTTGTAAACGGTCGAGATACCCACACCTAAACCATATTTATTCCTGTTCATCATTTCAAAAAGATTTGAATGACATACAGGGTCAATCTCCTAGGTGTCACATATGCATATCACTTTACTAGACCAAACCAATATGAACTGGACTTTGCCCAATGTCAGGAGACCATGGGAATGACGAATTATGGGGGCTTTGTTTGGGAGACTTCGTAACGGCATCCTGTTGCAATTATTTCTTGTTTATTATAAAAATTTGTTGATGCAAAAATGAGTCTAGGTTAATTGAATTTACTTTAATTATTTATTAAATTATTTCTGGGCCTATAATAATTTTCATTTATGGCTCATTTTAAAGAAAACATAAATCTTTCAGGTAGTGTAAAGCCCGAGAAAGTTTGACCAACTGTTTTATAATCACCTGTCATTTTATTCCAAACTTGGTATGGAGTAACATCATGCACTTCGGGGTGAAGATGGGGGTCATTTACATTGATATATGAGTTGCTTTTGAAAACCTTGACGAAATATTAATTAATTTGCCTTAATAATCAATTCATTTAATGAACATAAATGTACAATATACGAATGTTTAATGTTTTTTCTTTCAAATCTTAAAAAAAAATTTAAGCAACACTGCCACAGTTTTCATAATTACGTTTGCCTTGGTTTTTAAAGGCAGTGCTTTAATGCCTTTCTGGTTGCCGGGTTAATCCTTCCTTCCGCGGTATCCAACTTATCTACGTTGGGGGTCATTAGGCTCCAAGTAGATCCGGAAATGTTTAATTCTCTCCTCTTCTTATGGTGATATAAAATGTTTGTTGTTTCATTTCATTTACATTGGGAAATAGAGAAACGATCATTGTGTTTTGTTAGTTTTAAAAACTTTTGATATATTTGTATTTTGCATTATAAGCAGTCAACCGAT